CTTCTATGGAGTTGTTTCGGCGCCCCTTGTGGATTCAACTTCACTTTCAAGGCACCAACTCTCCAGGTTCTCGCGATTTCCATGAAAGCTGAGTATTGCTGAAAAATGCCATTCTAATCCAAATACCTAACCAGATTCGAACCAGGACTTGCTTTATCAGTCAAAATGGAACACGGTAGGAAATTTTGCATTTTCAGCTCATCCGTGATTTCTCTCAGGTTGGCCGGAAAGTCTTGTCCGCTTTTTTAAAGGTTACTTTTTGAAATGAATAATAAATCAATCGATCTATGGTTTGTTTTATCTAAAAGTCCTATTATCTATTTACAAATTTCCCTTTAAAAAATTCTGAAAAACTCGCGTTAGTTCAGTTTTTTAAAGGTGTAAAGTCGAGGAGTGAAAAACGCTGAAACTTAAAGTTTCGATTTGAGCACCTTTTGTCACAGAAAACTATTTTGGTATCAAAAGAAAAAAGACAGAGAATAAAAAGTTAGGCAGGTATACAAATTTCCATAACATTTCATCAAGCCGGTTTCATTCTATGTTCATTGTAAGGATTTTAGGAAAAACAAGGATTTTCGTCCGAATTTGCTTCAAAGCGAACTAAAATTTGCCTAAAAATCACTAAATGTAATCGTAAATCTTTTTTATCTAAAGCAAATTACACGGCTTTATCGGCTAATTATTCATTTATAAACGAAAATTTCAAAAAGGCGGAGAAAACTTTCTGGCCAAACCAACATTTGGTGCAATTAAGCATTCAAACCTCTTTCAAATAATGACTAAAATTGAACTCGAAAGTCAACTTTCCCAAACGATTTGTGACCAAGTAGCGAGCATCGTTTTTGGCTTGAGGCTGAAAATTGGTCTTTAGCGGTAAAAGTGGATTTCAAAATACTGTCAAGTTTTATCTTTCTATAGAAAACGCACCGAAAATTCCATGGAAAAGGTTTTGACTTGAAGATTTGAGAAGAATGAGCCAATCTTTGCGCACTCAATTCTCTCCAAAGACCATCGATTCAAGCGGTTGAAGTAGAGGCGATCCTAAAGGGTTTTGATCAAAATTGGATTTTGATTCAATCGTACTAAATTTGTACTGCAATAAATAGTAAAACTTCTTCAAATTTCCCAAGATAATATGCTAAAGTGACTAATTCGGTGTACCAGAAAGTGGGCGTTTGCAAGAGCGCAAATGGAGGATTTCTAGGCTTGCTGCAGGATTAAAGAAAACTATTAGACCGACTATATTATTGAAAATTATATAGTTTTCAGCCTATCAAGTTAATGTCAAACCTCACACAAAACAGCCAGCCGAAAGCCGACCCCAAGTTGGGTCTTGTTGCGTTGAACGATAGCGAAAGCATGGCGGCTAAATATTGGATTTTCTCGAAAATTTAACTTTTACCCACCAAGTTCTTGAAAAACAAAAGATTTCTGAAAGATTGCACTTTTCGAGGATTACATTCAAGCAGACATCGGGGAGATTGAGAAGTTCATTGGAATTCAGCTGAACCTCAGAATTCGGAGCTTCCGGGTTTTCAGTCATTCGAAAAGATTTGAGTTTGAATATTGAATCGAATTTGAATAAGTTTTAGAAAATGGGAATCCAGTGTTTATTGATTTCATCGATCACTTGTTTTAAACAAATGAAAGGGATGTTTTCAAGAAATGGGATTAAGATAGCGTAACGTTCGAAAAGGGCACTGAAAATAGATGTACAAATGAGTGCTGCGTAGTCACTCGTGGCTTTTGTGTCCTTTCTTGGCAAACAAAAAGGATAATACACTCTCAAAGTGTAGGCAAAAAAGTATAAAATATACAAAGTATTTTCTATGATTTATGCAAAAAGCAAAAAAATTTGTTGTGCTTGAAGAGAAAAGGCAATTTTGGGAGAATTTGTTTAAAGAAGCACACATTCGAATAGCTAGAATAGCTAAAATGGAAAAATTCGTCTTATGAAATGAATCGATTTCGCATTTGGAACTCCCGATCTTACAACAACAATTGTTTCTAGTGAAGCAAAACAAAAAGAAACGTCCTGAAATGGTCCTAAAATCACGAAATTTTCTTCACTTCTTTTTTTCAAATTTTTAAATGTTGCGCAAACTAAAAAAGGCTCAGTCTTTCCGAAATGTGAAATTAGAATAGAGCCTTTTAAATAACAATCGCTACATACGATAGCTTCTATATAACAATACTGATATCCAATGGTTGTCAATTTATAGAGGCTCCGCAGTACTAGATGCCCTTTTCAGTGCAACAATCGGTCTCAGCGACGAGCTGGTCGGTATGCGCTACGTGGATACCCCAGCCAAACACCTCGATATACTCAGTTAGTTCGTCTTAAGAGCATGATTTTACAAAAGTGTAATAAAGTTATGTAAAAAGAGTTTGTGTTTAAAAGAAACTTACGGACTGTGACTTTTGAGGAGGAAAACTTTCCCACAACTGCCACATCCAATTAAATCTTGAATCTCGTGGAAGGGCAGCTCTTCAACGGCATCCATTTGTTGCCGAACTCAGAATCGCGTTTCCTCCGTTGAGAATAAAGATTTTGAGAATAGCAGTTGGTAAAGTTTTTTCGTGGGGCGAGAGAAAGAATAAAATCAACTGGCTTGAAGATAGGAAGCTAGTGCTCGCAACAAGCAAAGAAAGAAAGAAGAGAGAAAGAAATCTCTCAATAAAAGTAAAAGAATTCTTCATCTAACCAATTTATGTTCCACCAATTAAAAGAAGATTTAAGTCTGATAGCAAAAGCGAAAGGTTTACTGAAAGCAAAAAACTCTTATTTATTGATAAATAATGCATAAAAATTTCACTCGAAGATCAGCCAAGATCAGGGCGCCCGAGTGACGTCGATGCAACGACTCTAGCTAATCTTATTAAGGAGGACAATAAATAAACAGCCCGTGATTTAGCTCAACAACTACAGTGTGGTCATACAACAAGAAACCCATCTCCACGCAATGGGTACGCTTCGAAATTTGGGACTTCGATCCCACATGAGCTCACAGACCACAGGAAATGGCATCTCGGTTGCTCTCTACACTCGGTATCACTGCCGATCTTTTCTTCCACATTACTGGGGGTGAAAAATGAGTACTATATGTCAACTACCGGAGACACAATCAATGGGTGGGGCCCGGAGAAAACCCCAAACCTGAGCCCAAGCCCGAACTCCACCAGAAGAGGATTAGGCTCAGTATTTGTTGGGATACCCAAGGACCTATTCACTGGGAATTGCTACCTAAAGGGACAACTATTACAGCGTAATTATACACTAATCAACTAGATCTAGATCAGCTAGCTCGCTGCTGAAGTTGTAAAAAAGAGGCCAAAGAAAGGGAAGGTCATTCTGCAACATGATAACGTAAATAATTTTTACAAAACTTTAAAGAAATTTTCTCAACATACGTTTATTCGAGAGAAATAAACATTTCAAGCCATCGCTGGGGAACGGAACCCATCCCAGCAAACAGGCGGTTAGAAGGCGAACACGATTAGAAGCGAAAGGAAGGGAAGGCAGAGTTTCAATTGCATTGGGCGAATTTCCAGTTTTTTTAAGAGAAAGAGGAACACCTTTTAAATTTCGAACAACAATAAAAAAAGAGCAATTCGATTCAGAGGTAGAACTCCTTTTTATCAATCTTTTCAAGATTCGAAAAGTCCTCCATTTTTTGCTATATTCGTTGGCTAGTCTACTGGAATCTTTCTACAAATTTTGCTGTATGTGGCACAAGAAGAGGTTTTCGATTTGGATTGCTTCATAAATCGATTAAGTCAAGCCTCGAAATTAACGGGAGGTAGTCAAATGAGCGCCAAAATGGGCCAATCACAGCGGATCAGCGCGGCATTTCGCGCCGCACCAAAAATGACTGGAAACATCATTTCAGCGCCGAATCAGCCCATTCTGTTGCGATTTTGCTTTTCTGCGCGTTTTTACTGTTGTTTTTATTCAACTAGTTAACACGGAATAACAACACATGCATCGCAATCATCTAAGATAAAATATTCTTGGCAGCAAATACCAAAATAAATCATGAACAAACGTTCTTTGACTCAGGTGTTCCTTTGTCCGCCGCTTCTGCGCAGTTCACGAGCCTAAGCAAAGAACTATGTTAACTGTAAGCAAATTGTAACGAAACGGCAAGAAACGGTGAAAAGCATGCTTTGGGGGAAAATATCACACAACTAGCAAATTTCACTTTTCATCAAAAACCTTAAATCGAGCTATCTATCAATTTTTCCGCGCATTTGGTGCCTACTGCCGTGCCCTAGGTCAATGGTGAAGTGTAAAACAGAAGCAAACCCTAAAACATGCAAGCAGCGTAGAAAGCAAAATATTAAAATTTGTCGCGCTGAAATGAACGTTTTCCGTCATTTTTGGCCCGGCGCTTGCGTTTTTAGGCCTTTTAATTTGGCGCTCATGATTGTTTTCCAGTCATTTTTGGCCGGCGCTCATGGTGGCGCTGAAATAAGCGTGAGCCAAATCGTTGGCGCTGAAATGATTGACGCTCAATTTTTGGCGCTCATTTGACTACCTCCCAAATTAACAAGTGCGTGACTCTTTGCAAAGTAAAAACAAGAAGTGAAAAATATTAATAACTGAATGGACAAAGAAATCTAAAAGTTCTCTGAATGGCCAGAAGCTAGAACTTTTCTAAAAAGGCATTAGCAGTTTGTTAGAGGATTAAAAACTGGTGCTAGCTACGCGCAAAGTATTTAAAAAAAGAAATTTTCCGTAAATCTAACAAGACCTCCAAAGAAATGTGGGGCCGACCCACATTATACTCAGATTAGTACATTTGGGACGTAAATTTTGCACTGGAAGCTATTGAACAGTCTTTTTGGGTAGGGATATCCTTCAAACAGAGCCGATGTATTCGGTTAAAGTTGCCTTTATCATTGGCCTTAAGCTCAAAAAAGAAAAAGCAAGAAATATTATGATTAAGGAGACTCGGTAAATAAATATACGTATCTGACTTCCCAAAATGTTTCCAATAATGTTTCCATTTTTAGAGGACTCTACCCTCGTTCGTGGACGGAATACAAAGTGCCCTCGTGCAATCTCTCGGTCACATTGCGACAAGTTAATCCCGTCTTTCCGAACAACTACAAGGTAAAGCTTTCGGCATTAAAATTTTTATATTTAAGTTTTAGGAAACTTCATTCCCCACAACCGCGTTTATTTTCGATGTTGACAATAGAAGTAATGTTCAATATGAGCTAAAATCTTAAAAACTGCACTCTATGATAACCGAACCTTGTTTACAGGTATCAATTGCTTTTGTGTTTCACAACGGAACGGGTAAAAGAAGATCGGATCTTGCTGCCGGTTGCACAGCGGAAAACTTTGAGGAAAATGGTTTATGAATCTCAGTTTAACCTATCGAATACCCAATTTTAGATATTGCGGGTGTCGCTTTGCAACACAAGATCAATAAGATGAATTGGACGTACGGGTTGGCAACACGAGTTAAAGTAAGCAATAACAATTTTATTCCTTATAACTTTCTTTTCGTTTAGTCTGATCAAATTACTTCATTGTGTCGTTCCTTTGACCCTTGTGGAAATGGGTTGACGTTGTGGCAACATCTTGCTGAGACTGGAAATCTGCCTGGTGAAGGTATCTTTTTAGTGAAATGAATACAATGAATGATTTTCACTAAACTTATTTTAGCCGATCTTCCGTATCCGGCTCGTTTGGGTGTTGGTGTTTGTGTAAAAGGAGTCGTGCCACCAAAAAGCACTCGCTCGGATTGGGCCGAATTCTCGTTAGCTTGGGACATGCCGAAGGTGAAATTCGGCGATGGAAGACGAGAATACAAAAGGTAAGGAATTTTCCCTCTAATGGGTACTGGATTTTAATGATATACTATTAAAAGAACATTGTAAAAGAATGTCCAGTTTATAACCGTTTTGCTTTTCAGGCGATACACCCGATTCTTCGATTCATTGGAGGGACTCGCGGCGAAATTGTGCTCAACAACTCCTCTCGACTATTCGCAATGGGAGACGAAAATCAACAAGTAGCAGGAACCGTTTTTGGGACATTCGTGCGTTCATGCTGTGATTTAATCCATGTTATCAAGTTTTATTCTAACATTTAGTAGCACTCGAGTTTAGATATTTGCCCGAATGGTACAAAGCCGCGCTTTTCAACGAGCTCTACTACATGACCGACGGTGGCTCAGTGTGGTTCGAGTATGATGGGAATTGGAGTCAATAGGTAGTTGTAGATATCTTTCTTGTAGATTTTTTTTAAAACCCCCAAAACTTTTTTTTTAAAAAAAAATATAAAAAAAAAATAGGGTTTTTTTGTTTTTTTAAAAAAAAAAAAAAAAAAAAAAAAAAAAAAAAAAATTTTATTTTTTTTTTTTTTTTTTTTTTTTTTTTTTAAAAAATAAAAAAAAAAAAAAAAAAAAAAAAAAAAAAATTTTTTTTTAAATTTAAAAAAAAAATTTTTTTATTTAATTTTTTTTCGATCGCTCCTCTCTGGCCGGATTTGGAGTTTTTTGGACCATTCAAGCGGAATTCAGTGAGTTTCAAAGAGAATCTTTGGATTACTATCTTGTACGCTACCTATAAAGTTCCTGTAACAATTAAGTTTATCTTTTCTTTACAGCTGATCAAGTCGAACACAGCCCCAAGAAAGAGATTCGCTTTCACATGGAAGGAGGACAAAGCACCACTCAAATCGAGAGCCCGCGTACCACATGATTTAGGAAATCCAGGTATCACAAGTTTTTAGCTGATTATGTAATCCATTTTTCCAGCGCAAGATCCCTGGTTGTTGACGAACGCCTATGTGATGCACGACACTGGAAAATGGAAAGATCTTAACTTGAAATTCGTGCTCACTTCATGGCGTGACTATGTGATTCTGATGGAGAAGAATCGCAAATTTTTAGATCATGTCTACCCGGTTGTTAAGGTAAATTTTGGTCCGAAGAATTTTTTTAAATTTCTACTTTAGTTGCTGATCAACGATGCGCTTGATTGTTGGGATCAAGACCGTGATGGTTAGTGACCTTCCATTTTCTGATTTTTTTAATTTTTTTATGAGAAATTTAGGAATGATCGAGAACTTCGGGAAAGCCGAGCAAACACATGATGCATGGCAGATGGAGGGCGCCAGGTGGGAAAATAGTGTTTTACTTAAACTGAGAGTTTTTAGTGCTTATTGTGGATCGCTTTGGTTGGGCGCTTTGAGGGTGGCGGAGGCGAGGGCTGAAGAATGTGGCGATATTGAAAGCTCGATTCGATACCATCAAACACTTGTCAAAGCTAAGCAGGTATATGAGTGGAGCGGCAACAATGCGTAGTTAATCGGATTTTAGGTGTTTATCGACAAGCTTTGGAACGGAGCCTATTTCAACTTTTGCGAGCGCTCAAAGAGTCGTGATTCGGTAATGGCTGATGAATTGTGCGGGATCGGGTTTTTACAAAGTTGCTCACCGGAAATGGCTGCTGAGGTGAGTGGATTTAAAAGCTTTAACCAAGTTTTTGTTGACGTGAATTTCCTTTAGTTGGTTCCTACTAAGAAAGTGTCGAAAGCTTTGGCGACGATCTACGAGTTGAACGTGTGCAAATTTGGTGATGGGAAGATGGGCGCCGTGAGTGAAATGAGACCCGATGGAACTTTGGATCGAGGGTACATACAGGTGTGATTTGTTAACCTTAAAATTTAAGGCCGATGAAATGTGGACTGGTGTCACGTATGCGGTTGCTGCTTTTATGATTCAACTGGTTTTCTTTTTTTGTAAATAAATGCAAATTTTTTTTAGGGAGAACTTCAACGGGGATTCGACACAGCTTTTGGCAGTTATGACTCGTGTTTTGAGTGCTTCGGGCTACAATTTCAAACTCCCGAGGCTATCTACGAGAAGAAGTAAGCATAGATTCTAATAAAAGCATGATGTGGTTAAGTTTTACATGTATAATTGCTATCCGTTATAGATTTCTATTGCGCGATCGGCTACATGAGACCACTATCGATTTGGGCGATGCAATGGGCACTTGAGCGTTTCGACAAATTTGGCAAAATCGATGAGCACTCGAGTATTCAGGGACTTCAGCCAACAACGCCCGCGATTCCCAGGTAGATCTAACTTATAATTGTTCTTATAATTTAATAATAGTGCTGAAAGATATAACCGGATACAAGCTAACTTTTTCAATCATTCATTTTAGCCCGTGCCCATCGGAGGGATATTGCAGCGAGGAGCGAGACGAATCGAATCAGGTACAATTATTGGTTTATGTGACAGTTTAACAAGTTAATTCGCATTTTTCAAGGATTAGGTTATCAGCAGCCGGTCTAGTTGTTGAAATATGTATGCAATCTTCTAAATACGATCTCATTCAGGTACTTGTCGACTCCGGTCTTTCGACATCGAGTGGGCCCGGCTGAGATTTGAACGATTTTCCGCAGATTTCTCCCGTCGATACCTTCAACTCTCTAACTCTATGTATTGGGTTGGGGAGAATGAGTCGGCGCCCAACTTTAAAGGGACTTTTTGCACACATAAAGCCTTCTTTAAACATACGTTTGGTTTCATCGAAAGGATCCACTATTTCTCTACAAAATGACTTTTGAGAGATTCCACAAAGCTTTTCTTTCGTGGAGTTTATAAACTTCCAAACGCAGCTGGTTAAAATGGCAAAGAGTCCGACTCATCATTTGAACAGTTTCTTTCACATAAACCTTCTTTGGTGTTTATATAAAAAAGATAGAGCACATTCAATTACTTAAGTTGCCAAATTTGCAGGAAGATCCCACCAATGGTTTTTTCTCGATGACAGTTTGTAGTTTTTGTGAAAAAATGGCTTTTTCTTGAGCGGAGGCGCTGTTTGAATTTTCTTTTAAATGTGATTTTGTAGAGAATTAGTTAACCATTCTACTCATATCAAACGCATATTATTTGACGAAGTCGAATAGAAGTTTTAGACATTTTTTTGATTTTCGGCGCCGACTCATTCTCCCCAACCCAATATGTTTAGAATATCTTAGGTATATCCTTGTGTTTCTAGATTGTTTTTTCAATTGATTGTGATAAATCTCTCTCTTCTAATCATTTTTTTTTAAATGAGTCATTTATGAATTCGAGTTTATTTCTCTCATTTCTTTCTCTATAGTGCAATTATTTTTAGACTGTGCATTGCCAATCCACAAAATGAGCTTGTGATTTACGTGAGTTGGGAATCTCAAAGGAATTAGTCGAAGAACGATTGAAATTTTTGATATCAGTACAAGTGAGTTTTTGTCACAAGCTTTTCATAAATATAGTTTTTAGGAAGGAATGGAGTTTGGAAGTTGATCAGAACATTTTTGCACTCTTTTGAGATTGTTTACTTGAGCATTGTTTTGCTGGTCAAATTATGTATTTGGGAATTGACTTGGGCTTTTATTTCTTTTGCTTTTGGTTGTCACAAGTATTTCTTATGGCACTTGCACTTTTGCGTCTTTTGATCTCCTATTGCTTGCTCATTTTATACGGGTTCCTTGTTAGTGTAACGTTGTTTTTATCAATCAGTACTAACGTTTTTGTGCAATAGAATAAGGTTAAGGAAAAGGTTTCTTTCTAGCACATATTTTTGAAGTTCACGATCCAATGAATTATTGGTTTGAATGATAGATGTTGTTAAGAATTAATTTGGTTTGGTAATGGTGATGCCAGTGCCGCCTAATTAACTTCCTTTCAATTACACTGATTTTAGATGTCTCATAGCAGTGAAGATAGGGGACAACCTGACGAACGGCGAGTGGCGCAAGGCGGACAGCCAAATGAAGACGATCTCGAGAGTAAGCTTCTCAACATTCAATACAAACGCTTCTGCGTGGATGGCAAGCAGAACAAATGATGACTTTTCATCAAGATAGCAGAGGTATTTTTTGTTTGGTGCTGTCGAAAGACAAATTTCGTTAGTTATAAGTAGTAGCAGGTTGAGAAAGCTTATGGGAAACATAGATGGGAAACAATCTTATGTGAAAAGGTTTAGAACGCGGCGACCTCTTACAACGTTTGCATGTCTCGAAGTCAGGTCTGTCTATAAATGTGCAATAAAATTTCCACCTAGCAAAAAAGTTCAGATGGTGATTCCCGGAGAGGGTATCGGTGAACTTCTCGCAACTTTGTGGGAGCTAATCGACAAATATTCCTCGGAATATTTGGATGAACATATTTCACCAGCAAATCTTCAGAGGCTAAACGGGTTACCTAATTGTTTTGTTTATGCCTTGATATATTATTTTTAGTTTCGCGGTGAAGGCGTTCTACTCGCTTGATTTATTATTGCAAAAAAGTATGAATTTCAAAAAACATATGGAGGTTTTACTACTGCTCTAAAGAACAGTTATAAAAATTCTCATTATAACTTTGTCATGGGCAATAAAAATTTAGGTGAAGCAAGCTTCCGCCCCTCGATCACCGTTCCATTTATTCGTTGGCGAAATTCCGAGGGGCTCAGCAAGATCATCGACGGCTTTGAGAAAGTAAGATTTAACTCTACTATTTTTTTACTCTTTCTTCAGGTTCCAACGGAGGAGGTTGATGGAACTGCAGAATAATTCGAGTTATGATTATAAGATTTTTCTGTTTTTCAGATATATGTTCAGATTTTACGTGATTCACTCGTTGTCATAGATGCCAATTTTTTTTCCAACTCTTTTTTTTTTATTTATTTCCTACTTTGCTACTGTTACATTGCTTACATGGTTTGTATTCTTTGATAAACAACCCAAACTTTTTGCGAATTTGATTGTTTTTCCTCAAACTTAATTTATTTTAAGGTTTCATTTTTTCATACTGTTTCTCTCCGTTTTCCATCTGTTAAGGTATTATGTTCATTTTTATGGGAAATTTCCATTTGTTAGCACATGATTTGTGTGACCAGTAGAATTTTTCGGCTGAGCGAACGTTTGTCACTGTCTTAAAGTTGTTTCTGGGCGTGATCTTCTGATAAATTATTTATTGGAGTTCATTTGCTTCTACGTTAGAGGTGCGCACAAAGATCAAAGGTTTATTTGTATACTCATCAGGTATTATGGAATTTGTTAGTACTTAAACATGTGTTGGCAACTGGCTTCGGGTTCAACGGAATATTAGGTTTTTGTCTGTAGAAAGAGAGGGGTAAGGGGTGGATCTCTGGGGAGAACAATGGAAAAGAAATGCTTTCATCTTTCAAAACTCGAAATGCTGCCACGCTCCTCGAATTTGCCCTTGCTTCTCACTCGCGGCTCTCTTTCTCCGACTACTTGCTGCTGTTTTCTTACAAGAACTTACTAAACTTACTTTCAAGTGAGGCTGATATTAACTCAAATTTTAATTAAGGCAAATAGGCTAAAAAGAACTTTGGTGTTATTTTTAATCCCATTAAACAAAATCAAATGCTATTTTTTCCTAAAATAAAAATCAAAAAACCTTTTTCTAAAGAGAACCGTCAAAAGTGATAATGGTAACATGCTGTGAAATCGAAACTTATATAACGAGTGACCATTCGTTATATTCGTATCCTCGTCAGGTTATTGAAAATTTCATTGGCCAGAAACGATGCGATGCCAGGGAACCCTCTAGAAAACTCAAACTTTCGGCTGAATCATTTCGTTACGGACGATGAGTTGATGCTCGGTGAGGATGACCACGCCCACTCACGTTAAAGCTTGCCAATGGCAAATTTCACTTTCCAACGGCAGGCCACGCCCCTGAAGCTCTGTCCCTTATGAGAGTGAGAAACCCATCAAAAAATTTTATTTTGGCTGCTTCGTTCGCCGGTTCGATTTACATTTGCATTTCGGGGGAGGGAAGGAAATTCTTTTTGGCAAACATTTCATTTGAAACTCTCGTTTCCATCAAGCCGGTTGGGTGTCTTCGTTTCGCTTTCCCCCTAGCTTCGCTTATGGCCTGATTTACGATTTTCTTTGTGGGGTAGGCTACAATTTTTTTGCGGAACTCGCCATAACTTTCTTCTAAGTGGGCCAATCTTTATGATTTTGGTTTTATTTTGTTGCACTTATTGAAAATGAAACCAAAATCATAAAGATTGGCCCACTTAGAAGAAAGCTATGGCGAGCTACACAAACGACCCAGTTGCACCAAAAAAATGGCGCAAAGTAGCCTGCGCCGCTTTTGTGAATCCGTTAATTTCTTCTATTGTTCTATTCGTTGAAACTTTTCGTTAATTTTTGAAATAGCGAGTGATCGCTCGTTATAGCTATGAATTTAGCCTTTTTTCAAATCTTGTTTCACGATCATTAATTCCTTATTTAGAACGAAAATGGCAGAAACGAAGACGGAATTGTCTGAATCAGACCGAATTCTTCAATTTACGCTCAAGGACGAGCAGGCGACCTATTTGAACGTCGACCAAAATCGAATCGAACTCCGTTTCAAGAACCACATTTTTACCTTTCAACATAACAAGAATGGTCATCACTACGAGCAAACGGCGCCTGCAAAAAACAAACGCGTTGTTACTGTCCCTGGTCTTCGCTTTATGGTAAAGATTTGTTTATAAATGAAAAAGCGCTAGTGAAATTTTGTTGTGAAACCTCAATCCCACGCCATTCTGGTTAAAATTTTTAACTTTTGTCATTTAGGGTAGATCTGGTCGTTCGGGCGAAATCGTCGATTTGGTGCTAGTTACTAGCAGCGGCTTCATCGAGGTCCAATGTATCAATGCGCTCAGCAACGGCGCAGGATACACCCATAGTTGATGGCAAGCGGCTTTCGAACCAAGGGCCCCGGTTCGACATCTTAATTTGCTTTGAAGGTTAAATAAATGTGGCCTCGAGGCTAAACTAATTTTTTTACGGTTTTTTTAGGTGTCAATAAAATCTTGTATTTGACGTTGTAAGAGGTCGCCGCGTTCTTAACCTTTTCACATAAGAAATTTACAATGAAGTGTATACGGTTTGCGCAATTCGCAAGAAACGTTTTGCTTGAGATCCAAATAATAGCGCCTGGTTTCATAATTCAACTTCTCCGACTTCGGTTCAACGTCTTTCTAAACAAAGTTCCAAAAGGAGATCATGCTTTGTTACTAGTGGAATTCAAAGGGAGTGGTACATTATGAAGTGCTGAAACCTGGAGAAACTGTTAATGTCAATCGCTATTCGAAACAACTGATAAGGGCTAATGCAGCTTTGAAGAAATTGGGGATCAAACCGTCAAGAGTCCGATTTCTGGACGATAATGCAAAACCTCACACCGCAAAGGCTGCTCATAAAAAAATTGAGGAGCTGGGTTGAAAACTTTTGCCTCACGCACCTTACTCTCCTAACCATGCACCGTAAGATTATTTTTTATTTCGGACGTTGAAACACTTTTTGGGAAATGTACAGTTTGATAATCATGCTCAAGTAAATAAGCTTCACGTCTATTTCACCTCCAAGAAATCGTTTGAATTCGACGATGCAATCCGGGATGTGTGCAGAAGATGGGAAGAAGTCATCGATAAAAATGGAGAATACCTTACCGATTGATCTTTGCTTGTTTGAGTTTTTTTCAATAAATAGTTTTGATCAAAAAACGGGCATTATTTTCTTTACACCTTGATAACAATTAACGAAAACCGATTAAGGGAACAGTAAATCTTTGTCAAAAAGTAGGAGGCACTGTATGTTTTTGCGCATGTAGATAGAAATCATGCGTGCGTTTAATCCTCTTACATAGTTGATTGAGATATAAACTAACTGAGTATTCAGTGTAACGTGCTTTATCTTCTGTGAAGCCTTATTCTCCTTATCCTTCTGACTTAACTTCAGCAGATTACTTTTTAGAGAGTGTGCATTAATTATGGGCCTCCTTATTTAAGAGACTCGCAGCTAGAAATGTGTATTAACAAACACAATCTTTTTTTGACAAAGCAGCATTTTCTTTAAACTTTTGACAGGAAGAATCATTAAGTTGCCGTACAGTATGAGCAGACTGCCAACAAGAAAATTTATCGCCAACTCTTACCGGCTGAAGCTATTGAAAGATTGGAGCAGGCCGATGTGCCCCCCGATTGGGACATTTGAGCCCAACTCGATCTTGATATTAACTTTCTGTTAATCCATTCAAGAAGGCTGTTAAGAGACTGATGTTTTTCAGTTGTCGATTTGCTGCTGATTATTTCTTACTTTTGATTGAATACATGTTGTACCGGGTAGTTGCAGCAGCACGAAACGATCACACAATAAAACAAACGACAAATGTAAACGAAAAAACATTTGGCTATTCTGTTTTCAACGAAATTCATGGAGTAAACATGTTTTGTTGTTGCGTTTTGTTAAGAAACATGGAAAAACCCGTTCCACGATTGAGAAAGATACGTTAAGACAAGGAAGAATTCAAAATTTCTGTAATAACAGGTTGTCAGTTTGTAAAATTAGGGTTTTCAGTAGGACTAAAACTGCAAAAGCTACCTGATTCTTAAATTTGTGACAGATTAATCTAGCTACAAAGCATTTTTTCCTGTAATTTGAATCAGAATTGTTTATTTGTTAATGCTAACGGCAAAATATAATATGTTTACCACCAATAATGACTGTCTGGGACTCCTTCCTTGTTTGGCTCCTCGTCTCGATCCACTTTTCGATACCATCCATCCGTTTTCCATTCATCCATCAGATATAACAATTGAGCTCTCATCGCGTACACCCCTCTCCAATCATTGGTGACCGCTTCTCGAATCGATTCGTCTTCTTCCAAAGAATCGTAGATCAATTTTATGTCGTCGTCGATAAATGTGACGGCGGAACAGTATCGTTTCGCTCTGAAGAGATCTTCCAGCTCCATGCTACCGACCATCGGATTGTAGTTGGCGCCGACTTGTTTCACGGCTTCTGAAACAAGATCTTTATAAAAATTACAATCAACTCTTGATATAACCTCTCTATCATGTCAATTCTAAAGAGTCTCCAAAAAACCCTGTATGGCTTATTCGTTTAATTATTCAATTTAGCAGCTACGCGAAAAAAGTTAGAGCACTTTTTAGTATTGCGAAAACTTTGAATCAAGAGTTGATCTTGAAGCTTCCCAGAAACCTCGTAATAGAGTACATTATTTTTCCATCAAATACAATATCTTTTGATATCCCTTGGTTAATTGGTGCCTTCCCCAGTGTTCTCACAAAAGTTCCCCAGTTTTTGCATTACCGACCTGGAAAGTTCTCTTTCAATTGCTCCCCATCTTCAGCCGTCCATTCATCGTTTGCTAGCTGTTCGTCGAGAGCCCTCAACCGTCCAAACTCGTACCCGGCATCCAGAATATCTCGCACGATCTTCCATTTGTCCGTCTCTGCCCTCGCGGCAATCAGAGCTCTCAAAAAGGCCTCTTTCGCTGCTCTCATCTCTTCGGCCAGCTCGGACGACATCTGCAAAATATTTTCAATTCACTGTGATACCAAAAATTTTTAGTAATGAAAATTAAACGGCTACATAGTAAACGAAATAAATAAGCAAGGGTGAAGAAAAGCAACTCGCTTTTCAATTCAAAAAGCAGAACTGTTTTTTGCACCAAAGCTACCGTAGTTGCGCAATTAAATGGCATAAGACAGAGGCTGAAAGGAAAAAAAAAACGAAAACTGGAGAATAGCAGTTAGTCTTTAAGCTGAAGCAATTCGATAAGAAACGAAGAACGTTTTAAAACGAGTTTTAAAAACAAAAAAGAGAAAAGCCGTTGTAAATCTGCTCGAACCTCTAATTTGTTTGCGGAAGAAGTCTCTGAAAGTTCGTTTTTACATGGAATTCTACGAAATGTCAAGAAGCGACAAAGAAAAACTGTAAGAATGCAATAACAGACTACCCAAAAGCAATAATTTGATAAGTTGAATATTAAAAGAGCGAAAAAATACTGTGCAAAAAGGATTGATGAGGGGGAAAGTGAGGCAACGAGAGTTTTTTGGCAGCGTTTCAAAAATGAGGAAAGGGAAAAAGGACTGTTAGCAAGAGAGAAAGATGGTCAAAGTGCGAATTTCGTTGCACAATCGAAATACCAATGAGCGAGAAGGGCCAATGTCAATGGAAAAAGAGGATTGCTGCCAGAAACCAAGAAAAAAAAACGATTCCCGTTTTCACGAAAACGCATAAATTTCTTTTTTGAACAAAACATGCAAGCGAACTCAGCTTTTATTGTCTTACATTGTTGTTTCACCAAATCAGCCCGGGTTAACGAAATAAAATAACTAAACTTTACCAGAGCCCTAACCATCACCTCGAGAGAAACGTTTCCTGCGGGAAAATTGCGGAGGGAAACCTTTCTCGAGAAGGTTCTGTTTTTGTGGAAGAATGTTTTCTAGACCGAAATTTCATCTAGATTTCGAATTTTTAAAACTGTTCTTCAAAAAATTTTCTTTTGGCCCTAAAAACGAGGTGGTTCCGAACTTTTGAAATACCCTGTAGCATTTTGCATTTTGCATTTTGCGAGAAACATTTTGCGTTCTTATAAAAACTATTTACACAAAATTCTTCCATTATTTTAAATAGGTTATTTCTGCAAAACAGTCTTTTCATTTTTTTCTGAAAAAAACCCACAAAACCGATTTTCTGCCTAAATTAATCCATCCGAGGAATTTTGGATAACTAAACCCGTTACGTTCACGTTTCCCTCAAGTTTCCGACTAGCATCTCTTATCGCAGTTTTCGTTTGCTTGAAAAGATTTATCGTCCCCCCCCCCCTTTCTCTCCCGTCTAAAATCTAGCGCCCCGGCTCGGCGCCAAAAATGCGAAGGTCGAAAGGGAAGTTGAATATTCTTCTGCAATCAAAATCGTTGGCCAGTGCTTGTTGTGGAAAAGAGAAAGAGTTAGGGACTGCTCGCGTTTTTTTTTCTAAAAATATCGATTGATTCGCAGATTTGAAGAGTATTATTGTTGGGTTGGCCGATAAAATGAGGCAGTTTATCAAGTTGGCCACATTTTGCGTACACAGCCAATACGGATCAAGTTTTATGCAGCTGAGCACATCAAACTCATCATTCTTTACCTCTATTTCACGCCTTTGCAAAATTTTGAAAACTTTCTAGAAGTAGCTTTCATTTACTTGTTTCTCAAAAAGGATTTAGCTGTAAAAGTGCCCACAATTTGCAATGTTCTTATTTCTTGTAGATAGAACATCTTTTGACATTACTTTCAAGGCCTTTTGTTTGAGAATCTTTTCAAAATCTTTCTCTTTTTGCTAGTGATTGATGGGTTTTCTTTTTAAGAAGCCTAAAAATCCGAATTTTTAGAATGGTCGATCAGCCGGAGGACGTGATTCTCCCAAAAGGACCCGACGATTCAGATGGTTTCAGAAAACACGATTGGGAGGATAAAGAGCTGCAGAAATGGCTCGAAGAGGCGAAGGGATTCCAACAGGCTCACTACAATGACAACGAGAGAACGGAGAGGTTCCGGAACGAGCGGTCCACGGAGGATGGCCTAATGTTGCGACTGTGCGTGATCTCGTATGGAATGCGACCGGTGCGTTGCATTTCGTTAACAAATAGGCTGTAAAAACGAGTTGTACAGTAATATATTCTTGAAAAAAGTACAGTAATCTGTTTTATTTTTAGGGCTATTCGAGTCTCCTGCAAGCCTACAGTAAGGCCGAAAAAGCCCCGGTCAAAGACATGATCAAGACAATGAAGAAGAACTGCAAAGGGGCCATCGAGTTCAATATTGTTTATGTGTCGATCGGGGTCAAACAAGACGATGGAACGTTTGGAGATCGAGAGATTCCATGTAAATATTTTGAAAACTACATCACTTTAGATACTTAAAAAAATTTAGCGAAAACATTACTTAGGTGATAAACTGTTCAGAGTATTGTAGCGGAAAAACTTGTTACGTTCTTGTCCCGGATCCGATTGTACTGTAATAACAGTACAATCGAATACCGCTGGACAGATAATCAAATTCTACATGGAGTGATACCTAAATCGTCAAAATCGGAACAGAGACAGTAAATTTACAAATTTCTACTACAGTACTCTGGCGAGTCGGCCCCTTGTTGTCTCGGACGCTAAAAACGGCAGCTAATTCATAGCCAAAAAAAGAACTTGATTAAAAACAGATCTTTTGATTAGATCCATGATACCAGATCCTACTAGATACCCGATTAAAAATTTTCAGTAATCCGTCTGACGGCCTCCAAAAAAGTTATCGACATGAGCGATCCGGGCTGTCTCTATCGAAGCTATCGTGACTATCTTGACAAGAACAAGTTGGAACCGTCCGTGATTCTCTACCCGGAGAATGGCACCTATGCCGAAAAGAAGGTCCAGCTGAAGGCCTGCGAATCAAATAGTTGCACCTTCTTCAGCGACGTCGTCAAAGTGGCCCAATTTGTGGTGACCGTGGTCGGAGTTGCGACAACAATCATGACCCCTCTGTGTATGCTCGGGGGGCCAGCTCTGGCAGCGATGAGCGCTCGCGTGGCCGTGACCGGCTCTTTCTGGGCCGCCAGTCTGATCAGGGCGGGAGCAGTGGTGGCCACCGCTTCGAGGTATCTCTCCGTGGCTAACACGATCACTTCGTGGGCTGGAGTCGTCTTCGCCGGGATGTGAGTTCCCCAGAAATTCTATAGACTTTCTATCAAGCAATAGTTCAAACAAGATACGATACTTCATTTGATTTTTCCCAAAAGTCGTCAGTTCTTTCGAAATTTGTTAAAAATTTATTAGAGCTCGATAAAAATTGATCTGATTCGAAAAATTGGGCTTAGTTTACTTATCCAAATTAGGCTAATCTTAAAAAGTTGACACATAATTATAAAAATGAAACAATAAAAACGATAAGTTACAAAAAAAACGCAGTGATTTTAAGTTTTAAATGCTATTTTAGGGGAATCTACCAGAAATTGGGCCGCGGCGAGACTTGCTATGGAGAAGTGATGACTATGCTGACATTTGCTCTGAACAAAGCCCAAGAAATGTATGCAAGGAGGGTGAGGAACGCGATTCTCGTAGATGGATTGACGTGGGGAGAGTGGGAAGCGAGTGAGTTGGAAATTCTTTGAAAAGTAATCCCAAATACAGCGCTAAGTCCATACGACAAGTTGTTGTACTTCACGGCGAGACTGTTGCCTATGATCACTTCGTCTGTTGGCTTGGCCGTCACTTTCTACCAATTGTTGATGAATCCATATCGTACGATGTACGAGGTCACCTCGTTCTCGATCTCCCTGTTCATGTTCACAAACACTTTGGTCCGCCCGTGGACCTTGCATGCTCTATTTGAGACGACTGTTGGCGATATCACGAACGAGCTGAGGAGCAGATTTAAAGTGGGTTCAAGATTTCATCAAAACTCGAAGCAAATCAAATTAGAGATAAAAGATTCAAAATAGTTTTTAGAGATTTCAAGTAGTTTATTGGTTGCTTTTACTTTTTCATTTGAGTAAAAAAAGAATAATAAGAAATGTTTTTTAGAATTAGTTTTTTTCAAGTTTTCGATATTACGAAAACTAATTTTGGAAATTAAAAATAGCTTACAACTCTTTTGAACTTTCAGAAAGTTTAAAAGGGTCGAAACTTTTAAAAATAAAAGTAGTTTAGCCACAAAATGAGGATGAGAAGCGAGGGCAGGAGCGTTTTGAAGAAGATTTGCGGAATGCGAGCGAGAAGGAGAAGATCTTCATGATAAAAAACTGTTATCGCATCGAGGATCTTCCAGGATTCTATACCCGGATGTCAAACACTAGATCCACAGTCAAATACAACAAGAACGGGTTCATTTTGAATCGGAACGTCGAGTTGGCGCCGGAGAAGTGGAATGAGGTCGGGAGAAAGGATTTCATCTTGGGGCAGCTCTTGGAGAGGAAAGAGACTAGCGCCGATCTGGACAAATCTGTGAAAACGCTGATGGAAGATTATGACCCGGATCTTGTAGAAGATGCTCAAAAGTTTGTGAAAGGGCAATTAACAGAGGAAGAAAAGAAGGCGTTTATGGGAAAATTGGATGCTCTGGAACAGAACAGAAAAGATAAATTGTTCCAAATATCGGCGGATTATAAAGAGGCGACCGATCTTCTGGGAAGCACCGAGAGAGCGGAAAGAGATTTGGCTGGCGGAAAGACGTTGGAAGAGTGGAGAATCGAGAAGAAAGAGCTCGAGGCAAGGAGGTTCGTTTTGGATAAGGTTTTACAAGCAATAATATCTAATATCTTATCTTATCTAATAATAAATCTGTATTTTTATTCTATAGAAAGTTATTTAACAAAGTAACACGAAATCTAAACCTTTTGAATACTCAATTCGACCAAAGTCAGTTCATTTAGAAAGTCTCAATTGCAACAACTTTAAAGATTAGGAGAAATAGAAACCCCAATATATGGAGGTTCTATTACAGAAACTCTCAATTTTCAGAGACGCCACGACGGATCCACAAGCCCGCGAGGAGCTGAATAGGGAGATCGCCGACCGTCAGACTTCGATCGAGCAAGCTCAAAAAATTCGAAATGATCGCAGCGCCTATTTGAAATCTTTTCTTGAGCCCCCAGCTGATGATATCATCTCGCAAAACGAACAGAAAATGAAGCAAGCCAATGAAACAATGAGAGAATTGATTAAACATTATGATCCAAAGGTCGCGCAGAAGTTCGCGAACGAAAAAATGACGAAACAGGAGATAGAGGCTTTCGTTGCCGACATGGAACCGCGGCATCAGGAGCGCTTCTTACAGGCCGAGGGGGAGCGCCAAGAAGCCAAGGCGTTCCGCGATACGGTTGATACGGCTGAAAAGGGGGCTGCCAACGGGAAAACTTGCGAAGAATGGAACAAAGAGAAGAGAAAGTTCGAGAATATGAGGTTGGTCAACAGCGAAAATATGGCTCTATGCAAGCTTGAAAATCTTATTCAGATGACTCCATATTTTTATGAACATAGTTTATTTTTAATGGAGATTTTGAATTTACATAAATTCAAAAATATTCAAATAGGGGATAAATATGGGTAAAGTATGAAGCACGATAAATATGGGTAAAGTATGAAGCAATTTCTAAAGGGCAGCCGGGCAGCCAGTGTCTTTTAAATCTTTCATTTCTCTGTCAAGGTGTAAAGAAAATAATGCGCGCTTCGAATTTACCGGTGCTGGCAATTTGCCAAATGTTTGCTTACGTAATGTTTTGAACAAAAATAAACTACACACTCACTAGATTTATAATCGTTTCCTTTTTACTTCACTAACGGTTTTTACTGCAAAAAAAAAAATCGATGACAACAAGCTCGTGCTTCGAGATGCCATGCTGAATCTCACCGTTCACTTGTCAAAGCTTTTGAAGATGATTGTATTAGTGAAAGACAGTGTCGTCGATGGTTTCATCGTTTTCGAGACGGCACGCCTCCACGATGAACCACGTGCTGGACGCCTTCTAGAAATTTCAAATGACGATTTGCTCCATGCTATTGAAATTGATCTCACATTTCGGGAATTAGCAGAATTTTTTGACGTTAACCATGTGACAATTGAAAACCATTTACATCAACTCGGGAAAAAGGTTCGACATGGAAAATGGGTTTCACATGAGCTGACCCAAGGTAAAAAGCTCGTGTTACCGTGTGCTCCAACTTGCTTCAAACGTGTAAATCACACGATTTTTTCGACAGAATCTTGACTTCTGATGAGACTTGGATCAGTTATGACAATGCCACTCGAAAGAAGCAGTGACTCTTTGCTGGTGAAGCCCCGCAAACCACCTCCAAGGTCGATATCTATGGATCAAAGATCATGCTTTGTTTATGGTGAAATTCAAAAGGATTGGTGCATTATGAAGTGCTAAAACCTAGACAGACAGTCGATGCAGATCTTTACTCGAAGCAACTAGTGAAAGCTAACGAAGTTTTAAAGAAATTAGGGGTCAAACCGTCAAGAGTCCGATTTCTGCACGATAACGCTAAACCCCCCACTGCAAAAGCCACTCATAAAAAAAATTGAGAAGCTGGGTTAGAAACTTTTGCCTCACGCATCTTACTCGCCTGACCGTGCACCGTCAGAATCTTTTTTATTTCGGACGTTGAAACACTTCTTGGGAGATGTACATTTTGATAATCATGCTCAAGTAAATAAGCTTCACGACTATTTCACCTCCAAGAAATCGTTTGAATTCGACGATGCAATCCGGGATCTGCGCAGAAGATGGGAAGAAGTCATCGATAAAAATGTAGAATACCTTATCGATTGATCTTTGCTTGTTTGAGTTTTTTTCAATAGATAGTTTTGATCAAAAAACGCGCATTATTTTCTTTACACCCTAATAGAATTTGGGACCTCAAGAAAATTTTTCCCTCTTGGATTTAACAGAAACAGAAAAAAACGTAATAACAATAATAGTTTAGAGAGCAAAATAAATAATTAAAGATAATTTAGAGAGCAGGCCAACAAGCAGCCGAGCCCCGATCAACAGAAAATTGATGACTTGAATGCAAAGATCAAAGAAAGCAAAGCTAACATTGAGAAGGCTCAACAAGCTCAAGTTGACCTGAACAAGACTCTGATTCGAGATCGGGAGACGGACTTCTCAAGGCAAATGACCGCGAATGATGGGGATTTCGAGGCGAAGACCCGAGATTTCCTAAAAGGGATGAGCACTTTCAGGAGGCAAGAAGATATCACGACAGTCGTCAACGTGAATATCGTGAAGCACTCGCTGCAGAACGCGTTCGGTGTCACGAACTATAAAGACATCTTGGTGAATGGGCAGCCAATCTTTGCGCAAACCACCGACCTTGAGCTCATGCAGTTGAGCGGGATTTTCGACAACCCACAAAAGGCGAAGATGTTTATCGACGTGTCTACTGCGTTGATCAACAGTTCCGACTGTTATTGGAAGGGCAATGACTCGAAGGAACTCGGCGCCGGCATGAAACTTCTAAACCAGTATGCGGTGGGTTTATTCAATCAGAAGACCCAGAATTAGTCATTTAATACTTTGAAATTACTAAGGCATCATAAAACTAAGAATAAATTTTGACACTCGAGAGTACAACTTTTTTTATAATTAGAAACTTTTTGGTGATTTGAAATTCGGGAATTGTAAATGCATCCGTTTTCTCACAAGAGAGAAAATCCTAGCATCTAAAAACTCAAAAATAAAGATAATAAATGATTTAAAACTTTGTAGTTGTCAAAAGTTTCGTTTTTCAATCTGTAAAAGAGAAACTTTAACAAAAAGAACTTTTGGCTCTAACAACTCTTGTTGAAAACGTAATTAAATTAAATAAAAAAACACAATTAAAGCTAAAATTCAGATGGCCTTGGCGAGGGCGAAGGTACCGGCGGAAGATCCGGGCTACGTGTTGAGTCAAATCTTGCAAGCGGCCAACAGCGAGCCGCAGGGAGCCAAATTCATCGAAGCTCGAGACTTTTTCAACGACGTTAAGTCGAGCGTCGAAGAGATCTACAAGAATAATCCGAAGTGTGTCCCTTTCGGGAATCCTTACACGGCGTACGCGCACTTCATGAAACACGACTCGCAGGGTGGAGTGACAATAAAAGAGGCTTTGTTGACAAGTTATCTCATCGAGAAGAACGACATGTTATTCAATCGAGGGTTGATGACGCAGCAATACCACTCGCAAGACGGCCAATTCAAATATCGTTCGTATATTTCGAAAGCCGATGCGCCGAGGACTTGGTTTGGTGCGACGGCAACGCCGACGAATGGGAAAACCCCCGTCGCGAAGACACAGATGGAAAAATGACAACTTTATTTTACATTTTTTCTTAATTTTTTTTCTATCTGTTTGTTTGCTAATTTTGCTTTTATAATAAATATGCGTTTTTCAAACTTTTATTTATCATTTGGGTTTTCTGCCCTTCGATTTTTGACGAGTTGAATCCCAAGTCATGAGAAAACTTTTTAGGTATCTATCGCTGGGAAGAGTTATTCTAGAGTTCGTTTTTATGTTTCTTGGACAAACAGCAACAGGATAAGGTGAGAATATAAGAAACTCTCTGAAAACGAGCTATTAAACGAAAATTAGCAAAGTTAACCGTTTAATCGGGTGAACCAGCTAAAATCATAATGTAATAGCTTAAGAAACAATAAAATCGGTTGATTCTAGTTTTTTTTGAAACGAAAGAAGAAATTCTATTATCAATTATTAAATCTAATAAATGTCAACGCAACTTGAAAACCACTCTTTAAAGTACAGATTGTGTTATGTTTTAGATGATCACCTACACGCCGGAGAGCCTCGAGATCGGGCTCACATTGCGACTCTACGCGAATTCCGAACTCGGCTATGAGGACCTCGTTTTGGGGATGTTTCAAGAAGACCCGAAGAGCCTCCCGAAATCCGTTGAAAGAAGATTGAGAGAACTCTACATAAAGCATCAAAAGTTGGTCATCCAGCATCAGGGCAAGAATTTCATCGCCGAATTCGTGAAGAACGGGGACACCAAACTGATCAAACGTTTTCTCGAATTGACGACAAATGGCGAGGAGGCAGAGCTCTTTAAGGGAATTGAAGAAGCTCAAGATATTCAATCGCGATTGGAGAAGCTCGAGGAATTGAATGAAGCTAAGAAGATCTCCAAATCGTTCCGGCGCTACTTCAACAATCAGATGAGAGTCTTCGTGAAGACAGGGATCGAAGACGAGTTTCGAGTGATTCTAAAAGAATGGCTGACAAGTGGAGAGGTGAATCTGAAGACTTGGCAACAAATCAAGAAATGGCACAAGGATGGCTGTGAATTGAAGACTTTTCGAACAATGAAACTCAAAGATCTTGCTGAGACCGATGTGTTGGTGCATAAAGTCCGGGATTTGGCGCAGAGAATCACGACCGATGAGTTCTTGGAGCCGGCGATGATCACAAAGACGATGGGTGCGTTTTTACCATTTTACAAGTTTTTGAAGTAAAAAATGCTTTTGATCCTTCTCTTTTCTGTCGCTCAGTCCAGCACGATTGAATATTTTGATTTAGTCAGGAGAGCTAGATTTTATGCAAGGTAAGCAAGTGCAATTCATCTAAATGTAAATTAGGTACAGGGCGTCCCAATATTATGGAAATTCGATCATTATTCTTTTGTTAATTTTCAAGAAATTTTTATAGATACCATAAAAATCATCAACAATCATTGAACATAACAAAAATATAAATTATTCTTTAAAGTGGCCTCCTTTAGCTTAAATACATTTTCGTAATCGTTTCGGAAAGTCATCCATGACCTTTTTGATGATCTCCATACCAATGTCGTCCCAAGCTTCTCCAAATTCTTCTTCAAAGGCTGAATTGATGTGTGAGGCTTGTAACAAGCCTTGGACCTCAAGATCGACCAAATGCTGTAATCCAAAACATTCAAATCCGGCGAGTTCGATGGCCATTCTCCTGGATTTTGCGTGCTTATGTCAACTGTGATCCAATCAGAAAATTTCTTTGCGATCCAATCTTGCGTTTCTCTAGTTTTATGCAATGGAACTTCGTTTTGCTAAAATATCCAGGGCTTATTTCCGAAGTGCTGCTGACTCCAAGGCAAAATTCCTGTCTTCAACATTTTCAGATATTCATCCTGGTTGGAACAGGATCCGCTCCATAATTTTGGGATACCCTGTAATTTAAATGCAAATTAGGTCTTCCACTGATTGTATTACTATTGATTGTATTGCTGCAATAGGCAGTAGCCTAGATTGCTGGTTTTTCTAAAAACTACATAAATCATTCGGTCTTCCATCAAAAATCCCTTGATTTAGATAGAATTCTCCGCGAGCCGACCTCGAAACGTGTTGGTGGTAAGGTTATTGTGAGCTCCGGGACAATCTTCATTGATAATTGGGATGACTGGTTCAAAAAAGAGGTCGACAAGGGCGCCAAACAAATCGAGATCTACGCGGACAACTGCTTGGCGTTGATGGGCGACATCCTGATACCAGGTTTTGATTTTTGAATTTAAAATTCAAAAAGAAAAACTCTAGAAACTAACCTCGTCATTTGCACAAGCAAGGTGCGCGTCTGGAAGAAGAGTTCAATCGATTTGTCAGGGAGATCTCACGAGCCAAAGAAGAGGAAAGCGAGAGACTCCACGAGTTCTTCTGATAATAGCAAGGATGGAGTGGATGGACAGCCCGGTGGATCGAGCGGCAATTTGACTATCTTCACAAAGGCTTTTGTAAATTTTCGAAAAAAATAGCTGAAACACAGTAATACAAAGATTTCGTAGCTTTTTAATGTTTAAACTGGCAAAAAAGTCCGAATTGGCTATTTTCCAGAAGTAATTTTTAGGTTTTTTCTTTTCACTTAGTAGACAACATCTTTAATATAGAAGATATACAGTGCGTTGCAAAATGATAGGAACATCCTCGATTTTTGCGATTTTTCATTTTAAATAACTAAAAATGCAAAACGATGCTTAAATTCGAATTTTATATACAAAAGTACGAACAAATACTGTTTGCCAAATAATTTACTTTAAAAGGCAAAATTTTTAATAATTTCTTTATTTTACACCTGTTGCTAAATGATAGGACCACCACGTTTCTTTTTGATTTTCTACCTTTAATAACCATCTTTTTTGCTTACTTTTTGCTATTCTTTATTTTTTAAGAAGATGGGGCGTGGAAAATCGCTTTCGCGGATCAAACAGATGAAAATTTCGATTTTGAAAGGAAGAAAGTTGTCGAATCGGACGATCGCAAAAAAAAAATGAAGCGCTCGCACCAAGTTGTCTCAAATTTCTTGAAGGATCTTTTCAATTATGGCAAGAAAAAAATATCCGGGACGTCATCGAAAGCTCACGGTCCGCGCTGAACGGCATATGGAACGTCTGTTGTCGAATTCGGTGATGTCGCTACAGGACGTACGGACGTCAAGGTACAAATTGGAGCATCAAAAGCACTCTTTCTCGAGCAGTCATGAAGAAAGCACCAAAACTGAAGCCGGCACACAAAGAAAAAAAAGGATGTCTTGGGCTCAGGATCACATCACCATCGATTGGAAAAAAGTACTTTAAAATAATTTACCTACAAAGAAAAAAATAGTTAACAACTTAAGGCAAAAAGTTTACTTTTTTCCAATCGATGTTTCTGTGATCCCGGGCCCAAGACATCCTTTTTTTTCTTTGTGTACCGGCTTTAGTTTTGGTGCTTTCTTCATGACTGCTCTTTTGATGTAACGGATGTAACACTTGATGGCTCGAGAAAGAGTGCTTTTGATGATCCAATTTGTACCTTGACGTCCTGTAGCGACATCACCGAATTCGACAACAGACGTATGCCGTTCAGCGCGGACCGTTAGCTTTCGATGATGTCCCGGAGACTTTTTCTTACCATACTTGAAAGGATCATTCAAGAGATTTGAGACAACTTGGTGAGAGCGCTTCATTTTTTTTTGCGATCGTCCGATTCGACAACTTTCTTCCTTTCAAAATCAAAATTTTCATCTGTTCGATCGATCGTAAGTGATATTCCACGCCCCATCTTCCTAAAAAATAAAAATTATTAAAAAGTAAGCAAAAAAACATGGTTATTAAAGGTAGAAAATAAAAAAGAAACGTGGTGGTCCTATCATTTTGCAACAGGTGTAAAATAAAGAAATTATTAAAAATTTTGCCTTTTAAAGTAAATTATTTGGATGGTCCCGACGGCAACAAGTACTATTTGCACGATTTGAAAAAAGATCCAGTGCTTTGTGGGCGTCGAAACTTCGGAGGAGGATCACTGATGATATGGGGCGCTTTCAATGTGGATGACGTACTTGATTTAGAATTTCTGACTTATCGCATGAACTCGAACGATTGCCAGGACGTCCCTGCGGATCAACTACTTCCTTTTCTAGCACAAAATCGAGGGAAACACTATATTTTTCAACAGGATAATATTTCAACTGATGTCAGCCAATCGACCAAAGCTTTTCTGGAACGTCACAACATCGATTTTCTCGAATGACCTGCCTGCTCACCAGACTAAAATCGAATGGAAAATTTATGGGGCATCCTCGTGAGGAATATTTATGCTAATGGAAAGACTTACGACACGAATTCGCAACCAAAAAAGCAATTTTGCAAGCTTGGACGTCAATTCCACCACAAACGCTTCATGACTGAGCGAACTCGATGAAAAGGCGACTACTCGACGTCATCGAGAAAAAACGGGGCATCTATTGATTATTTATGAACTTTTTATTTGTTTTTCTTTTGTTTATTCTCAGATTTATTGTTATTTTTTATGTGGTCCTATCATTTCGCAACAGGTGTTAAATAGAGAAAATGTTATAATTTTGTTGCAATTTGTTCAGATAACATTAAAAATGGGGTATATATGCCTATTTGTATATGTTTCTAGGATTTAAAAGTTATTTCGCGTTATTAAATTTTATAGCCAAAGAAATGTAAAATTTAGGGGTGGTACTATCATTTTGCAACGCACCTTATTAGAAGAACGAGATTTCAGGTCGGTCAAGAGCTGCTCGACATCCAGTTGAACGGTGGCCGGGGAGAGGACGGTGAATCAGGAGGGGACGGCTATACTGGAGGAGATGGGAAAGGGGTTGATTGGGCGGAGATGAGAGACCTGGCCTCTTTCTACAGTAGTCTCTATTGGAGCTACTGGTCGAAGTACACCGGGTTCGAGCCGAGTGGATGGAAAAACACGTACTACAATTGGAATACGGGGCAACAGTACTGCTATAAGACGTTTGAAGACTCTGCCGGCCGAAAGCTGACACTCAGTTACGCGGGGATCAGCCTTCATTGGTACACACCCACGCAGTACCACCTGTTTTTGTGGGTCGAGGGAGCTGAGGGCGAGACCGGGACGCGCGGTGGGAAAAATGGAATGGGCGGCGAGGGAGGTTACAAAGGGGAATGTCTGATCATGAACCCCGAGACAAAACAACAATTCGCCGTGGCTACGACGAGATTGATGGGCGAGAATGGAGAGAACGGGCAGCCGGGGGAAGCGGGCAGCAACGGGAAGAGAGGGAACGATCTGGCTATCATCGACAATAGTGCTGGGAGTAAAGTTGAACTAGGTTCGTTTATGAACCTTTTCCAGAGAAAAACATTTTATAGAAGCAATTAAAGTTAAGACATTGATAGAAAATTGCGATAGAAACATTGATTTTTCCAAAGTTTTCTAAGAAGTTCCAAGTTTTTATTCAGGTGACACAAACAGTCGATTGAAGATGGAATGGTACGGCTCTGAAGGGGATTACCGGCGATTTTTTGGATACAAGAAACACGTTGACTCGGAGAGCCATCCGTTTATCAAATTCGAGAATGGAGGAAGCTTGAGCAAGTTTGTAACTAACAAAATGTGTACTTTTAAAAGTTATTTCTAAAGCGAAACTTTATAAAGCGATAGATAAAACAGTGCTTTTCAGATCTCTCCTTGAGTCGACCATTTCCACATCGCAAAGAAGTCAATTTTCAAAATCGGTTGCTCAAAACGCGATCATAACGGAAGAAGTTCTCGAGAGAAGCAACGAGAATTTTGACGGAGAATCGACATTTGTCGAACAGATCGGTCTCACGTTGAACGACGAAGAAGAGGAAGAAGAGGAGGAGCAATCGGAAGAGCAATCCGTCGAACAAGTGGTCGTGTTGCGGCAAGCCGATCAAGTGAATCTCAAAGAGTATACGGAGGAGAGTTTGAAAAGGGCAAAACCTCCACTGACAGCTTCAAAAGTGGCGACAGCTGTAAAGAAAACGGGGCGACACGGGATCATCACGGCCACCGCGCAATGTCTCTTCGATCTCTTCCAAATCGAGATCGATTGGAATCTGCTAGAAGATTTGCGCTTTCCAACTTTATTCCAGAAGAACCATTTCGTGCACGCCGTCGAAGAGGTCCCATTGCAAAGGACTCTGATCGCGATCAGCCAAAATATGATCCAAAAGGGGAAGAGCTATCTCGAGATTCACGAGTTCGCGAGATCGGTGGCTCTGCGCAGAAAACTGAAGTTCGAATTGACGGAAAAGAGACATTTAAGCTCGCGAGCCATTCAAGAACTGATTGGAATTGACGAGAACTATCAGAAGGATCTCTCAGAATGCAAAAATAAAAAATATTTGGACGGTTGTCGCGCGGGAGAACCGGTTGCAATGGGCGACATCGAGCTGAAAGAGTTGATCGATTCAGTTGGTCGCGATTTCTCAATCTTGTACACCAAAAATGAGGAACTCCTCGCTTTACAACATTTTCTGAAGAGTTTCCCGTCCCATTTGAAAGTGATGATCGAGAATAATTTGAAAAATGATCAAATGATCTGGTCGAATGGAGATGGAGAGGCTTTTCTGGCCCCCTATCTCAAGAAGGCGAAAGAGGAGGAGAACGGTGGGTGAGAAAAAAAAATAGAATATCGTAAAAATCAATAGAAGACTTTGGTCTTTTAATTTTCAATTGGCCGGTCAAAAAAGTAGATAAAGGTCCCCCACATGAATAAAAAAATTAAATTGTTAAAAACTATTTTAAACGATAGCCCTTGGCATAAAACGTACGAAAAAACATTTTTAACACATTCACGAAGAGCGCTTTTTTTGCAAAACCTCGATCTGGAAAGAGCGCGGTTTAGATTAGCTATTTTTATGAAAATTTGCATATATAGCAAATAAATAGCGTAGAGTCTGAATTTAGGCTCGGTTTTTCAAAAAAATTTGGTTGACCTACGTTTCTCGAGCTATGATGTAAACTACTATGTTTCTCTTACATTGAACCTTTCCCTGGGATTTTTTTATAATAGTTAATGTAACGTTAGACTTTATACTCTTGAATTTTGTATTTTCAACAAAAATACTACTCCAATACGCTATAACACTTACTATAAATTGCCTACATCTAGAATGAGGTTTTGGTAAAAAGTATGAGCGTTCGCGCGACTTGAGGTCCGGGACCCACCGGTGGGTCCCATCGTCCCAGATGACAGTCACCCTGGGACCCACCGGTAGGTCCCATCGTCGTCAATGTGTTAAAAGTAAAATGATTTTTTTATCCGAACCCCAAAACGAATCTTCCAAAAAATCATGTTTTCAATTTTACTGCCTGGTAAAATTTTACTGCCAATTTTACTAAAATATTTCTGTCTGGACCTAAATCTATCATTCTACCTAAAAAGAAGCTTCAAAAAGTCCCGATTTCAGGAAATCAGTGGGTGGTCTTCTATTACAATTTTTACGGTAACTGAATTGGGGTACAGAAAAAAGCAAAAATTCAAAATTTCAGCAAAAATTGGGGTACTTAAGAAGAAAGTAATCAATTTTGTATTAATTGGCTTGTGAAGAGAAATTTAATCCGGTAGCTTTTAAGCGGTTGAGCTTCATTTCGTCGTAAAACCGTTCCTAGGTGTAAAACGGAAAAACGCGATTTGATGCCTGAAAAATTGATTTTTTCTCAAGTTTCTTCGATCACCGAGTAGAGCTTGCGATTTTCTATCTGCTGGTAGAAACAAAGTACGGACAGGTCGACTTTAAAGGGATCAATTCGCGTTTTTTCATCTTACACCTACAGTGTTCCTGTTGAAAAATGAGACTAATCTAGTAAGCGCACTTTTTTAGCAAAGAAAAACACATATGCGTAGTACAATAATAATCATTTTAATCTTGAAGCCTGATTCTTGTCAGGTTGACAAAGGCTTCAACCCAAGACCTGAGTGTTTCAACTATAGTTTCAAATGTATATTTTAATTTTCAGATCACGTTGATGGAGAAACACCCCAGCCACCACGACAAAACGAACCGCTCACTGAACTCACTGAGGAACAACGAAAGAAGTTCAAAAACATCGTGAGGGGGGTGAACAGCGAGGACAACTCGGAGAGAATCAATGAGAGTATCTCTCTACTCCGAGATCTTTTCAAGGCTGAGCCAACTCTAGCGAAAAGATATGGAACTTTGCCGAAGCTGTTGACTGAGAACCCGGCTGATCACCAAAAGAAGGGCAAATGGGCGACAAAGCTTATGAATTTCGTGAGCCAGAAGGATAGCGAGGACGAGAAAAAATTGACAGTCTTCCTCATTAAGGCCCATTTTATCGCGCAAGAAGTGTTGCCATTTCATCGACGACTTTTCAACTGCAATCTGTTGACTAAAGCTGATGCTAAAGAGCTCGAGTTGTCAGATTTTGTGAACGATCTTGAGGACAAAGATTATTCAAACTTTGTAAAAAATCTGAAAAGTCACACGTTGGATTTGAGCAAAAAGCTTTGCCTAGAGGAGATGAAGAGGAAGCGGAACTCGAGCTCAGCGGTTCTCTACTTGAAAGCTCTAGCCGACAAGAGCCAGATCACGGCTTATAAGCTGTCCGGCTATAAGCGGCTGGAAGAATGCTGGGTTTTTAAGGGATCCAAAGAAACAAAAGATCAAAATGAAGAAAGATTCGTGATTTCTGAAGAAAGAGCATTTGAAATCGAGGTCGATCAAGATTATCACCAGTTTTTGGCTTCTCAACAAACGATTCAAGAGCACTTTGGCCTAGTAGATCAAAAAGAACAAATTCCGACAACCATTCAACAGTTCTTTGAAAAAGAACTACAACCGATTGTCCTTGAGTGGCTAGAAACCTTCTCAGCGGTGGCCAAATTTGATCAATTGTTGAACTTTTTGGCTACACGTTTCTTCATTGACGGCTGCCACTTATCGCTCTTCGAGCTCCAATTCGTTTTCTCGACTTTCACTCACCTCACCGTTGAATGCCGAGCCGATCCTAAATTTCTGCTTACGCTGCTATCGACAGTCTCGCAAACTCGATTCGTCGACGTTTTTCTCTACATCCGACTTTGTTATCTCTACGGAAAGAAATTGGAGGACAAGATCTGGCATAATCTGAGGTTCATCTCGAATCCAAGACATAAGATCATCCTCGCATTGAAGCTCGTCGAGCACAAGAATGTCCCATCAACAGACACCCTCTACAAGCTGATTCTCATGCTCCAACACTCTTCGACTGACTCTCAGAAGCTCGAGAATCTGAGCATGGAGATGTGGATCGATATAGCGTTGAAGCAGACTTGGGCGGAGATCGGCTCGATGATGAACGAGTTCGGTGAAGCAGGGTACTACCTCGGCGTCCTCGCCTCAAAAGGCTTTACCGAGGAGCAGAAAGCGATGAGTTCTGTCCTAAAATCGGTGAAATTTATTCCAGAGAAGCTTCTCGGTCTCTTCGTGACTTGGATCTGTAATGGCGAGTTTGGAGAAAATAGTCTAGAAGCCATTAGAGAGTTGGAAGGGCTGAAAGAAGCAGACGATTGGAGCGATGAAGAGAAAAAGGGAGATTGTGCCAAATTGTTGACGAATGAGAAAGACCAAAAAAATTTCTTTGACCATATTGGTGGGGATTTCTTGAGAAAGCATGAGGAGATGAGAACGACCGAATCGTTGAAGCATCTCGTTGTCGGAATGCACGATGATGCAGAAATGAACGCAAAAGTCTCTGCCCGAGTCGAAAAATGTTGTGACGCTTTGCAAAGTTTGGAAAAAGGCGAAGAGTTAAATGAGATTTGTGGAATTCTGGCTCGATTCGACGGATATTTGAAAGAAATTGAGGGGAAAACGTTGAGAAACACGCAAAAAATGGCCGTTCTTTGCGCCGTTGAGGGAAACGGACACGTGCTTGAACAAGTAAATACGGGGGAGGGGAAATCGTTTATCATAGCCGCGATAGCTGTTGTTAGATGTCTCCGGGACAATTCTCGAGTCGATATTATTACGAGTTCGCCCGTTCTGGCTCAAAGAGATGCCGAGGCCATGACGGGCCTCTACAAAAAGTTTGGACTCACAGTTTCGCATAATTGTTCCGAGAAAATCGATGATCGAAAGAAAGCCTACCAATGCCATATCGTTTACGGAGATATTCAACGATTTCAAAGGGACTATCTAATGCACACATTCTATAAGAAGACAATTCTTGGAAATCGCTCTCGAGAAGTCGTCATTGTGGATGAGGTGGACAATATGTTGTTGGATAACGGGAATAACATCCTATATTTATCGCATGATGTCCCCTGTTTGGACACCCTTCGCTCGGCGTTGATTTATATCTTGAAACAAGTGAAGACACCGATTTTCAATGGATTGAAGAACGATATGAATGTGATGCGAAATCAATTCAGCGCCGAGAAGATCGCCAATGATATCTTGACGCAATTGTTTGGAAGATTCACGTTAAAGGACCTTGAACAATTGGTCCCCAGCGAGCAAAGGGGGGCTGCCAAAAAGCTTTTTGAGCACTTGGTGAGCAAGAAAATCGTCGACAACAACGGACTCCTATCGACGAATTCGAGGAAAGCTGTCGAAGATCTTGAGAGCTTTTTCTCACAACAATTCCCGAGCTATATTTTGAAGAATTTAATCTCTTGTCTCCTGATTCTGATAAATCGTTCTTCGGAGATCCAGCTGCCGACGTTTCTCCAACCATTATTCAAGCTCCACCTCAAAGAATTTGTCGATAATTGCATAAAAGCTCTCTTGATGAAAGAAGACGAAGAGTATGTGGTCGATCAAGACAGAACTGGGGCCTCAAATCTCTTGGAACCCGTTATAACGATTATCGACGGGAATACAGGGGCCGATCTCCCGACCACGCAATGGACCGGTGGTTTGCACCAATTCCTCCAAATGAAACACGGCTGCCACCTTTCTCCAATCTCCCTGAAAGCCGTTTTTGTCTCAAATGTGGCCTATCTGAAGGGATACTCGGTGATCAATGGACTAAGTGGAACCCTTGGCTCAAAGCACGAAAGCAAGACCCTCATCGAAATGTACGGGGCCCATTTAATCCGAATTCCGCCGTTTAAGAAGAAACTCTTCCACGAGAATTGTCCGGTTATTAAAACAAAGGTAGATGATTGGGCGAAAAGTGTCTACGACGAGATCTGTGATCAGTTGGACTCCGAGAGATCGACGCTTGTCATATGTGACTCGATTGCGCAAGCAGTGCTGCTCGAAGAGAAACTGAGAAAAATCTTTGAGGCCGAAGAAAAGAAATCTTCTATGCTAGATGAATGCTTCAAGACGTTGACAATGTACACTCGGAGCCACGATCAGTTTAATTTTGATGGGGAAACAGCGTTGCAGCCCGGGAAATTACTGATAGCCACAAATCTGGCGGGTAGAGGAACGGATATCAAGTTGAGTCGAGAGCTGGAAGGCAATGGAGGGCTTCACGTGATCACCGCTTTCATGCCACAAAACGCTCGAATCGAGGAGCAGGCTTTTGGGAGAGCCGCGAGAAGCGGTCAACCCGGATCGGCTCAGATTATCGCACTTCTAGCAGAAAGAGACGGCATCAAGCCCTCGTTCTTCCAATTCAAGATGTATCGCGACAACTTGGAGGTTCAACGGCTTGCTGAATTGAAAGTATTCTATGACTATCACACCGATATTGAGGAAACTTGTTTAAAGAAGTTTCAGGAGCATTGCAGCGAAGTGTTGAGTAAGGTGTATTCCTCGAAAACAACGGACTCAAAGATCGCCAATCCGGAAGAGGTCGTTTATTTCGCTTTGTTGGATAAGTGGGCTCTGTGGCTCGACGAGAAGGGGTCCGAAATCGAGCAATGCTCGAAGAACAACAACGATGAGGAGAGGGCAAAGCAGAAGAAATCGATCGTCGACTCGGTGAAAGCGTTTCTCGACAACCACCGGCTGGATGTAAAGGAAGCCGAGGAGAAATGGCTGGATTTCCCTCAATCGCAGCTCACGTTGGCCCTCTTTTCCCTGTGCAACAAGGACTTGAAAAGAGCCGATAGATTGTTTGAGAAAGTCATTGCAAACGATTTCTTCTTTGCGCCCGAAGCTTATTATTACAAAGCTTGTATGAGAATGGCGATGAAGGATCTCGAGGATGAGAATTATGTCGATTTGGTCGACGCCAAGAAGTTCTTCTATTATGTGAGTTATAGAAATTGAAACTGAAAGTAAAAACTAACTTTTTTATTGTAAGAAAAGTTCTAATTTATAATTTTCATATAAAAACATTTTTGAAAAATTAGAAGAAATTTTACTTTTAAAAATTCTTACAAAAGTCTAGAAAAAAATAAATGGAATTTTTTTAAAACTCTAATTTCAGGCTCGAACTCTCCTCAAAGAAAGACTGGAGTCGTCGGAAAGAGAGGCGACTTTCGTTCTTCAAAACCTTCAACAACTTAACCAGAAGATTCGGTCCAACGGCTTTGAAGTTCAACAAAAAGCCAACGCTGAGAATATGCAGACAATAATCTCAAATATTGATTGGCTCATTGGAGTTCCATGTCACAAGGAGATGTTCCACTCTCAGAAGATCTCAAAAGAGATGAGCTTCCAGATTTTTGGCTCTCTCGAATCTGATGGAATCATCTCGCCGCACGTCTTCACGAACTTTGAGCCCCAGGGATGGATGTTAAAGGCTGTACACGACAAATTTGGGCTATCAAACGAGCAATTGAAGAGGTCTCTTGTGGTAGCGAAGGCCAGCAACATATTCTTCTATCGAGATACCGGCGAAAAGCATCTCGACTTTGGGGAATCACCGAAAGTCGACGATGACAACGCGTTTTCGATTGCCTTGTTGCCGATTTTGGAGAACACCGTCAAATTGTCCAACCGGCAGTCATTCTACACGGAGCTGCACGAGAGCGGGGTTGTGAAAAACGTCGAACAGCTGAAATACGCGAATCCCGGTCATGAAACGGAAGTGAAACTGATTCTCGACAAGAAAGAGATCGACCCATTCGCTCTGCCAACTGAAGGCCAGCATTTGGTGCTGAACAACGGAATTCAAGAGAACCGTTTGTATTATAAAGCCGACGACTTGAAAGAGATTGAGGAAATCGAGGGGAAGATGATGGACGAGTTCATTGGCGAGATCGATATCACGATGTTGCGGCGATTCTCCTATTTCTCCGACTTTGACGGGGTCCAAGTCGACGAGCTGGCTGAATATTTTGAAATTCCAGCGGATGGGGCGGCCTGGCTCTTGCGAAGCCTCGAAGAGATGGGCGTTTTCGAGCAACGGATGGAGACTCGAGTACAATTCACTCCAAATGATGAACTATGGAAAAATAAGGTCCTCATTTTCTTAGAAGCTAAGAAAAACGAAGAGAAGAATGGGAATCCGATTCGAGCGGTTGCTTCAGCGTTGGAGAATCTTCGTCGAATCAAAGATTTACAACATTTGTCGATCGAATTGCTGAAATATGTGACTGAACTGAAGGAAGATGATGACGTTGAGAGGCTATACGATCATTTGATGAAAGAGAAGCTCATCGAAGAATATATCCATTCTTGTTTCCGATTGAATTCTCGACTCGATGTCTCGTCTCTACCTGCCTCTATCTCTGATCAAGTCGGCCTCTATCTAATGAGCAAATTTGCCTATTCGTTTGCGCTGGAGCGACTTTGTGTCGATATTGATAACGGGAATGCACAGAAAGTCATGTTCCACTCGATTTTCCTGCCAGAATATCCTCACAAGCAATTCTTTGACTCATTAAAGAGCCAAGAAGTCATTTCATCGCAAAGGATCGTTTCAAAAGAATATCAAAACATCGATGAGGACTTATTCGAGGAGCTAGACGAGATCAAGGGAACACTACGAGAGCACGCCTCCAAATTGTTGGATCAGACCGGCTACCATCTGACCCTATTGCCGCTAGAGAATTATATTTTGGGCAGGAGCGAGACGTTGAATTCGGAGATAAGATTCGTCTCCGATAAAGGCTTGAAGCTGGTGGTCGGGGTCGGCGAGAGCGGACTGGGTTGGAAAATCCTCACAAATGTTGTTGGAGCCGTTGTAACAGCTGTGCGAACGGCCGTGAGTAAGATCAAGGCATTCGGCAGTTGGGCCTACGGGATCGGGTCCTCGATCGTTCACTGGGTCGGCGATAACATTGTCGATCCAGTGGCCAACAAAATCAACAAAGTGGCGATGAAAGTGGGGAAGGCTTGTTCCTATGTGAAAGGGAAGGTCTCCGAGTTCACGCAATGGGTGGCCAACAGCGAAGCGTTCAAGGCGGCGAGCAGTTGCGTGAAGTCGACTTGCGGGGCGATTGCAGCCGTTGGTGGGGCGATTGTTGGAGCTGTCGGTGACGCTGTTACAAAAGTTGGGAAAGTTATCGGTCGAGCCGCGTATCAGCTGGGCGAAATGACCGGGATCAATGATAATATCCGAAAGATAGCTGCAGCTGGAAGAGCTATTGGGAACAAGGTCAAAGAGGCGGCTGAGTGGGTGGCTGAAAAAGCCGTTCAATTGTATGAGGGCGCGAAGCGAGAAGCCGTGAAAGCGTTTGAATGGGTGTCGGAGACGAAACTCGTCAAATGGGCGAAGAGCGCCGGCAAGGCGGTGATCGATTTCGGGAAGAATGTTTACCAGAAGATGTCGAATTTCATTTCGGCTGTGATGGAAAGCTATGAATACTATAACCAGTGCCGTTTCTATGCAAAGAAGATAGCTGTCGAGAGTCAGTCAAGTTCCGTGGACGAGTACACGATTCTACGAACTTATGTCAATGCTCGACAAGCGACGGCCTGCGAAGAAGAGGGAGACGAGACTTTTAGACAGGTTTTTTCAATGGTTTATCTTAACAGAAAACTTTAACCAGGACTTTGAAAAGAAAGTATTCAGTTTTTATTAACTAGAGTTCAAGAGACTTTTCTTCAAATAGCTTTTAAGCAATTAAAGCAAATGTAAATTAGTCTAATTTGGTGCAAATTGACTACAAAAAAGCTAATTTGCATTTAAAATCCTCTCCTAATTGCCTATTTTCAAAATGGGATTTTTGAATTGGAATGGGGTGTTAAAATTGAGTTTTAAAATAAAATTTCAAGTGCAAATTTTTAATTTCAGAAGCTCCAAACCCATCTTGTGCTCAGCTTTGAGAAGGCTTATGCTCGATTGGACAAGGTGATCTACGAGAGCGTCATGAAAGAGATTTGCGAATACAATCTGCCCCTTGATCTCCAATCAAAGCTCGCCACAATTGAGACATTTATCAAAGTCTCTCCTTCAACGCAAAACTTCAAGAGTGAAGTCGAAGAGAAGTTCATGATTGAGGCGAGCAAAGTCGCGATCAAGTTCGGCTATCTGATGACCGAGTTTGCCACAAATGATGCCCCGTTTGAAAGCATGGAGATGCCAGATTTAGAGACGGAATTTACTTTTGGGCGCCTGGAGGGTATCGTTCGAAAAACCGTTCAAGATTTCGCGAACTATCAGAAATTGGAGCTGAAGGAGAAGGATGGAGACGACGGATCGTTGACAAAACGGTTTATTGCAAAATTCGCGATCGAGTTGGGGAAACTGATCGGCGAGTATTGTCGCGCAATTTACATTGACAAGCCGACAAAAGATTTGACCGCTTTTATGGTTGAGTTGAGGAAACCCGGGAAGGTTGCCGAGGTAGCCGATTTTGAGGGCGAAGATCTGAAATTGAAGCGCGCGCTGGCACACTGCAATGCGCAGATCAAAGAGAAGAGGCAAAATCAAGGGCTGTTGAAGGAACTGCTTCGAATAGTCCACCAAAAGGTTGTCGACGATGTCGGGGTGTTGAAAGTCGCGTTGAAATTCGGCTATCCTCTACCAATTTGCTGTTTGGAGCGAATTGTACCCGTTCTTGAAAGAGTCGTTGAAGCTCCACTTAGAATTCAGGTTTTTTGCAATGAAGCAATAATACAGTCGATTTTCGATTTAACGATGTTCAAGGGACCGGCATTCAACACCTTTAAAGCGAGTAATTCTAACGTATTTTAGTTAGTTTATGCCAACGCATTAATTCAGATCTAAAAAGCGTTCAGGGTGTCCTATAATAACCCGGATTTTTTTTAGTACTAGTAATGTCGATAACTGTAGGGAAAACTCAGATTTCCAAAAAACTTTTTAGCACAAAACTTTATTTTAGCATTGAATAACAAAAATAAAAAATAAAAATGACAACAATTGTTCAAAGTTTCGTCCTTTGGTCTCAATACATTTCTTAACCCGTTTGCGAAAGTTTACAATAATGGTCACACAGTCGGCTGGAATGATTTCATCCCAAGCTTTCACCAGAGCTTATTTTGAGAGCATCAATCGTGGTGTATCGATACTTTTTAAGCTTTTGCTGAAGAATTCTTCATACCGAGTAATAAAGAGGGTTCAAATCAGGCGAATTTGATAGCCAAACGATCTTGTCCCAAAACCCAGGAAAACGGGAAAAAACGGGTCTTTTCTGTAGCGCAAATTTCTCCGCACACCATGATTGAGCTCGGAAAATGTCTTCGAGTAAAAAGTTTTCCTAGGTACGTGTTCTTCAGGCCCTTTTTCAAGATTGGCGATGCTTTTGGCGGTTATGGTTTGGTTAAATTGTAAAGATCTTCCGAACGGTGAAGAGCACACTGTTCAATCGACCATCAGCGACCAAGCGAAGCATTCTTTTTGCTTGTTGCAAACGTCGAGCTTTCATTGCATCGTTCAAAAAGTGTACACGAGAAATTCGATGAGAATTTAGCTTCAGTTTCTTTCTGACCATTCTCCAGATACTGTTCTTGTTGATTTTCAACTCCAAGGCCATCATCGGATTTTGCAGCGGACCTTGTTTACGTTCTTAGGCGTCACAGCAGTAGGTTTACGACTTCTTCCTCTTCCCTGTCGTTCAGACGTGTTTCTAAGTTCCTTGTAGCGTTTAATTGCATTATAGACCCTGCTTCGCTTGTAGCCGATCGTTTGAACAATGTTAACTGGCTTGATCCCATGTTTGAACAGCTCGATCACTGTGATCGTCATCTTTTCTTGATCCATTGTTGGCGAACGGTAAACCCTAAAAATAAAATTGATTTTTTAAAACAAAAATACATTAGAAAATATGATAAAACAAAATAAAAAACGCAACATAAAAAATCAAGTGCTAAAGAAACTATTTTAAAAAATCCGGCTTATTGTGGAACACCTTGTAAGTCACATGCAAAAAAATGCTAACTTTAAAAATCACAAATTTCAGCAATGTTGGACTAAAAAGCGTTAAATCGAGTGCAAAAACACAAATTTTCTAAAAATTCACATTGTTAAACCGACTACATCATTGCATCGAAAATTGTTAAATCGAGAATCGACTGTAGTCTTCTTGTTGTTTGGCAGTTTTAGCAAAAATGACATTTCAAGCTAGCTTTTTAGGGGTTTTTAGAAAATTTTTTTTTAAACTTATGGAAATGAAAAACGGAAAAATTGTTGAATCAACAAAATAACCTTTTTTAGCTAGCCAAGAGGGAGTACGGTAACGGATCCGCACTGGAGGTGATTCGAGTGGATCACATCGACGATTCCCTCTTCATCTCGAGTAGAGATTATCTCCGCTACAAGAGGATCGGTGTCGGGAATGAAGAAGAGGAGACCTCGGTGAATTCTTTCCTTTTCGATGCTCTTCAGAGAAGATTCCCATTAAAGGAGCAATTGAAAGAACGGGAAATCTTCCGAAATTACCTCATTCAATCGCTGTAGTTACTGTATTATTGTTGTTTCGTTTTGTTAAAAAATATTTTACGTTTGTTTGCAAAATTCTCTCAAAAACTTTCTTGAAAATCTGCTTGTGGTGCCTACATGAATAAATTAAGTTACTGGAAATTATTTTTACAAAAAAAACAATCAAAATCAATCAAAGTTCTAAAATTTTCGTTTAAAACGGACATTTTGGTGTTCACAGAGAATTTTCGTAGTCACTCTCATTCGCTTCTATCAATTGCAAGAATTCTCTAAATATTAGGTTGGCAAGAAAGTTCGTAGAAAAAGTTTGCACGGTGATTTCTCAAAAACTAAGCCATAAATTCTTCCCAGCTTTTTTGATAAACTTGACTATATTTCAAAAAGTTTTTGACAAATCGGAGTGGGCTTCAGGTAAAAAAATCAGAGATTTCTTCAGCTGAAATGACTTGGTCACTTTTTGAGTGACCAGCCTTTAGGTAAGTTTTTAATGGGTTAATGAATAGGCAATGGGTTCTATTCAAAACCTAAAATCAAGTACTTAAAATAGGGAAAATTTGTGATCAAGGCAAATTCTATCTAATGCTTTAACTTGTCAAAATCACCTATTTTAGCAAACACTTAGTGCCGAGAAGATAACACCAAAACATTATTTTTTAAATACAGCTTCTCTGTAAAAAATTTTCGACCAAAAATAGAGATCATAGAGCGTATTGCTCATTTATTCTAGCTTTACCTCCTAAGGAATCGTTTTTCTGGTGCAAAAAGTGAGCCGAATTTAAGCTGGAAAATAATGATTTTCAAAAATCTCTAAAATTTTAAGGGAGAGCTGCACTCGTTTTTACGAGTAATTTCTTGGAGTCGACTTGTAAATAATAGAACAAAATGTTCTTGAATTGGTGGATCCGTTTTTAAGAAATTCCAACTTTCCAACTTTTTCCGAGAACTTTCTTTCCAACTAATAAAAAGATAAGTTTAAGTACCGTAAATGTACAGGGTGTTCAAAAAAAAGTCACTTTGTGTCGAAATTTCTAAGAATCTTTAAGTGGCTCAAAGTGCTAGGTATGGTGCAAAAATGATCTTTTTTGGGGTCGCAAATACGTTTCCAATACTGTTCCAATACGGTTCCTATTTTGTCCCAATACGGTTCCAATACGATTCCAATACGATTCCAATACGATTCCAGGGTTTTTGATCTTTTGTCATGATTTTTACCATATCATGATCCCCTATGCAAAAAATTTCCCATACCAAATACCCCACACATTCTCAATCGGATTCAAGTCTGGGCTGCAAGCGGGCCAATCGACAGTGGCTATTTTGTGCGCTGTCAGCCAATCTCTTGTGGAGCAACTTGCATGAATACTCGCGTTATCGGGCATAAAAGTAAAGTTATTCCCGGATTGTTGTTCAGATAGACGGCTAGATGTTTGTCCAACGCTTGTTGATAGTCAAGCGATGTCATCCGGGTCGAAATAAACTCTAAGCCGACCAGTTCACCGCCCCGAAAGGCTCCCCATACCATACATGATTCACCTGCGAAGTTCCTCGTGCTGAAGACCATGCCCGGCTTTCGTAAATCCTTCCAATATCCTCGAAAACCATCAGCACCATCAAGGTTGAACTTCTTTTCGTCACCCCAAATGATCTAAACAATAAATACAGGGTGCCCAATAATTACGGCAACACGTACCAACTGTATTAATCAGATATTTAGTCTAGTTTTTAGGTTAATGATGTGTGTTTTTTTTAATGTTTTCTATTAGTTATGATGTTTTCCAATATAATTTTATAGTTTGTTTGGAATATTTTAGAAATGGCGAAAAAATCACCACATAGAGATTCGATCATCCATCTTCATCGCAAAGGAATCCGGCAGATCGAAATTGCTCGTCGATTATTGATTGATAGAAGCTTGGTTTCGAACACGATTGACCGATATAAATCTTTGGAATCAAATTCGGATCGTCCAGGGCGTGGCAAAAAGCAGCGGTGATTACAAAAGCAACATCAAGAGGATTCGCGAACGAATGCGACATAACAACAAGCAGCGAAAAGCGACGTCCCAGCGAAAAATGGCAAATTCGATGGGGATTTCAAGGGGATCGATGGGCACAATTGTTAAGAAACATCTGAAAATGAAAGCTTATAAGTACTCAAAATGTCACTTTCTTTCAACTCTGAGAAAAAAGCCCACAAAGCTCAAGTTGTTCAGGATTGGTGTCAGCAAAATTTCCCCGATTTCATCACTTTCAATGCATGGCCTCCATCAAGCCCAGAATTGAATTCTTTGGATTACAGTGTTTGGTCTGTTTTGGAGTCAAGAGCTTGCAAAAAAGGCCATTCCACAGTCGATTCTTTGAAAAAATCATTGCAAAAGGCATGGGATGAGCTGGATGTGGTTCTGGTTCTTTAAAGCGAAATGGATACGGGCGGCTTTATGGTCCTTTGTGAGTCGTGGAGCTTGCTTCATAAGTTTGTATTTGAGTATTGTAGATCGTTTAACAACGTTGTGCACAGTTTGGCGAGTGACCGGAAGCTTCATCTCCTTGCGAACCTCTTCGAGTGATGTCGTCGTGTTAGAAAGACGTCTCGTAATTGCGCGTTCGTCTTGATCGGTCAACTTTTTCAACCGGTCAACCGGTCAACGGTCAAGACGCCCCGTGTTTCTTTCTTCTTAGGAGTCACTTTGGTCTTGCGAATACACTTCTCAGAACGTCCGATGCGACGAGCAATGTCCCTGTTTGAGTGACCAAGCGTGTGGAGCACGTCGATACGTGTTTTTTCCACCACATCCAGTTGTTTTCCAAGTGGCATATCTGAAAATGTAAAACATTTATAAACATAACTAATAAGCAAAAAAATGAGAAAAACTAACAATTATCGATAGAATAAATCGTCAAATTTAAGTTGCGTCTATAATTTTTTGACAGCTGATAAAACGTTTTTTGTACGATAAAGTACTTTGGATGAGTGAAATGACTTGAAATTTTGCATGGGTTGTTTTTTTACATTAAAGAAACTAAAAAATACTTTTCACTGGACTAGCACTTATATCCGGCTCTAAACTAGCAAAAAACAGGGTGCGTCTATAATTTTTTGACGGAGTGTATGGTGTGATATTAGAGTTAATATATAAACTAAGATTTTTAGCCAAACACTCTATTTATCTACATTATATGATAGTCTGTCATATATACAGGGTGACCAAAAATAACGCTGCGGCCTAATTTAGCCTATTTTTTAAAAATCCAAAAAAGATTTTGTAACAGAAACAATTTTTTATTGACAACAGATATAAAGAGAGTATAAAATCCACTTTTCTTCAAAGTGGCCACCTTTGGCTCCGATGTAGAACCTCAAACGCTTGATGAAGTTTTCGGCGATGGGCCGCGGCTCGGCCGGAGTGATTCGATCCCATTCCCTGGTCAACGATCGCTTAAGAGCCTCCAAACTTTTTTGTGGTTTTGCACAAGCCCTTGCCTCCAAAATTGACTAAGCACGGTAGTCCAACGGATTGAGATCACACGAATCCGGAGGCCATTCCTGGGCCGAGATGAAATCCGGAAAGTTTGTCCTACATCAGTCCTGTGTGGATTTGGCTCGATGAGAAGGAGCTGAGTCTTGTTGGAAGGCCCAAAATCCGTTACCAAAGTGCTGTTGAGCCCATGGAAGCAAAACATCCTCAAGAATCTTTTTTTGGTACACATCCTTATTGATTTTTACCCCAGAATCAATGAAAATGAGAGGAGTTTTGCCCGTTGCGCAGATTCCGGCCCATACCATGACCGACTTGGGATTTTGTCGGTGTTGAACAACCGCAGAGCTGCCTGGAGAGAACGTTGACCAAATACGATCGTTTTGGCGGTTGTAGCTTTGCTCCACGGAGAAGAGCTTCTTGTCAGAAAACAGGATTCGCTCCCAGTGTGGAGTTGCGGCCCGCTTGAGAAGCTTTCGACATCTTTCGAGTCGAACTCGTTTTTTGTTGTCGTCGAGTTGTTGCCCTTGCTTGAGCTTGTAAGGGTGAAGATTGAGCTCATTTTTGGCCATAAGTCGAACCGATTCGCGAGCGATCCCCGTCTGTCGAGCGATCTTTCTCATTGAGACCTGTGGATTCCGGGCCACGCGCTTCTGAATCACTTTGCGATTTCTGGAGGCGTTGACAGTTCTTTTTCTGCCTCTTCCTGGACGATCTCCATCCTTGTATCGCTTAATCGCTTTTGAGACGAGCTGATGAGAAACACGTACCAATCGCGCGATCGCACTCACGCATTGACCTTGACGATGAAGCTCCAGAATCGCAGATCCCTTGTTTTTCATCCTATAAAAAAATAAATAGACTTGAAACAAAGTAAAACAACAAAGAAACTAATAAAAACAATCACAGAGAATAGGTTAAAAATAAATTCGTCTCCCAAAATTGAAACTTAGAGGATTTTAGGCTGCCGAAAATCCCGCAACGTGATTTCTGGTAACCCTGTAAGAGATTTTCAACTCGGCTTTTTTTAAAGAAGTGTCTCGTTTTTCCAAGGAAACGCCGATCAATAAAGTGTATGGTTTAAATTTGTAGTTATCCTAATAGTGTTTATTATGCACCATGATGTCAGTAGAAATTTTTAATTTTATGGCAAAAACCCCATGGTTCTGGCCCATCTGGTGGTGGTGACCTTGGTGGTATGGGAAATTTTTTGTATAAGGAATCATGATATGGTAATCAGTTCAGTTAATCAATTTATTTCAAAGAAAACTACAAGTTCAGTGACGTTCAGTGACGAATCTTTTTGCACTCAGCATTCGCGCAGATCATCAAGTTCGCGCATTGATGTGTCCACTCGCAGACTGGAAAGTTTACTAGTAAATTTTAGCAAAACTGGAAATAAAACTAAAGATTAAATTAGATTAGAGATTAAAATACAATTTTGGATTTAGATTAAATTATAAGATAAAGTATTTTCATTTGAAACCACCTTCTCCTTCTTCTCGTTTTTCTTTGTCTTTCTCGACGCAATGACCGAAACGACCACAAAGAAGTCCCGCATCACAGTCTCGATCCTTTCGGCAACCTAGATCCACGACTCTGTAGTTTTTTTAGCTTTATAACCACTTTCTAATCAAATTATTTACTGATTTTGGTTTAATTACCCAAGTTTGAGGTTAGTATTAACCTTGTAAAACCTTGTAAAAGACCTTGTAAAAGTGTCTTGAAAGATTTTGGAACGCATTCCAGTAAAGGGATGCACAAAAAAATGTGAAAATTGTAAGTGTAAAAGCTTTCAGGTAAACAAAACTTTATTCAATTCAAATCTCAAAGCTTTTCCCATTTCCGATAGAGTGCATCAGCCGTCTCGGCTCCAAATTCATACCGATGAATGTCTTCTCGAATATCTTGTCATCGACAACAATCCGTCCCCTTTTGTACAATGGAATATGTGGCAATCCCTTGACCCCAAATTTCCCCATCACTTCCCTCGTTTTCGCCCAGCGATATGGTAAAATGATCCACGAGGAAGGGAAAAGATCAACAAATCGTTTGTAATCTTGCTCATTCTGATCCTCTACTCCAATGTACACAACTTCTAGATTTTTCCCCTGTCTTTCCAAATCTTTAAAGAGTTTGTTGAATTGTTGGTAGAAGAGTTGACCGGCTGGAGACCAAGAATTTGAAAAGAACATGGCTACAAGTGCATTATCAAGCATCTCTGGATAGGTCTCAATGCCGCTTTTTCGTCGAAGCCTTTCGCCAGGGAAAACGTCCCTCATTGAGCCGATTCCTGGAAAGTTGGGGTAAATCACAGCAAAGGTCTGTTAGTGTTTGTGATGTGATGTGATGTGTGATGACTTACAAACTAGAATTTGATAGCTTTATAGAGAAAGCATTTTTTGTAGTCAACTTTCTTCACCTTTTATTGTGAGCGTTTCTCACAATCAGGCTGCACCATTTCCAATAGTTGTAAGATTATCAATATCAATATTATCGCACATACCAGCCTATTTGCCAATAAACTATTTTGCAACCAACCTCCTGCAGTGGATTGACTGTGAGGTGCTGAAAATGGCGAGCTGCTTAAGGCGGCCTTGCAAACGCCTCGGTCACAGTTCAACGGCGACTCACAATCAAAAGAAGCACTGCATTCTGAAAGGATCTCACTTGGTGATTTCAGGAAAACGATTCAGAGCTTTTCAAAGGAAACAAAAGTTACCCTTATGCGCAAAATTGCTTCTCAAAGTTTGACCCTTTTCCAAAATGGTGCTTTTTAAATAACGCGTTAGTCGAAAGAAGCTAGTCTTACTGTGACGACGAGTCACAAAAAAGTTGCGGCAGTCAATAAAACACCAGAAATACCGTACCCTAAATAATGTCCTCCTCACACGCGTATAAAAGGACGCCTTCCCCATTTAGTCAAAGCTTTCTCTCATTTTTTCGTGTGAAGGTTGGTTTTATTACCCAAGTTAATGGAGTTCGAAATACTTCCACAATTTTCAACAAAGTGACTCCTTTTTGTCTCTGGGTCAAAAAATTGTTTCTTTGAGTTTCGTTGCAACATTTTCACACGCTTTGCCCCACGTGTATTGAATAAACTTGGTTTTGCTATTCATTCAAGCAAAAGCTCACAGGTCTAGCCACGCCTAGTGAATTCAAGGAATACTCACGCTCTCCCTGTCGTCCATCTTGTTGCCCGGTTTTGACGCATTTTCGTGAACGACAAAATTCTCGATCAGAGCAATCGCTTGTTGTAGAGCAACCTAAAATTTCAATTTTAGAATTACCGATTCAAATACTACCAAAAATCGATTCGAATTTCGTCGAAGTGTCTTGTGGAAACGGGCTACAAAACCCATGCCCACACGCAAATCCGCTCGGGCATTGACTGTCAAAGATACAATCTAATCAAACTATTTAACAATTTTCAAATCCAAACATACGATCGTTTGTTGTCAATTCTAAATTTCACTTATTCAACTAGGGTTTTTCATGTTTACTTGAGGCTTTTGGTGGGCAATTACTTTGGCGAACACATTGACCATTTGAAGATCGGACATAGTTCTTTCGGCAGACACAACCGGAATGTGAACAGTCCTGAAATTGTCTCAGTATTGAAAATTTCAATGCGTCCAATGTTTTTTAGAATTTTCTCTCTTACAATTTCACACTTTGGCTGTGTATCTGAACACGTTGGCTCGCAAGTTCGGGCGCATTCCACCCAGTCCTCGTTTGGATCCTGGCAGTCTCCTAAAAAAAGCAGTTTTGCCGAGTACATTAGATTTCTAGATTTTAAACGTTGCTTACCGGCAATAGTGACGAGTTTAGTGTCGGTGCAAAAGCCGTGTTGGCACTCCCAATCGCGCGCGCAATCCGTACTCTTCACACAGCGCTGAGCCTCGTTTCCACCGAATGCAACTCCAAGAAGCTGAAAGACAATTAGGGTTTAGCCTAATACTAATCAAAAGATCTTTTAATTTCAATGGGCAATACGCTTTAATCTGGTACTTAAAACTATCAGATATGATCAGATACGTTCTAACCGAAACCTAAGATCTGCAAGCAAGACCGGCGAGGCTTCCGGTGCCCAGGTTCGTATCAGGCAGGTCAAAAGTCAAGCCAGTAGACATGGACACTACAAACTTCACAAATAACAAACTGTCACACTACAAACGTTTCTAACTTGCGTCAAATCTACCGGATTGACATGGCCTATAGCTCAAAAAATAGAGATTCTCAAAAGCTTTTGATGGACCAAAGTACACCAAATAATATCAACGCTAAAGATAATTACAGTTATTTGTAGTCCTGACTCGAAACGGATCGTACTCGTGCGTCGAAGCGGTCGGGTCAGGCTACAAACTTTCTTTAGCGTTGATATTTTTTGGGTGTGCTTTGGTCTTCAAAAGCTCTTGAGATTCTCTATTTTTTAAGCTATAGATCATGTCGATCCGGCAGATTTCACGCAAGTTAGAAGCGTTTGTAATTTAGGCTTGCTTGTAGTACCCATGTCTACAAGCCAATTTCTGGCTTATAGCCTGGGCTGAATAAATCCCCGCTGGAACGAAAAAAAAACTCTGGGTCAAACCCGTTTGTATCTGATTTATCTGTACTGACAAAAGATCTATGGATCTGGCACTTGCAGCTGATTTAACAAAAAAAGAACTCTTTTACTTCCATAGAATGTAACAATGAAAGCCATAGGATTCAGAGTCATAGAGAATAGAGAAGCTTAGAAAGCTCAGAAAGCTCAGAAAACTCTTAGAAATCAAAAAGCTAGCATCTATGAAAAATCAAAGTAAAAAACTGCAGCACTTGGGGGGCTATACAGCCCCCAAATCCCCCAAGCACTCCCCGGTGAGGGAGGGGGGTGATCCTTCTCTAAAAGTCAGCTTGAACAAAACTCACCGAAAAGCATAAAAATATCAAAATCATCTCGTTGAAAAACCCGAAATTTTGATGTAAATAAAAAAATTGTGAGATTTCCCAAATGGCAAATTTCTCCCCATCTCCACGCGGGGATCTATCAATTTTATTTCCCATTTGTCAATCGTTTTTCTCAATTCTCGATGATCCTTATCTTTGTCTATCCCAAAAGTATCTCTAAATATTTTTATGAGTCACTGAATGTTTCAAGATTTATCTCATTAAAAATTTATTGAATTTTTGATTTCAGATTTTTCCGAGCCTTGATCGAAGTTCTGTGCAATGGTCCAAATGGTGGAAGGTCCATGCCTGAAATGACTTTTGAATTTATTGATTGAACTATCCAGTCCCGAAAAAAGCAAGAGACAGGCAGCCGATCTTTTTGCACAGCTAGATTTTGATTTTCATGGAATTGACTAGTTCAATTTTTTTCCTTATTTTGTAGCATTCTAGGGCTTGGGGTGTTTGCTGTAAGGGCGCTTCGCCCCAATTATAATTTGTAGCAAAAATATAGCCAAATTTGGACCAGGAATTTTTTCGAGAGACTAGGGCATAATAACCCGGAAAACGACAAAAACGGCTCATTCGGAGTTTTTTGGTTTGTAAATAATATAGAAAGAAGATATTGATCTGTAAATTTGTACCTGGGGGCTTTCGGGGTCGATGAATTGATTGGAGCCATTCATTGGGTTGAAATTGGGCTGAAAATTTGCAATCAAGGGTTTTTCACGATGCGGAATTCGAATCCGTTATTAGTTTTTAAAGAAAACTACCCTTTTTTGGATATTTCATTCGGTTTAATTACCCAAGTGCAACCCCACATCCAGGGCCGTGCACATCGGCTAGAATTTTGTGATATCCCATCAGCACTGAGAATTAGCCCCTTAAAAGGAGGTAATTTTTAGTTTTTAATGTAAAAATGCTGATTTTTTCAGTTTTTGCAATTTAAAAAAATCTATTAGACTCATTTGAAAAATTCTTTCAGTTTCGTGTTCAGCATATTTTTTGCATCGATAAACATATATCGCAAGCAAAACCCAATCGCGCGGCTTCTGGCACTGCCTCTAGGACAAAAATCAAATTCGGTTTCGCCTTTTTCTCTTCAATTTGGTTTAATTATCTTGAAGATTCAGTGCTATCGAATGATTATAATAATTTAGTTTATCTTTGAATCCTCACCAAGTTATTGGTAAAACAGTTGACGACTACGCGACTTTGATATCGAGCCTTAAGGTATCCAATGTGTTGAAAGTACTCACCAACATATTGAACTTTGTTCTTCTTATTGTTCACATCCAGAGCTGATTAGATTAACTGGATCTAAATCGTTTTTTTAGTGTCACTACTTTGTATTGAACTTAGCCAACCAGTCAAAGCAATATGAACGAAGTTCTATGAAATGAGAACTATTTTTTGTGTCGTTATATCAAATATAAACATGAAATATCAAAAAAATTGCAGAAAAAACGTCATATCGTTAAGCTTTCACCGACGCTGTGATACGAAACGGTTCTAAGGTACATTGGGATTGAATTAGATTGGTAGATTTTTGACCACTTAAATGTATGCTATGGTACAAAGCTTAGAAAATGACTTACCCAATTGGTTTCCCCTCGGAGCTGTGAAAGTGCTGCTTTTTGAAGCGTAAAATTTTCCGGGCGGCTCTTCGATATGTCCCCACACAGTAGACGGTGGCGATTGGATTGAAAATCGGTATTGGGCTAGCTGTCGCCAAAATCATGTGATTCGCCCACGGGAGATCGATCCAACCTGGAGTTGATAAAATTAGATCGGTGTTTTTCCAACGAATTGATAACGGAAAATTGCATCTGATCAAGTTGATCGTTCCTTGTAAGTTTTCTATTCTGTGTTTTATGCAAATTAACTCTAGCACATGTGAACGTGAACTCCAAATGTAAATCCACCTATGCAAGTTTGAAAATTGAGTTCCCCTAATAGAAAAGTACCAATAAATCCAACTGAGATTTATTGTTGATTCGCTTCTATTCGCCCATTAAATAAAGCATATATATATGTTGTATCCGATTTGGATTGAACTCACCGCGGATATCCGATTTGGATTTCAATCCAAATCGGATATCTGATTTGGATTGAAACATTATTTCACAGTAGGGTGTCACGTTTTTAAAAGGTTTGTAATCATTTTCTAGAATATTTATAGAGGTTTAACTCAGGCAACCTAGAACAGTCCGTTAGCACCACCTTTGCCCACCTGCCAAAGGTTTTCCTGTATTTTAGGTTGAATTCAATTCAAAGCCCTTTATTTAATTAGCGGCAACTTTATCGTAAATGAAAATAATCATAAACAATAAAATAACTGGTTAAGTAAGCAAATTGGTGAAACTACACTTTAAACGGTAAAAACAATGTAACTAAACAAAATGTAATTGTGAAAATGCAAAGAAAAACATGGAAAAAACAACTATTTGTTCTTGCAACTAACACTGTGATGGCATCTGGAATTGCAGAGGAGATCACGCATATCCCTCATCACGGATCACGCATATCCAAGTTTAACATGCGTTTTGTGAAGAATGTTGAAGAGTTCTTGTTGAATTAATCGTTGCCTTTCTGGTTCGCTACCGGCTTTCCGTCGTTCGTCTTCGTGTTTTCGTGACTTTCGTGTTTTCGACTGAAAGAGTGTATCGCTTCAGCAAGTTGGTTTCATGATAGTTCATTTTTGAAGTCTCCAGTGTTGAATCGTTAAAATTTTTAATTTTATCAACCATTAGCTTGTAGATTTTGGCTGTCGGAATTTGGCTCGTCTTTTTTCGCTCCAATAAACTGTTGAATTTCTCATAGAAGCGTGACTCCATCTGTAAAACAACAACGTAAAATAGGGTAAACAGCATAAAGACATAAAAAAAATTCAGAAGCATGTCAAAAGGCATAAATGAACTACTTTTTTGGGCAAAGGTGGTGCTAACGGACTGTTCTAGGTTGCCTGAGTTAAACCTCTATAAATATTCTAGAAAATGATTAAAAACCTTTTAAAAACATGACACCCTACTGTGAAATAATGTTTCAATCCAAATCAGATATCCGATTTGGATTGAAATCCAAATCGGATATCCGCGGTGAGTTCAATCCAAATCGGATATCCGCGGTGAGTTCAATCCAAATCGGATATCCGCGGTGAGTTCAATCCAAATCGGATAAAAATCCAAATCGGATACAACATATATAAGTGAAATCGCCAAACCGAATGCATTTTTGAGCCCAAGCTCAAATGGAGCCCAGGTTCATGGTAAAACTGAACATCGATGTTGCAATGAACTGGATTTTCAAACTGATTTCCATCCAACTAATTACCAACCCAATTGTTGTGGAATATAACAGAGAACAGCGAAAGCACCAAAAAGTGGAAGAAACGATTGAATGGTGAGTGCCTAAATAAAGATTTCTTGGCTCTTTCTCTAAAACAAACTTTGATAAATTGTCCATGAAGTCTCTTTGTTGTCGATGACATTGTGAATGAGGTTTTGATCTTTTGAAGAGTTTGGTATCTGAATTTATTAATCCTTGTCAACAATCTACCATGTGCCTAGTTTAGCAGCAACCCTTTCAGGTGCACTCAGGGACATTCAGGACCTGAATGTTCTAGATTTTCTTTTCAAGCACAATCTGCTCTCAAGAAAAGTTGAATCGGCAAATTGAATTAGACCTAAACCATTGAAATTTACGCTGAATCTTTCGAAGCTGAATGAAAATTTCAATAAATGGTGCGGCAGGATTATTATTTTTATTTTTAAAAATAACCAATATTTTTTAAGAATAGAAACCGATAAAGAAGAAGACTGAAATCCATCGAATTAAGACTTGAGGATGGCCACTAAAGGTGGCCAAACCAGGAAAATGCTGTCATGAACCAGTCGAGCCTTGTGATCATAAACATCATCCTGCATAAAACACCAAATCCTGTCGCCAAAGTGATTTTTGGCCCACGGAAGAAGATCTTTCTTAAGTATTTCAAGATAGTTGTTGGAACTAACATTGATGCCCTGAGGCGTTTGGAATAATCTTGCTGCACCCTATATATCCGGCCTCGAAGCTTTGATTTTCTTTCTAATGCTTGCACACGAAATTTCATCAATTGAACAAGCAAAGTGCTATTTGGATTCAATGTAAAATACTCTGTCGATTAGTTAAGATCTCAGGCACTTGTGACTTTTTTCCACGCAAACGCGAGTTTGCTTGCATGATATATAAGTTGTGAAAAAAAAGACACCAGTAACAGACCTCATGGTGATCGCATTATCGGGTGTTTCACTTTTTGAGGGCAAAGTACACTTGAAAAATGTCTGCTACTCAACTCATCGGATAAAATATTAGGTTGATGCATAAGTCTTTTCGTTCCTTTTCGTCTGCCGTTTCAAGCCAACAAATGCACCAATTAAACTACGGTTGATTTCATTAGAAAAACCAATTATTTTTCTGCAAAATAACATTAAAACGGGTTTAAAAATATTTTATGCCTGGATTTTCTTGAGAGTATGAAGTCGGGTAGTCAAAAAGGGCTAACTCGATGATGCGGTTTAGACACCTTAGCTAAAGAAAACCTATCTTCGTGTCAATAGATAAAAGATAGAGAAAAAAAAGTTTGATATTTCGCCAAAATTTCAGAGAAATTCATTCAGCCAATTTTTCCGTAGAGTTTTTTATAGATTTTTACGAAAAAGGCGTTTTTCACTCTCGAATTTGCTTGAAAGTCAACCGAAATTGATTTAAAAAGATGCAAATTGAACAAAAAACACTTTTTTTATAGAGCAAACTATAGATTAATTGGTGAATTTGTTACTTTTTAACAGCAGTACGAAAAAAACGAAAAGACTTATGCACCAACCTAATAAATAAACAATAAACAATAATAATCCCACCATCATACTGATCTTACAATAAATCCCCTACCTGATCACCAAAATCGTCAAATACATCGGTACGACCATGCAAACGATGTGAACAATTTTCAAAAGAATCAATGAAGAGAAAATATTTAAATGACCTTAATTATAGATTTTTTTAAAATTCTCAACACATCCAACCAGTCACAGCTTGTTTAGAGTAATCAGAATGTGGTTCTTGTCTTTGCACCATTTCCCTCACTTCTTTCTCATTGTCAAGAGAAAACAAGGCTGTAGTCTAAAGATTTCATGCTTTTATTGTTATCTTTGTTGCAACCTTTTGCCAAGTTCAAACTCACAATTTGGATAATTGTTGGGATCAGGCAGCACCCGCAAATCGTCCAAGTTGTCTTGATTTTTGGTGGTTTTCGAAAGAGCACGTATTTTCTGAACAAGTTGCAATTTGTTTAAAGCAAAATATACGGGTTTCAAATTTTATCGACTACAGTATACAGTTGTACTATAATACTGTATTAGAAGGTACAGTATAACTGAGCATACTGTACTACTACAGGAATTCAGAGCATACTGTAACACATTAGTGCCAATATGGGTTATTGGCTACTGTACCACCGTGGAAGCTACACTAGTTGAGCTAAGTACTGCCTAAGTGAAAAGTACTATAGTCAGTAATTACAGTAGATAAATTACAGTACTAAGGTGATGCAGCCAAGTATGCTACCCTACTATTTAACTACAGTGCTATAGCTTTTACGGTAGTTCAGTAGCACAACTACAGTGCTACATAACAGTTGAGTATAATAGTGTAACACTTTCAATTAGAGAATGAAGATTTGAGTGTGCCAGAAAGGGATTGTTTACACTTTACGTCGATACAAAGTATAAGAATACAAATCTAGTGCATAGCAAGCATTCAATTTTTTTGGATCATTAAATTAAATTTTAGAGAATTTAGTGCCAAATTTTTCCCATTCAAACCTGTATCCAAAAGCCGCTACCAGCAAGTAGAACCCGTAACTAAAAGTGCCCATCAGAATTGTGTACCCGAAAAAGCATGTCCTTGGTCCGAAATTCTTGCATGGACCAAAGCTCACATAGGCCAATCCGAGGCCGCAGGGGACGATTCTAAATAAAACAAACGATTCGTACGTAAGATTTCTCTTAGCCGAACAAAGTTCTCAGTCTTATATTGCTAAAGTCGAAAGCTGGGCTATATGCCATATCCGATTTAGCCTCAACAATAGTCTTAACAATTGGTGCGTTGGTAAGTCATGTTTTTGACAGTTTTTGATGAAATTTGTGGACATTAATAATAAAACTAAAACTTACTACACTTTTACGGTAAATTCGGCTTATGGCCTACGGCTTACGGCTAAAGTGAAGAAATTCAGCGAAACTTACAGGGTTTCGGTGCCGCCATTGCTTCTTGTTTTTGGTATAAAAAGGATTTAGTGCAAATACGCATCAAAAACTGTCAAAAGCATGACAAAATATGAGTTACCAACGCATCAATTGCTAAAACTATTGTTGACTCTAAATCGGATATAGCATATCGAAAATTTTGGTGTATCTAGCCTAAAAATATGTACCGTTTTTAATCTTTACTTTGGCACTTTACCATTTAAAACCTACTTGTTCTGAATAAAAAGTTGAGCTGAATTGTTAATCCAATCATTCATCGTATTACAAAAGAGAACAATGGAATAGGAGCGAATCATCGTTGGACGTCTTGTCAGGATAATGCTGAAAATTCAGTGCTGATCACTGAAGACATTGTCGATTTTGATATTTTATTCATTTGATATTGAAATCAAAGACAAGCTCTTGAAAAAAACTTTAAATTCTGAGCCTTATCTTACTGTAGTAGAAAATTTTGCTTGACTGAATAGTTTTTAATCCTTCCCTGGAATTAAAAGACCTAGAATTCTTTTTACTTTAATTTAGTATACTGTAATTAAGCAAAAGACAGAATGTTTACAGTAATTTCCTTTTCAAAAAAAGCAATAAAAAAGGCAATAAAAACCCAGCCCTGATCCAGTTCTACTCAAATAAGAGCCAACTAAACGACCCCCTTTCACATGGCTCCTTGGCGCAATGGTAGCGCGTTCGACTCCAGATCGAAAGGTTGGGTGTTCGAGTCACTCAGGGGTCAAAATTTTTTGCTTTTTTAAAAAAATCAAACTAACTTTAATTTTAGTATTCTGTCACAAAACTGACTAAAGAAGCAGTGTGTTGAAGGACAAGCCCATCAAATTGCCGCAAATTTGAAAGTTTACCAGTAAACGGTCGCTCGGTGACATGAAAAGTGCTTGAATCTGAAGTTTTACAAGAAATCTGAATTAAAACAAAACACAAAGTCTAAAAAATTAAGTAGAATTGAAATTTTGAAAGGTTTCTGGACGAAATCCTTCAATTCTTCGAATGAAATTTAAAAATCGAAATTTTTGGAAGAATCTCTAATTTTTTCCTGGGAAAGATTCAATGACGAAACTCAATTTTGGGGGATTTTTGGGGAAAAGACGGGAAATTAAGCTCATGAACAGAATTCTGAAAATTCTGAAAAAAAAATGCGAAAAGTAAACGAATTGCTTTTTTGGGGAAAAGTAGGATATAACTTTTTTTTATAAAATTTGTTATTGAATCATTGATTTAGTTATTATCATTAGAAATTTGGGACGAATAACTATAAAACTTTTGGCTTCTGGTACACTAAATCTTCTAGTTAACCCGTTCTCGATACTTTGTACGCTCAAATGTAAACGCATCCGTTCTGGCGAACTCAATTCTCCCTTTTCCACAGAATATCAAAGAGCCTAAAGAAAATGAAGAATTAAGTGGTCCAGAAAGGGTGTGTTTGCGTTTTTAAAAACACAAAGTACATAAAAATCATTCAAACTTATTCACTGACTAAATTCATTAAAAATCCAGAATTGTCATAAGTTGTAATTTTTTGAAATAGAAGGGAGACAAATTTTCACTATGTGGCAAATGTACCAATGTTGTGATGTACGTTGTGCCATTAAAGTTCAAATGCACCCTTTCTAGCGCACTCAATTCTCCATTTTCCACAGGATTTCAAAGCTTGGACACAAGAAAATGAAGAACTGAGTCTGTCAGAAAGGTTGCGTTTACGTTTTTGAGTACAAAAGCTTCTATTGCTTGTCAAGTGTTGAAAAGCACTCTGCAGGTTGGGCCATTGCTAAATTTAGGATAAATGAGCTGATATCATCAGGAAATGATATTCAACGCTCAACTAATTGCTTTCATTTTTCTTGCAGACAATGCAACATTGCAGAAAGGGAATTTGAGATCCAAATTGTCTAATCCCTTCAAAAATAAGAACACATTTTTAATTGAGGGGCTTTAGACGAGATTTTTCAATGCTCAAATATCTCATTTTGTCTACACCTATTTGGAAATTTTGGATGGTGGAAAATTGTCACAGTTTTTGGCGATCTAAAAAGATTTTGTGGATGAAAATTGACGTTTTACTCTCAAAGTCTTTAGTCAATTTATAGATTTAGATTTCTATCCATTGCAAGTTCAAAAATCGAAATAAGAACCGTAAAAGATGGGGTAGGCTAATTTTCGCCATTTTATTTGCACAACTGGGTCTTTTGTGCAACTCGCCATAACTTTCTTCCAAGTGGGCCAATCTTTATGATTAGAAGAAAGTTATGGCGAGTGACCCAGCTGCGCAAATAAAATGGCTGAAATTAGCCTACCCCTAAGAGATGCTTAAGAGTTTTAAGATCTCAAAAGAAAAGCGCTGAATATCGAATTTCATTGCAATTAGCCGTGTGTTCCACTGAATTTCACTAAATTTCACTAAATTTCACTGCAAAACACCTAAAATCCAAATTTCAAAAACTTCAAAAAATCCAAAGATTTTGCGTAATTGGACATTTAAAAAGTTTATTAGGCACAGTTTTAAATATAGCACAAATTGAGGAGATCAAGATCCAAGTGTCAAAGAACAAAAAAAATTCAAAAATAGAAATAAAATAAATGTTAGTTTGTTGTCAAAAAGTGTTCAAAAAGGTAATTTTGAAAGAATTTTCAGAAAAATTCTCAAAATTCTTGAAAATTTGAAGTTTCTGGGTTAATTTTGGGGAAAACTGGCTAAAAAAGGATTAAATGAGGAAATGAGGAAAAGGAGAGTTGAGAAAAGTTTGAAAAAAATTGCAGAAACAAGAATCTCCCTTGATGAACCCATTGATTATTTTTCTTGGCACCTTGAAACTTCAGTTTTACTTCAGAAACATTGTATTTAGTTTATCAGTTGCCTAATTTTTAACCGGTATGCTGTCGTTATCCAGATAAAATACTGAAAACCAAAGAAAATAATTCTTTTCATAAAAAATGATGACTTAATTCGTTTTCGTGCTCAAAAGGGTTTTAAAATGAAACCTGAAAACATCAGAAATTCAAAAAATGAAGCCTGAAGTGATGAATGAACAAAAAACGAGAGATCCATTTGTGGATTTCTCTCTTTCTATTCCATTCCACTCGATTCCGTTCCATCCCATTTCATAGATTAAGATTCCCAGTCGAATGGGTGCCCGTTTTCTCTTTTCTGTTGTCCTTTTGTCTATATAATCGGAAAATCCCCTTTTTCCCGTCCTTCGGAGGGCCGAGGGACATCGTTTCCGTCATTGAGCTCTGACCTCGATCTCGTCTGAAAAGAGGAAAGTAAAAAACAAAAGAACGTTTTCTGAAACGTGCAAAACTAACTAGGTTTACAGTAGTTACGGCTTAGTTACCTTAAGTGACAGAATTTGAAACTTTTTACTATTAGAGACAGAATGTTTTCAGTAATTTCCTTTTCAATATTAAACTGTATAAAAATAAACCCAGCCCTGATCCAGTTCTACTCAAATAAGAGCCAACTAAACGACCCCCATCCACATGGCTCCTTGGCGCAATGGTAGCGCGTTCGACTCCAGATCGAAAGGTTGGGTGTTCGAGTCACTCAGGGGTCAAAATTTTTTTGCTTTTTTGTAAAAATCAAACTGACTTTGCGGTAATTGCTATTCGATGTTACCGTAATCCTGCTCTTTGAAACATTTCCAAACTACCGCAATCCTGTCTTCTACCTGTATGTTACCGTATTTAAACTACTGTAGCCACTGTAATTCTACTTTCTAATAGTAAGATGTGTCACAGTTGCCGTAACCTTACAATCAAGCTCTTTGAAAAGTTGCAAAATTATTGTACTACCTAACCTACCCTAATCCTTATTTCCTATTATTACGAAGATTTTTGGTCATTTGGGTGAAAAACCTTGTAAACAAGAAAACTTGATAAAAAAAGGGTAACTTTTGGGGTAACTTTTGTAACTTAGGGTAACTTTTGCAATGACTAAGCCTTTCCCCATCTCCTAGAGCCTTTATTTTTCAGAAGGCGAAACTTTGCTCTCACGCTCTCACGTTCCCTTTCTGCTAATCCTGGCCTTCATTTGGGTGTCTCCCAAAACCCAAAAAACCCGCGTGACATGTGGGAAAATGAATTCCTAAAACTGCTAAACTTTGAAAGTTTATTTGAATCAGGAAATAGAAAAACTAGACCTAATTTGAGAGACAAGGTTGCTGAATACTTTTTGTTTTACTCCGAAAGGTAGATTATATTGGACTTGTGAATTGAAAACTGCCGGACTTTGAACTAAAATTTACTCAACATAAAACCATAAATTCATTCCAAATAATTTCCATTATTATTGACGACTTCTGCCCATTTTACAGGCAATTTGCGGATTCCTCTTTCGTAGTAGGATTTTGGTTTTGAATCGAAAAACTTTTGGAGCCAATTTTTGGCCACTTCTTCCGAATCGAAGTGTTCTCTCGCAAGCTCATTACTCATGATCCGAAATAAATAGTAATCAAAAGGGGCGAGGTCCGGACTGTATGTGGGATGCGCCAAAAGTTCCCAAGCAAGGCTGTTGATTTTAGAGCGAGTCAGTTTTGCAATATGAGCGCGCGTTGTCATGGAGGAGAACGATCTTTGAGTTGGAGTATTCTTCTTTAGGGATTCATTCACCTTTTCTAACTGTTCACTGTATTTGATTGCATTAAGGGTCGTCTTGCTATCCAGCAACTCCCAGTACACCACTCCCTCCATATCCCAGAAAACGCAGAGCATAAACTTCTTCTGGTGCAAATCGGGCTTAGGGTCACTTTCGGGTTTCTCGCCTGGCCCCACCCATTGCCGCTTCCTCCGAAAGTTCACAGATAAAACCTATTTCTCATCTCCTGTCACAATTCGAGGAAGAAAGGATTTCCTTTCGTATCGTGAGAGATGAGCGGCACTGTTGGAGGCGCGCTGCCACTTCTGGGGGTCAGTGAGGTCATGGGGCACCCAAGTCCCAAGTTTCGATTTAAAACCAAGGGTATGAAGGTGCCTTAGCACTGTAGCATGATTAACCCCTAACTCTTCTACCAATGCACGCGATGATACCGGATGGTCGTTGGTAATGAGTTCGAGTAATTTGGAATCATCCAGTTGGGGTGCCGCTCCACGGCCCTCTGGATCTTTCAGAGATTTGTCCCCAGATCGAAACTGAGCAAACCATACTCGACACGTTCTTTCGGAAGGTGAGTCCTCCCCATATATCTTTTTAATATTAGCAGCTGCCAAGCCTGCACTGTGCTCTTGTAGGAACTCATGAAGCATGACATGACGAATATGTCCCGGTGGCAGATTGTCGAGTGCAATAGAGGAAGTGAAGAAAAATACCAAAAATAAAAAGCTGAAAGCATAATTTTTTCGCAATAATTTGAGGAAATGTTGAAGTAACCAAACCCCCTTTCAGCTGGTTCAATGCTGTTGTTTTTTTATCAGCGAGTCCCGCGAAATAGCCAACAGTTTTCAATTCACCAATCCAATAGTTTTGAGCTCGTTCAGAATTGAGTTGAAATCCGTATTGTTCGCCTTTAGAACAACAACAATTTGTTAAAGTTTACCTCCGTTGCAAAAGTTGTTCAGTCCAGATCCTTGAGAGTTTGTCGACGAGTGCGAGAGTTGAGACATCTTGCTTGCCTAAATATTTCTCATTAGAGTATGATTCCCGAGTAGTAGTATTCCCGAGTTTTCTAAAACATGCCAACTTTTGAAAGCTATCGTAAGCTTGCTTCTAATTTTTAACCAATCGTCTGCTTCGGCCTGATTTACGCAGGAAAGCGATATCAAAATAGGCAACATAAAACTATTATAAAGCTGACTGTAATTTTGAAAGGTTGGCATGTTTTAGAAAACGCGATCATTGGGACATACTCTTGTAATGACTGTAGTCATAACTTGCACCAGTGATTTAGGAAACAAGACAAGCATCCATGCTCAGAGATCAAATAGTCAAATCATAGAGAATAAGGCTTATTGTTTAATTCTACAATTCCTTCGCAATTGCTTTTAATCCATTAAATAAAAACACAGATCTCTAGATCTCATTGTTTCAATCTCATAAGCTTAATCCATGAAAAAGTTTTCACGAAGAATGGCACCAGAAAACAATCATTTCCAAGGCAAGTTTTGGTGCGAAAAGGCTACAGAAAAGCTATTTCGATTAGACTGCAGAACAAGATCGCGAAGAAAACAAGAAAGTATTAAAGTCAAAAAAAGAAATAACTGGACAATTGTTTGGTGAATATAAAAGCAGTGAATGGAATGGCAATGTTCATTTTTCGACTTTTGCACCATTTCTAAGGATGGTTTTGAGGTTTATTCTCTTTGTTCCATTCTTGATTACGGTGGTGAAAAGTATTCCGATTGACAATGGAGTTGAAGGTTGGTATAGAGGCTTTCTTTGTGCTGTACATTGTGCTGTACATTGTGCTTAAAACTGTACACACACCTTTTCTGTTGCATTGAATTCGTCTATTTTCAGTAATTCCCAAGAAAACTAAAGTATTCAGTGCGCCAGAGAGGACTTGTTTACGTTTCGACACAAAAAGTACAACTCAATGGTTCATTTTGAATCCCAAACACTGACAATCAGTCACAAGATTTTTCAGAAACTCCTACAGTACTCAAGAAGATTTTGCTAAAAACTTTCTAAAATAGCTTATCTCATTACAGCATTTTAGTAACACAGTATTCATTAACAACACAATTAAAAGTTTGCAAAAATTCCTTAAATGATTACTTATTTAGGAGAACCCGAAATTGAATGCGGTCCCACATCAATCAATGTCAATTTCAACACCAGAAACCCCTTTGAAGGACACATTTACGTAAAGGGACTCTTTGCGGATCCAAATTGCCGACGAGAGGAAACTGGAGGAAGATCGGTTCGTTTTTAAAACAAACTACTGAGGTTAATCAAAAATTTGAAACAATAGATACTACACATTCTAAAATGCGCCTTTTTTGAAAGCTACGGTAATCAAGGTGTACAGTTTACATGGTAACATGGCTACATGCATGGGGTACCTAATTCAAACGAAACAGGATAGCTTTAAAGATAAACTTGAGTTCTGTGCATAAACGATAATATAACACAAACACATACGGGGATACAAGAATGGCTGTTTCAACATTATACCTACTTTATCGTCCTACAGGGTGTTCAATATTTATGAGAACCAGTAGATTACTAGGTTTAGAGCTCAATTTGTACAATTTTAAAGCTAAAAAGGAAAAACACTGAACAATACGCCCAACGTTAACAACTTTAAGTTACTTTTATCAAAATATTGCCTTTTGCGCTGTTGCTTGCCTAGGTGAAACACCTGTGGAGGTTGGATAAATTGATTTTCTCACAAACTCTCGTTGAGCTTTCTTGAAAGAACCAAAACTGAAATGTGATTCTAACATTTTTAATGCCTCGTAGTTTCGAAAACTTTTAAATAGTGATAACTTTCTCATCGTTAAACAAGAACAACTGAGGTCTGACTCCTTTTGATGGAATTTGGTGATCGAGTTCCGATGAATCGATTTTTAGAATATCAAATTTAGTAAACTGTAAAAACAATCTAGAAAGTCGAGTTTATTCCAACTCCTATGCAGTGCTTTCTTGACGATTCTTTTCATAAATCAATTTGGAGAGCGCTAAACGATCCGCGAGCTCAAAAGTCTCCATAACACCCTGTACAATGTTTATCCCACTTCAGATCGCCGGAATCGAGCTTCCATTTGACACTTGTAATGTACAGAGAACCCGCTCACTCAACCCAAGAGGAATCTTTGTTTCAACAACGGGTAAGTGCAACAAAACCGATAAATGCCTTTTCAATCCAATTCCTAACTTTAGTTGTCATCTCGTTCCACCCACAATTCATCACTAAAGTCGATCGGATGTACAAGCTGGAATGCTTCTATATGGAGGCCGACAAGACTGTCTCCACCGATTTGCATGTAATTTAAATTCAAAGTAACTGGTTAGCTATGCTAATTTTTTTAGGTTTCTGATCTCACTACAGCCGGTATTGAGACGACAATCGTACCCATGCCAATTTGTCGCTATGAATTGCATGAGGGAGGGCCCGAGGGTCCACTCATCAAGTATGGATTCGTCGGACAACAGGTTAGTGAGGATGCATGCAAGTGCCAAGTTGATATACTGGACTTCATCTACACTAGGTATTACGGCATTACAGCACTACTATTGAACTGTGCTTATCAAAGCTGATCGCACAACAATAAGTTCTTACAACAACCACAACAATACAGAACTCGGTGTTTTGTTGTACTACAGTAATCCAAAATATTTAGCTATCAAGACTGTTTTCAAAATAGCCTGAAAATCGAAAATTTTGATACAAGAACTCGTTTCAAAATGATTCAAACATCAGTATTAAAATGCAATTCCGTTCCAGATTTACCATCGTTGGGTGTGCGACACCGAGACACAAGATACCTATTGTATGATCGTGAACACTTGTACGGTTGATGATGGACAAGGGGAGAAGATTCAGATTTTGGATGACAAGGGTTGTGCGCTGGATAAGTGAGTGAAATTTCAGTACTTCTGGGCCCTGAGCTGGCTTATAGAGCTTATAGGACCCGGTAAACATTATTCCTGAAAATTACATCCAGATTCGTTCTCAACAATCTCGAGTATCCGACCGATCTCTCGGCTGGGCAAGAGGCGCACATCTACAAATTTGCTGATCGACCAGACTTGTTCTATCAATGCCAAGTAAAGGGTTCTATTTAAACCACTAATGTTCTGGCTCTAGATTGCCATTACGATCAAGGAGCCAAACGCTGAATGCTTAAGACCAGAATGCCCCGAGCCTGCAGGATTTAACACTGTCAGGGTATGAGAGTTCAAGGGCAGTCAATTTTCTAGTTCAGACATTGGTCTGAACTAGAAAATTGACTAGATTTGGCTATTTATATGCTTCAGCTAACTGGTGAAATCCCACCCGGGAACCCGAATCCAAGTGCTGGGGCTGAAGCGGAAGCCGAAAATGCGGGGAACACAGAAGTGGAGGCACCGTCAGCCAGGGGACGTGGTGGAAGGAGATTTAGAAGGTAAAAATAGGCTATAGATTCAAAGCAAACGTTCTTTGCGTTCAAAAGTAGAAACGTAATCTTTCTGGCGCACTTTGTAGCTTTCCTTTCGTCTAAAGGCTGCATAAAAGGCATCTACCGTAAAAGCTGTAATAGAACAACTGATATATAAGATTTCTTCCTCATATATTTCTGTTTCTTGACGAAAATCGAGAAGATTAACGAAGTAAACGGATCCAAGAGCTTATCGATTTCTTTTTCAATACGTGCATCCCTGAGCAACTGTAGTCCTGTAGAAATCGGGCCATCGGGCTTAAAACAGTGAATCAGCTGGTTGTCGGCACCACTTGAATTGATTCCAACACCACAGCTTTTGAAGAATCGACGAATGAATTCTTCCGAAATTGAATCTCAAGCATCAGCAATTCATTTTAAGTAGATGTCCATTCACATTAGATCCAACTAAGCCAGGATAAAAGTGGCCCCTCCCAACCATCAAAGTACCTAAAACTGTATGTAAAAAGCATCGTAAAGTAAATTTTCGCAATAAAAAATAAAAAGACAGCAAGCGGTGTTAATGAATTAAAAATGACCAAATTCTAGATAGAGAAGTACGAAAATACGATTCAATGAGTTGCGAAAATGATTTTTAGCTACTGGTCAATTAATTTTAATAATTTTTGATTGAATACTTTCAAATTGTAAAAAAAAAGGTGGGAAAGGTGGAATGCTTTCGAGCAAGTGACTTCAAGAACGCAAGTACAAGATGTTTTTTAGTAAAAGCAAACGTAGTAAAAACATTTCTTAGCAAAAGCAATTTGTTAAACGCTACACTTTACACTGCGTAAAGTGAATCACTCCTTTTGACTGAATATTTTGCTATTTCAAGGAGAGGTAGAAAATATTCAGCCAAGAGCAGATGCAAATTTGGGGAGGGGCTATAATTAGGGGGAGGGGGCTACTATTAGGGGGGTCACTATTTTTTCGTTGGCCCTCTAGGGGGACTACTATTGAAGGGAGGGGAGGGGGGGCTACTATTTGAGGGAGAGGGGGCTACTATTACAGCTTTTACGGTAAACTACCCTAGTCAAAGCTCCAGTCTAATTGTGGCATCATTGACTGATACTTGCCTATCAAATGCGACCAAAATACGGATATGATAGCAAAGACAACGAGAATTTCGATATTAAAGAGCAAATTTCAGAGGAACAGCTGAGTTCGACAGAAGCAACACACTGGACGTGAGAACCGAGATGTCGGCGCTCAATATTATGGATGAGGTAAAGAAATGGAACACTTCTGCAAACTGAAAACCTTTACAGTGACGTTAAAACCGTGCAACTAACAAGTTTACAACTAAGATAAAGATATTCAGTCAATCCAGGGCACTACAGTCAGGCAATCAAAAGTTCTGTAAACAGTAATTTTTTCAATCGGAAAACACAGGAATTTTGGAAAACTAACGCCGGATTCTAACAATTCAGCTATTTTTTTGCCCCAATATACCCATTTTCAAGGAAAAAAACTCTTAACAACTCTTTGAGGAGGATCTTTAACCCAAATCTCAAAAGCAAAAAAGTGCTGTGACGACCTTTAAACATCCTCATCAAAAAGTTGCTTAGAGTTGTATAAAAAAGCAGCTTTTGTATAAAAAGGGGTATATTAGGGTAAAAATACCTAAATTTTCATAATCCGACGTTAGTTTTTCAAAAATAGCGTATTTTCCGAGTCAAAAGGTCCATTTACCAAAAGTGTCAGAACTTTTGAGACAGCCTGTACAGTCGTGCGAACTTTTTCCGAATGGTTATCCTAAAGCATGAACGGTTACAGTAGCCCGGCCCAGCTCTTCATATCATAAATCTCATGTTGATGACCTTTTCAGCCAGGTTATGATAGCAAGAGTTCCAAGTCCTAAAAGCCACTGTTTTCTTTTGTTTGACCACAGTACTCTTGAAAAGAAAAGATGGAAGAAGGTTCGTATACGAAAGAAATATTTAGGACGAAGCCCGTCGCCTACAGGAGAACATCGGAAAACGCTCAGCCGACACCCAAATGCTCCCATCCGGTCATCAAATCGTTTATCGTACAATCTCAGATGGTTTCTGTCTCTCACCATTCCTTCTCTCGTTCCTTGCCTTTGCTTGTTTTATTCTATTCGGAGCTGTCTATGCAATCCGATTCTCAAAGATGAAGTCTTTCAAGGAATAGGAGGCTCAAATTCTCGTTGTTGTCCATTGTGCAATACAGATAGCTGGTGCAATTTGAAAAAGGAATGAATTTTTGTGAAATAAAATTCTATGCTAATTTGAAGTTAAAGCTAGTCCAGAGTTTCAAACGGGAGATTGATTGCATTTGATTGACATGAAAGTGCAAAGTTTAATTCTCTTAGGTTCGCTTGGCTTTTGACTGACCAATATAACTATGATAGTCAAATTAACAGTTGCAACACATTTGATTTATCATGGAACAGTACTTGGTCGATCAAAATCCCAAATTTCTTGAATAGTTCAGAAGCCAGAATGGCCGGTTTTAGGGAAAAAGCAAGCATAGTCAGTTTTGGGCACCATAACGAAAGGATCTGTGTATCAAAGGTGATTCTTCATAGCTTATCAATTATAAGTAGAGGTTTAAAAACTCCTGTTCGGAAAAGTGGCACACTCTGCAAACTGATCTGGGTTTTCCGGAACAACTCTGACAATGAAACACTTACGGGATTGTAGAAAAGTTTTCTTATGACAATAAAACTCTTTGAACGAACCTCTTGAGCGGCTTTCGTTCCCATTGGACAAATCGAGACATAATCGGAGCGACTGCCGACAGAATTACTCGAACTTGAGCCATTCTCGCGTCGAGAGCCCGCCAGCTGGCAGTAATCGAGACGAGACGACTGTCGAAGCAGCTCACTCTCTAAAATGTGATTTGCAAATTTAATAATAACAGTGGCTTTTAATGAGCCTCAAAGAAACAAGTACAGTTAATTTAGATATAATAAATTTAAATATAATCTAAAACCCACGAATGCTTGGTGTGCTTTCAACCGATGGGAAAGCCTTTCTCGGTAAAGTAATCGGCGAAGAGGAGCGAGCCGTTTGATGGGAATTGAACGAGTCAATTGAGGAGCTTTGTTGAAACTGGAATTTGGATTTTAAGAGGCTTTAAGATAGCTAATTTAACAGAATTTTAATTCCAACCACAAGAGTCCGTTGACTGGATGGCCTCTTTTCCAGTGTCGGTGCCACCATTCGTGGTGGACTCGAGGCTCGCTTTTTGAATGAGATTTTCGACTTGACCCCAGAAGAAAGGGATTCGTTTGAAGATCTAGAATTGCAATTGAGTTGGCGTTGATTGGCTTAAGGCTATGTAAAATCGCTGAAGCTCTTTCTCAGTAAAATGAGGTCTGTTTAAAGATTGTGAAACATCTAATACGCGCCCCGTCCCTTTTCCCATTGGTAATGTAACTTTTATTTTTTCAGAATACTTATTCTTAGTATCATTCAATGCACCAAGTTTTTCTCTGTCGATTGGTACAAAAACTATTTAAATTGGACAGCCCAAGACCAAGATATACGAGCTCAAAGTTAGATTGCCAATGGGAAAAGGGGCGGGGCGCGTACCAAATATCCGATAACATTTTTAAATGCAAATTTGGCGTGGCATGCAAAATGGTCAAAAGTACCGATATTTCTTATTCTGGACGTACCAAATTCACTTATCAAAGTTGATTTTGTTTTTTTTTCCAATTCACCTTGTACTCTCCGACACAGACGAGTTGCGCAACGCTTGCGCCTTCATCGCTGCTGATTTCGATAGCCTTCGTGGGAGTAGCAAGAGGTTCTGAAATGAGAACTTTGCCCAGATGTGATCACAATAATATCAAAAGCTCAAAAAAGAAATTCTTACTATACGTTTACCAAAAATTTTAATCATTACCTTGAAAGAAACAGCGGATGCCCGTCGATCACTCTCCTTCAGCCGCTCACGTCCACTCTTCACCGCCGAGACAATGCCTAGAATTCGTTTCTTAAAGTTCGGATTACTAAATTATCATTCTTAAAACCAGTTAGCTTAAAATAGTAAAATCAAACCATCCAACGGATCATCGGATTTCTCATCGGATGCATGTCCCTCTCTTCTTTTCGGCGATGTTTGTGGGAGCTCCTCTTTTGGATTGCCGGGATTGTAGTGATGAGTGGCACGCTCGCCGTCGTATTTCTGAGAATGAATAAAATATCAAGTATTTTACTTATAAAATAGAAATAAACATCAGAAATTAACCACAAAATCCCACCGTAAATGATCCCCGCACAGTCGATTGAAGACGTTTTGCCAGTATCGCTCCGACGCCCGATCTCGCAGTAATCATCGGGAATTCCTTGACTTTCACCAAACCCTCCAGTGGCCTGTTTTCAGCCTAAAGCACAGTTTTGAAAATTTTACACCATTTACAAACTGATGTCCCTTGTGCCAACAATGGATCGTTCATGGCGAGGTTGAGCGCCGGCGGGAGTGCGATCTCCTCGTCTGAGTGCTCGGTGGCGAATGAAGAGATTGAGGAATGGTGCTGAAAGAAAAAATATGATAAAAATGGAGTAGCTTGATAATATTATCATCAGAAATAGAGTATTGCCATTATTTTTGAACACAACACTAGGTACTTTGTGGGTTGTGGACCACTTTTAAAAAAATTTTTACTTTTCGTGAGGTAATTGACGCTGAACACGAAAATGATAAAATTTTCAAGATTGTCCATCAGAAACTCATTTTTTAAGTTTAAGAATCAACGTTTGTAGAACATTTTCATGATATTCAGTCAAGGAAATTGCACTTTTTCGTGTTAAATGAAATTTTTGCCAGGGACGGTACTTTTTGAGTATTTAGTACTTTGGAAAAAATTGGAAAAAAAATTGACTAGTAAATTGATATTGCTACCCTGGTAAATGAGCAAAGTTGCATAGTAAAATGAATTGTAAATTACTATCCTACAGTGCGTTGCAAAATGATAGGTTCACCCCCGATTTTTGATTTTAAATAACTAAAAATGCAAAACGATGCTTAAATTCGAGATTTATACGTACGAGATAAAAGTACACACAAATACCGTTCGCCAAATAATTTACTTTAAAAGGCAAAATTTTCAAGAATTTCTTTATTTTACACCTGTTGCAAAATGATAGGACCACTAAGTTTCTTTTTGATTTTCTACCTTTAATAACCATGTTTTTTGCTTACTTTTTGCTAATTTTTATTTTTTAGGAAGATGGGGCGTGGAATATCACTTACGATCGACCGAACAGATGAAAATTTTGATTTTGAAAGGAAGAAAGTTGTCGAATCGGACGATCGCAAAAAAAAGAAGCGCTCGCACCAAGTTGTCTCAAATTTCTTGAAGGATCCTTTCAATTATGGGAAGAAAAAGTCTCCGGGACGTCATCGAAAGCTCACGGCCAGCGCTGAAAGGTATATGGGACCTCTGTTGTCGAATTCGGTGATGTCGCTACAGGACGTCAAGGTACAAATTGGAGCATCAAAAACACTCTTTCTCGAGCAGTCATGAAGAAAGCACCAAAACTGAAGCCGACACACAAAGAAAAAAAGGATGTCTTGGGCTCGGGATCACATTACCATCGATTGGAAAAAAGTAAACTTTTTGCCTTGAGTTGTTAACTATTTTTTTCTTTGTAGGTCATCTGCAGCGATGAGAAAAAATTGAATTTGGATGGTCCCGATGGCAACAAGTACTATTGGCACGATTTGAGAAAAGATCCAATGCTTTGTGGGCGTCGAAACTTTGGAGGAGGATCACTGATGATATGGGACGCTTTCAATGTGGATGACGTTCTTGATTTAGAATTTGTGCCTTGTCGCATGAACTCGAGCGATTACCAGGATGTCCTTGCGGATCAACTACTTCCTTTCCTAGCACAAAATCGAGGGAAACACTATATTTTTCAACAGGATAATGCTTCAATTCATGTCAGCCAATCCACTAAAGCTTTTCCGGAACGTCACAACATCGATTTTCTCGAATGGCCTGCCTGCTCACCAGACTTAAACCCAATGGAAAACTTATGGGGCATCCTCGTGAGGAATATTTATGCTAATGGAAAGACTTACGACACGATTTCGCAACTCAAAAAAGCAATTTTGCAAGCTTGGACGTCAACCGCAAACACTTGAAAGCTTAGTGAACTCGTTGAAAAGTCGACTACTCAACGTCATCGAGAAAAAGGGAGCATCTATTGATTATTAATGAACTTTTCATTCGTTTTTCTTTTGTTTATTCTCAAACTTATTGTTGTTTTTTATGTGGTCCTACACTCTGTCAAAAAATTATAGACGCACCCTGTTTTTTGCTAGTTTAGAGCCGGATATAAGTGCCAGTCCAGTGAAAAGTATTTTTTAGTTTCTTTAATGTAAAAAAACAAACCACGCAAAATTTCAAGTCATTTCACTCATCCAAAGTACTTTATCGTACAAAAAAGGTTTTATCAGCTGTCAAAAAATTATAGACGCACTTTTATTTGACGATTTATTCTATCAATAATTGTTAGTTTTTCTCCTTTTTTTGCTTATTAGTTATGTTTATAAATGTTTTTACATTTTCAGATATGCCACTTGGAAAACAACTGGATGTGGTGGAAAAAACGCGTATAAAAATCGATGTGCTCCACACGCTTGGTCACTCAAAAAGGGACATTGCTCATCGCATCGGACGTTCTGAGAAGTGTATTCGCACGTATCTCAAGACCAAAGTGACTCCTAAGAAGAAAGAAACACGGGGCCGGAAGAAAAAGTTGACCGATCAAGACGAACGCGCAATTACGAGACGTCTTTCCAACACGACGACATCACTCGAAGAGGTTTGCAAGGAGATGAAGCTTCCGGTCACTCGCCAAACTGTGCACAACGTTGTCAAACGATCTACAATACTCAAATACAAACTCATGAAGCAAGCTCCACGACTTACAAAGGACCATAAAGCCGCCCGTATCAATTTCGCTCAAAAGAACCAGAAGACCAAATGGGAGGGAGTTGGTTTACTAGTATCTCTTATATATTTGATGTTTAGATCATTTGGAGTGACGAAAAGAAGTACAACCTTGATGGTGCTGATGGTTTTCGAGGATATTGGAAGGATTCACGAAAGCCGGGCATGGTCTTCAGCACGAGACACTTTGGAGGTGGATCATGTATGGTATTGGGAGCCTTTCGAGACGGCGAACTGGTCGGCTTAGAGTTTATTTCGACCCGGATGACGCTTGACTATCAACAAGTGTTGGACAAACATCTAGCCGTCTATCTGAACAACAATCCGGGCAATAACTTTACTTTTCTGCATGATAACGCGAGTATTCATGCAAGTTGCTCCACAAGAGATTGGTTGACAGCGCACAAAATCGGCACTGTCACTTGGCCCGCTTGCAGCCCAGACTTTAACCCGATTGAGAATGTGTGGGGGACACTCGTTCGAGATGTCTACAAGGGAAACAAGCAATATTCGAACGTGAATGAACTCAAGAAAGCCATTCAAGTAGCCCGGAATCGGGATCGGGAAGTAGCCCGGAATCAGCCAACAGCGCTCCATGACCTTGTCTCTTCGATGCCGAGACGTCTTTTTGAAGTTGGACTAAAGCAAGGAGGGGTCACACATTATTAATTTATTTGGTTTGCGTTGTTATTTTTATTTCTGTTAACTTTTTCTTGATAAAATAAAAGTGCGTCTATAATTTTTTGACAGCTGATAAAACCTTTTTTGTACGATAAAGTACTTTGGATGAGTGACATGCCTTGAAATTTTGCACGGGTTGTTTTTTTACATTAAAGAAACTAAAAAAATATTTTTCACTGGACTGGCACTTATATCCGGCTCTAAACTAGCAAAAAACAGGGTGCGTCTATAATTTTTTGACAGAGTATATCATTTCGCAACACGTGTTAAATGAAGAAAATGTTATAATTTTGTTGCAAATTGTTTAGATAAAAAAATGGTATAGATGCCTATTTTTGTATATATTTCTAGGATTTAAAAGCTATTTCGCGTTATTAAATTTCATAGCCAAAAACTGTAACATGTAGGGGTGGTCCTATCATTTTGCAACGCACCTTAGTAATAAAGACTTATTACCCAAATCCCCATTTAATTGCCTAGTAAGCTAATGACCAACACATAACAGTGATCTGCAGCAAAAAGCCGGTTTTCCGATAATAAATCGGGTTTGAAAACGTGAAATTCGTGTTCAGCGCCACTGATTACCCCAGGAAAAGTGAAAATTACAAAAAAAAGGTGCCCCCGAACCGAAAAAGTATCTAAGAACCAGTTTTCGAAAGCTTGCCAACAAAAAGTTCAGAGTTCAGAGTTTCTCTGAATTTTCTGTTGAACTTATGAATTATGAATTAAAAATAAAATTCCTACGAAAAACAAGACAATTAATCCATTACTACAAAGTTGCATTGTCCAACCTTTTTCCTTGCTGGTGACGCAAAGCTGAGCGCAGAGGTGCTGTTCGATTTGGTCATTTCCCGCTTCTTTGCCGAGTGTTGAGTCTAGAATTGGTCTTGGTTGATGTCTATTTATCTCAAAAATTCTTTTCAAACTCACCAAATGATTTTCACTTCTTGGCTTGAAGGCTGAGATAAATTTCTTTGCTCTTTTCCAATTCTCGTGGCGCTCCGGCGCTGATGGGAGTTGATCGGACGAGTTGAAGTTGCCCACAGAGTTTTGCTTTTCGAATCTATAATTTCCCAACAAATATACGGTATACGATATTTTGCAAATTAACATAGATCCATTTTAGTTTGAACAAATTAGCAAAGATAATAGTTTTAGTGACTTCTCCATCCTAATCCATTTCTGTACTAATTTCAAGCAAGTCAAGTCCAAAGTCGAACAAGTTGGCTTAATTAAAGGAAATATCTAAATGCAGAAGTTCTTGCAACTCACCGCGTCTTTGATTTGTCCCTAAAGATCCAAACAGAATTATCGGATCGTCGCCGAGTTTCGCCGTGTGGAGAAGAGGTTTGCACGAGATTACTGTAGAGAACCTGGGCTAAAGTAAAATGTATTCTAATTTTCTTTTAAAAAATATCCAGGTTTTCTTACATAGTTTATGGTGTCTTTTCTGTGGTCTAGGCGATTTCATGACGTTCGTCGTGCCCAAATCGATGTTCACATAGTCGGGTAGAGAGCTGCTGCGAATATTGGCTAAAGTGAAATTTACTCAAGTCATGATTTGAACTGTAGTACTTTATCTCGTAACTTTATCTAATTTTCATATTATCTCAATTGTCAGTTTAGTATTCAATCTCCTCTACAGAAATCTACTTTTTCTTGCCAGTTCCATCGCTTCTTTATTAACAGAAAGAATGAATGTCAAAATAGCAAAACTTTTCAAATGCAAACTTGTGATCTTATCAAATTTTCCATGTTGTGAGATGTTTACTTTACCTGAAGGTTGATTCGTTTCATGCGAGACACCAGCCTCATCAATATTGCAATAATGAACAGAGCTCTCTCCATTCCCGCCAATGTAGATCCGACTTCGGAATGAGGAACCGCGACTGGAACATTAGCTTTGTAGAAAGTTTACCATAGTGTGCTTCGTGCTATGAAAACGCAACGCGTGCATTTACAGATTTTTATGCTGTGGCAAAGTAAAATATGAGTGTACTAGAAATAGTGTGAAACAAAGTATAACTGTGGCGCCGTAGGCGACGCCCGTGCTAGCCTGTGATGTGTGACCGGAAAGTGACCTGTGTCACACCGTGTTGTTTTTATGGGCTCACCGCAGGTGCTCTGGGAAACCACGTGATGCGCCATTCTTAGATCTGGGGGGACGTAAGCTACTAAGGGTTAGACTTGTTTCCAAACATTTTTAGAAAGTTTTAATTTTTTTGGAAAAAATTTTGCCTTGGGCTGGTACCCAAGGCAAAAAAATTTAAAAAGTTAAAAAATTTTCTTCGAATTTTCTTTGATTTAGGTTTATTTTGTTTTAACTCTCATTATTTCGAACTAGCCTGTAACCAGGTGACTTGTTAAACAAAAACACTTCCGAAAGGCTAAAGGCAGTGAGCTAAATTTATATTTTTGTCTGCTGCGGTGAAATGACTCAACTCATTGTCAGAAGTCTCTAAAAAAGATTAAAAAAAAGCAATGGAATTTTTCCCCGCTCGAAATTTTGAATTTCGAATTTGCAAAAGACCCAGCTCAACTTTTACTATTACCGTATTTACTCTATTAGTGGGGTCCCCCACTATTTTTTCAATCCCCTTCCAGACGACCCCACTATTAGAGAGGACCCCACTATTAGAGAAATTTAAAAGAACATAAAACCAAAGTTTTAAATTGAAAAGATATCAATTTTTCTCCGAAATTCTTGACAAAACAAGTTTGGCTTCATATTTTATTTAGCTTTAACCGTAACAAAACATTAGCAAACAGTAAAAGAACTAATCCAAGAGATCAACAATTGATGTATCACTTTCGTTACCAATATTAGAGAGGACCCCACTAATAGAGTAAATACGGTAGTTAGATTAACTGCTAATTTCCCTAGCTTTTTGAAAATGGCTTTGTTTGACAAGTACGACCTGCTATAATGCTGTCTTAATAATTGCTCAATTTATATTTCACCAACCTCTCACTGTTCCCTCCAATCTCAATCACATTAACGTAATTGTGAGAAGCCGAGCTCGTCGTCCTTTCCCGGCCCATATATGGAGATCCCAAACCTCCAGTATTGTAGTAATTAGCTACTAAATTTATATTCATATTATTCTATAGTATGCCAAGAAAATAAGAATAAGTTAAAGCTTAGCTAAAACCTAAAACTCACATGAAGTCGCCCGGTTTAAATTGGTCGGATTCACGCGTCGATCAACGAATAGTGAGCTGACGTGGTTACTGCAAAAATATTACGAAAATTGATTGAATATCTTAATTATTGGAATATTTTATGTTTGCATATCTTATATTTGAATGTTGAATATCTTTATTTTAATGCGAATGTTTAAAAATTAGATTCAAATTCATACCCGGATTTCGATTTCCCTTTGTCCAAATTCGAATCTCTTTTATAGATCATCGGTGAGTTCATGTAGCTCAAATAGCCGCGAATGTTTTCTGGAATAAAGTATGAGTTTACTTAACGTTGTAAATGGTAGACATAGTTTATCAAAGCCAAAACTTGGGACTTTTTCGAAAGGTTCCATCGAACCACATATTCAAAGTTTGGTAATATCAAAATTTTGGGTTTAGTTTTGCTAGCCCAAGTTTACTAGCCATTAAAAACTCGCCCGAAATGTAAATATACACTGAAAAATCTTTTTTATCCTTTTTTAACGTCAAAATTTCTTAGACATTGTAAAACTAGACATTGCAAAACTTTATCGAGAGGTGCAAAAAAAGTTGAAGTTCATGAAAGTAAAAGCGATTTTTCTGTTGCAAAATTTGCATTTCAAGGCAATTTCTCTAGATAAAAACTTTTACTATTGGAAATTGAATAAGAAATTTGTCTACAGCATTTGAGAATGAGCAAGAGAAAAAGTCTTTCTTGGTCCTCTTTGTAATAACTACCACATTGGCTCTCTTTTAGCTGCCAGTCGGGTCCTCGCTCGAAATATAATCTCCTTACAACTTAGCTAAGGATTTTTTGGATTCCATTATGATGATTTAAAAAGATTTAGTAAACTTTCAACTTAAACTATTGAAAAATTCAAACGTATCTTTTTTTCTTCACTATAATTATGACAGAAGAAGAAATATCGGTACTTTTGACTATTTTGCATGCCGCGCCAAATTTGCGTTTATAAAGGTTATCGGATATTTGGTACGCGCCCCGCCCCTTTTCCCATTGGCAATCTAACTTTGAGCTCGTATATCTTGGTCTTGGGCTGTCCAATTTAAATAGTTTTTGTACCAATCGACAGAGAAAGACCTGGGACATCCAATGATACCAAGAATCTTAAATTAGACAGCCCAACCCCAAGATCTTTAAGCTCAAAGTTAGATTGGGGCGTGGCGTGTATCAAATGTCCGATAGCCGTTTTCAAAAGAACCAAACCATTCAAATTATCCAAAAATTGATAAAAGTGGTTCTAATTTGAGCAAGATGTAACCCAAATAACCCAAATCTGCTTGCTAAGATATTGGGCAATAAAATTGGATTCAAACCCATTTTATGTGCTCACCAGATGGATTTGATCTTAGTGAATGGGCACGGGCGAAAGCGTGCGAGACTTCGGGCATCCAGTCACCATCGCTCACTTTTGAGCTCAAAAATGCATTAAGCTCGTCCTAAAACCAAGTACAAATTTTAGTTTTGGTACGGGTTTGTACTTTGTGCTCCTAAAAGAACAAACACACCCTTTCTGACAAACTCGTTTCTTGTTTTTCGCATGGTAAAGATTGAATGCATATGGAAAGTAAAGAATTAAGTATAGGATATGTTTACACTTTTTGAGCACAAAGAACAACAATTCGTTCACCTCATTCCTTTTTGCTTTCTCCAAAAGTGCATAAAATATGGGTAGCCTTGTGGAGGAAATTGTGTAACTGTCTTCCCTTGACTTGGAATCCTAAACAAAGAAAATTTTCTCGAAAAGACATTCTTTTACTTGAGAGGCAAACGTGAAACTGTTCGGCCTCATGTCAAAAATCTGAGCGTCCGCCGTGTTTATGTACTCCAAAATGATTTGCGGACGGCCGTGAACGAGAGCGAAGCAGGAGTCCTGGAAAGGCTTCGTAATAATACAAGTACACTGCACTTATTGTTAGGACAAAATCTGCAAATTTAGAATAATCTGGTAACTGATAGAGTTACGGTAGTTATCTCAGCTGTTCCATAAGCCAAAAAACCCAAATTTCGCTCTTTTCTTGACTTTTAATCGGTTATTTTTAGCTCCGGTCAAGTTAACATGCAAATTGATTTTAAAATATGACTTTATTGTTAAATGTTAGTATGCTTTACCATAGGTTTTATATTGTTTTGCGTAGATTTAAATTAATATGAACCGAATAGAGCCATTTATACGATTTTCTTCGTATCTTTACCAAACTAGAGACATTTAGGTGGAAATTTACAGTTATAATGTTGGAAAAATGGGGAAAGATGCAAAAATATCTAGGTACAGTTGCCTTAAGTCAAAATACGCAAATTTGGATAATCTGGTAATTAGATTTGAGATAAATTGTATCAAGTTCTTAAAATAGTTGTAAAGTGCTCTTTCAGAGTGCTCCCATTTTTTTTGGCTTTTGGCCGGCATTCTGGCCAAAAAAGTAAAAAAACTCTTGACTTATTCTGATTGCTCATTAAAAGGCTTAGATTTAGCTCTAAATTGTCCTTTTTGGACTAAAAGTTAGGTTTGGTTTGACAAGGCCTAGAAGTTAGGTCTTTGAATGTCCTGCTCCTTGTTATTACGAGTAAATCTACAGCTATTCTTTCCCAATTTGTCCATTCAAAAAAATTGAGTGGAGCTTTTATTCAATAAACTCAAACTCTTCTTGTTTCTAAATTTCTCGAAAATTTCCAATTCTCCTTTTTTTCCACCTCTCTGCCAATAACCGCTTTCCGATAAAATTCGAAAAGCCTTTTGTGGGCCTAGCAAAACCCTAGTCCCAACGCCTCATTGGCTCAGTGGCAGAGCGTCTGTCTAGTAAACAGAAGGTCGCTGGTTCGATTCCAGCATGAGGCACCGCAAATTTTTATCTTTTCAATTGAGAGCCTTCCTTTATGAAACTCTTTCTTCCCCTCGATCACATGACTCCTTGGCGCAATGGTAGCGCGTTCGACTCCAGATCGAAAGGTTGGGTGTTCGAGTCACTCAGGGGTCAAAAAATTTTGCATTTTTGAAAAAATTCAGATTTTTCTTTTGAAAAACTCACATGCAAATGAAGTCTAACTTCTTTTCGAAGCAAATGCTCAGCAATGGAATATTTCGGGACTCGTTGCAGTTGCACGTAAAATGTTTGACCTAAAGTTTTGGCTTTGATCAGAGGAAAGTTAAAAATTCCAATTTTCCGTGAACTTACTGTGCCCACAAGCATTTTTTAGCCATGTCTCCCAAATAATCAAATTCTCGGGTATGGAAAACGCCAAAACGATCACTTCGTCTTTCGTCAAAATCGCCAGCGTGTTCTGCTGCTTTTTAAGCTCAAAGCCTAAAGTTGACTGTAAGTTACAGTAAAGCTGTTTATTTTCGGTCTAATTGCCAACAGATATACAAGGGAAAAACAAGATTTGACCACTTCAACGGCTACTTTTTTAGGAACCTCTGAAAAGCAACCGTTGAAGTGATCAAATCTCGTTTTTCCGTGGTACACCTATTGACAATCAGATCGACGAATGAACAGGTCTAAGTTACAGTAATCTGTAAACCACAAACCACTTTCTAAGCCAATATAGTTTTGCAAAGCGAATGAGGCCTTGAATTGATGATGATTGTTGCGGGAAGCCTGATTTTTGTAAACCATGAAGATTGGAGCCATCAAATCGGCGTGTTTCTTGCAGAGGATGTAGCGAGGAGTCCACTGGAATTGGGGGTTTTAATCTTAACTTCTTTCTGAATTTATCAGCTTCAATACCGTAACCAGTTTCAGTCAATTAACCGATTTCCATAAAAAAAATTTGTATTTAAATCGACTTGACACAAGAACTTACTCGATCGCCTTTGAAAATTTTCACCGGCGACTCAATGGAATTCCCGTTTGAGTTGAGATCGACTCGATCTCGCATTCTAAGAGATTTACATAAATTAGTAGATTTCTAAAAGTTAGTGAAAGGGAAATGTTAATGAAATATATCGAAAGCAAAAGTTTTCACCAAGCGATAGCAATAAAAAAAAGCAAAAATTCTCGAATCACCTCGGGGTCACACACGAGCTCATCAAATGATCAGTTTCACATAGTAACGACGCCAGAATGACACAAATCCGCTAGGGGAATCTGTGGAAATGAAGAAGATTCTGGTGGAATCTTTTGTGGAATATTATTTTTATTAAAAGTAATTTGCCGTAATGTTTCGGAATATTAAACACTTTTCAAGCGTTTCTGTTGGCCGAATACCTTTAATATCACAATATCAAGATATTCAGCTGATAAAAAGAGAGGCAAGATGCATTCGATCTGAATATTGTTTCAAGTTAAAAAATGAAAATTTATAGTTTAAATGTATTTAACTCAAGAGAAAAAACTTCCGATCGATAAATTAGGATAAACTTTTAAAGTGAGTTTTCAGTTGTAAAGTTTTAAAAAAGCCAATATAAATAAAGAACCAATAACACTAAAAATGTGTTATTTAATGCACAAGATACCGGTTTTTACATATAATTAGGCGCTTTTTGGTAAGACAGTCAAAAGATCGGGGATACAATACGGTCGTATAGTTAGACTTTTTTGAATAACCGGAACCAAATTCAATCGAACTTAATGAGATAAACAAATGAATTGTGAAAAAACTGATGTCTATTCTTGACAAAAAGATGAAAAAAAGAAAATCGTGGAAAGAGTGTGAACCCAAATGACAATGAGGGAAAGGAGAAGGGAAAAAACCGTCTAAGGGGCGCCAATCTCACGGGTGAAACAAAAAAAATGGGGAAAGAACGGGGAGGAATGGATGTTTGTGATCGATAAGTGTTTTAGGGAAAAGATTGGGATACACACCCGTATGTGGATTGAAGAAGGGGGAGATTTTGTGTGGCGAAAATCAGGCTGACTCTTTTCTCTGTTGCACTTGCCGATTTCTCGCTCATTTTCTCTCGAAAAGGAAATGACTGAAATCCCTTTGGATCTCTTTTTACCTCTTTCTTCTTTTCCCCCTTTGCCGTTTCCAACTTGATTCGTATCGGTTATCTTTGTTTTCCGGGATTGACTCATTACCGGTTGTCGTTTTTTGAGCAAGTAGAAACCAATTGCTAGTTTTGAGAGTATTTGAGAGACTTATTTACGGCCAATTTGATGCAAATAGAAGTTTTATCATTGGAATCATAGATTTGGATTTGCTGATCACTTGAAAACTGGGTACTAGTCGGCTCTATCCCAAAAATTTTGATCTATGCTTCAAGCCGGCTATATTCCCACAAATTCGTGCATTTTGTAGGGATATAGCCGACTTGATGCATGGACAAAACCTTTGAAGCTGTAACTGATAAGTATCGAAAGCTGTTTAAAGTGTGCCATACTCCATAAGTGCTGTTACCAAAGCTCAGCTCAACCAATGCAACCGTACTGTACCAAAAAGTTCTTGGCTTAACACTAGTTTATGTGTATTTTAATCAAGACCTCCAGTCTTTTGCGCCTTATTTTACAAAATTCGGTTAACCAACCACAATTTACCCCGTTATTTGCACTTTTACTTCAAGCCAACAGGTTACTTGCACAAATTCGATAACGAGGCTAAAATGCGCAAGGATTCGAGTAAAATGAACCAAGATTTGTTCGAAACAAGTGGAAAGCAGCAGTTGAACTGGTTTAACTTGTATCTAAAACAATTTTCTATAGCACAAGTACAGACTACCGTAACACTAAATAACTCCGACTAATGCGAAGATATACAAATGCAGAGACGATGCGAAGGCAGCCTCGTTACGGAGCTTGGAATTACGGTAGTCGGAGAACGCCTACGTTAGGAGCGGATGCCAGAGCTGATTCCCGAAAAAAAATTACAAGTAAATTATTTAGGCATAATCGAATTGTAAACATTTATCTAAGTAATTTTTAGAAAGATGAAAAGAAAAATGATAGTAAAATGTTAATATATTCAAAATTTATCCGAACCAGCAAAATTTGTTTTCTTTTGCCCATGACGATCACATGTTTTTGTGGATTTTGCTCATCTCTGACTTTCTCGTTCTCTTGGATAACAAATACCAAAATTTGATAAAGGATACTCACCGGAAATGAGTTTTTATCATCATTGAGCATTGACAAGTGTCAATAGGGGAAAAAGATTGGGAAAAGGGATTTGCCTCTCACTTTTGCTCCAATCAAACGAAACTCACAAACAGCGCAATGGCAAATGGCAATGAGTTTGAATACTCAGTTCCGCTCGACATTCATCATCGAAGTGGGAAAAGGAAAAGGAAAGGAAAAGTATACACGTGATAAACTAAGAAAAACTTAAACGGGTTAAAAATATTGATGAATCTTCAAGTCTAATGAAAGGCTATTTTGGGGATAATTTGCCAACTTTAAGTTTACAAAATGAATACCAATAAAATAGAGGTTAAATTTGATTTGCAGATACATATTTTTCAGAGCTCATAAATTTTTGATTTGATCAACTTATGCAAAAGTCAATGCATGTTCATGCATTTAAAAACGAAACAACTTAAAACAATTGGATTTCTGACTCTACCAGAGATTTTTTCAGAGATCGACTCTGACATAGAGAAAGATTGAATTCAAAAAATTCGCTCATTTGTATTTGCATGAATTGCCGCCTCATCAAAATTCATGTACTGCCTTTAAAACAGTACTAAAACAAAAGCTAGAGTCATTTTCAGCCATGAATTTTGTCAGTATCGTCTCACTTTTTGCAATAACCACTCTAATCGAAACCAGTGTGATCAATTTGGGATGTGTAAGACCCTTGAAAAGTTTCCCATGTGCACTTATAAGTTACTGTATTTTAAGTCACTTTTCCACCGATCGACCTCGACGACCACTTCGGCGAACATTTGCGTTTGCATTTGCGATGGTAGAGGTTCTTGTTCCTTCTTCAATCCAAGAGCTAACCGATCCCAACGTTGCTTAACTTGGCAGATCGGTCTTCAACCGTTTTCTTGCAGGCATTGGCGTGGAATTTGAATTTCCTTTTTGAATCGAAGCGTTGACCACATCTGCTGGAGATGAGAACCATCTTGGCGATGTGTTTGCTAAGATGCATTTAAAGGCTTTTCGCTGACGCTGACGAGTTCATCAACAAAGGCAAAGGTGACACGTCAATTCAGCGACTTCTCCATCTTCCGTCTCTACCAGGTAGTCGCTGAAGAGAAGTGGCAGCTCATCTTCTTCGAACGACCTCTGCAGATGTTCCTCAACGAGCTTCTTGGTGGCGAACTTCTTGCGGCATTTGCGGCAACGGAACGTGAATTCGCGTCTCCAGTCGTGTTTCTGTCCGAGATGTTTCTTGAGGTCTCCATGCCTCACGTATGGACCATCACATCATTTGCACTTGAGTCGGTCGACGAATGGCACATCCAACACGATCTCATCGGCATCAACGTCTTTTTCCACCTCTTATGCTGGCCCATCTTCTTCTTCTTGGAGGCGGTTTACTGGCATTTCTTCTTGGATTGAGATCCGACTTCTTCTTGATGGCATTTCTTCGGGAGGCGATTTCTTCCCCGTCAGAGGTGGAGGAGGATTCTTGGAGAAGGCTCGGGTCGATCTTCTTGAAGTGGAGGCGATCCCAACTGGCGACCCCGGTTTCAGACTTTTTTCGATTTTGCCTGACATTATTTTTTCCAAAATTTTTTTTACTATCTATTGGAAAAAAAACCCCTGTGATTCCACGGCACTGATTCACGGAAAGTGAATCAAAAATGAGTCGAACTGAATTGATCACAAAATGAAACGAACAACTTGAAAGCTTTCCCACTTTCACCAAATTTGCTCATTTGTATTCGCATGAATTGCCGCCTCATCAAAATTCATGTACTGACTTTAAAACAGTACTAAAACAAAAGCTAGAGTCATTTTCAGCCATGAATTTTGTCAGTATCGTCTCACTTTTTGCAATAATTACTCTAATCGAAACCAGTGTGGTCAATTTGGGATGTGTAAGACCTTTGAAAAATTTCTCTTGTAAGGTACAGTATTTTAATTGACTTTTACACTCAAAAGTTAACTTTTTCGTTTAGTAGTCTGTAAAATATTAAAAAAAATATGTACAATTTTATTCAATGTAGATGAATGAATGTGTCAATGGGTTTTTTCCATGGAAATTGACGGATTATGGTTGTTGGTGTGGACTTGGTGGAGCCGGCTCGCCAATCAATGAGCTCGATGAGTTGGTGCTTGAAGTTTTTGGGCATGTGTACCAGAACCAAGCAAACCTAAATGCAATAAAACACACAATTTCTGGCACCCCCATTGTTGGACAGTTATTTTGGAGGAAATGAAAGAGCTGACTAGGGAAAGGCACGAACCTCCCGCGAGCTTTCTTTTCCAGATACCACATACATCTTACTAAATCGAGTATGGAGGTTCCTACGCACTTTAAAGCTTACCTTATCACTTTAAAATTCAATTCTTGCACGTTTGCAAGCTTATTTGGCAGATTTTGATTTCAGATCATGAATCTACATATTTGATTTAGTAAGATGTCCGGAAACGTGTGGTCCGGAAACGAAGGCTCACAGTTCATGCCTTTCTTTAGTGAATATGCCAGAAAGGGTGCGTTTCTGTTGTTGAGTACAAAGTACGTTTAAATCACAATTTTCATCTGACTGCTACTTGCCAAATTGTGTTTTTTATTTGTTTTAAGCTCCAAGGAACCTTAGTTACGATCAAGCTTTAGATGTTGCGAAGTGCACGACAAGTGCTATGACGAAGCTGGGGGAATTGAGGTAAAGAAAATTACAGCTGAATTAAAGATTCTCATCTTTCAGGATTGCCTAAGTCTGAAACATTACGCTTTTGGTTATGATTGGACATGTGATAACAAAGAGGCACAATGCGGTGGTGAGCTTTGGCAGTCAACTATGCAACAACACTTTGAAAAAGTTAAGTCCTAAATTCAGCTAGCAATGCTCCCTGCCAGGCTGCACTCTGTAGATGTGACAAAGCGGTGGTGGATTGCTGGAAAATGTACATCGGTGAAATGGACGACGGCAAGAATCACCAGTGAGTTTGAATTTAAAATTTACTATATCTTTCTGTCATCTTATAATCGTGCAGATGCTCAACGAGGCGACTCATGAAATCGTTAAAAGAAACGCGACAAGAGAAGGGACTCATTTGTGGAGCTTTACAAAGCAGATGAAGCTATGAAAATGAATGAACTGAGAGAATAAAACGAACAGCTTGAAAGCTTTTCCACTTTCAATTTTCACATTCATTCGTGCATCCCCTTTACGGGGACGCGTTCCAAAATTTTTCAAGACACTTTTACAAGGTCTGGGGGTTATTGCTAACCTCAAACCTGGGTAATTAAACCGAAGTGGGAGATCTCTGTCGCGCTATGTGTAGAGGTCGTAGGCCAGTAGCCGCTTTTTCCTACGGGACACACAAAAGGTGCACACAGTCGCGTCGTCTCGTCTCTTCGGTGATAAAGGATCGCTTTCTCTTTCTTTCTTTCTTTCGTTCTTTCTTTTCAACTATTTCAACCGTCTTTCACCGCCCAGCACTCGCTTACGATCATACCACGTTGAAAACACGGCATCCCGTCCGATCTGCCAAGTTAAGCAAGTCGTTGACCAGGTCCCATCTACCGAGCGGTCCGACCATGAGCGCATCCAGGAAGACGCCAAAGCCACGCGCGGAAAAGTCGACGGGGTAGTACACGGATCTTCTTATTGTTGAAGCGGAGGCGACTCCAACTGTTGAACTCGGTTTCAAATCATTGCTTTTCTCTGTTGTGCCCGACATTAAATGGGTTTGCCTTGGAGAGAAACTCGTAACAATTTCACCAATTTAAGCCGATAAGAATAGAAATATGAAAACTATTTTATAATATGAAATATGAAAACTATTTTATAATATGAAATATGAAAACTATTTTATAATATGAAATATGAAAATCATTTTAGATGTAAATTTGAATTTTATTTGACAACCCAGATTAACTTTCCTAACCATGAGCAGACAATTACCATGCCAAGGACAACCAAAAGTCGGTTTGCATCTGCTGGTAATTAATTAATGACAATTGGCTGTCTGCTATGGCACAAGTGGCTCAGTCTGCTCATTCAATTCAAATCAACAATATTATTTTTTGTCAAAGCTCTCTATTTTTGTTTTATCAAATCAATTTTCAAATTAGACTTCAAATTAGATATTCAAATTGCAACTTTTTAGATACTTTTTCTTGCATCAGTTTTCACTGATCTTTTCTGCCTTCGTATTATTTAGGTGTTTATCTTTTACTTGGTTAAATGCAAACTTCATTGCCTAATGAGCTGCTACCTTCCCCTTATCGTTCGCAATTTTTCCTTTTGCAGGTTGAATGGATTCGATCACCTGTTCGACATGTTTGGATGAGGTCTCGATCGGGATGAAAATGGTCACGAATTGCTCACATCAATTTCACAAGGATTGCGCAGAGGCATGGCTCATGGTTGGTTTTGAGGAGAAAATTAATAAAAACAATCAAAAACGAGACAACCAACAAAGCAACTATTTTTTTTTATTTTCAGCAAAGTCTCACGTGTTCCTATTGTCGTCAGCTCGTCGATTGGGTGGATTTGTTACAAAAAGAAGGTGAAGCGCCCGTTTGGACACTTCTTCAACGAATCACATTGGAGGAAAGGGTTCGTAGCTTTTTGGTGTGCTCTGGGCTGTGAGAAACGAAAGAAAAAGTCCTCTGGTGCACTGAATATTGCAACAACCTTAGTTGCTGTGAGAAAATAAAAGACTCAAGTGCGCCAAAAAGAGTGACTTTCGATTTGAGCTCAAAGTACACAAAGAGTAAAGGATAAAATTTCAAAGGTCTTGCAATTTTAGCTTTCCGTTAAATAAGTTAGGTCTTGCAATTTTAGGGTTTTGAAATGGAGGAAGAAGACAGCGATTACACACAGGATGACTCGGAAGAGGATGAAGGAGATGGTTGGTTGGAGTAATATTGGTAAAGAAAGTAAGGCACAAGGCTCTACCCTGGCGGCAATGGGCTACGTGTCGGTGTAGCTCATTGGTAAAGAGTTCGCCTGGTAAGCGAGAGGTCGCGGGCTCAAATCTTTGTATTTCTTTGTATTTGTAATGCCTTGTATTTCCAGCCCCAACCCATAAAAGGACCGGCGTGTCCAACTAGAAACCAACTTAAACTAACCAACAAAGCTTACAAGTTTGAGTTGGGAGAGATTTGAGATTTGAGTTGAAGGTTTCAAGTTTTGAGAACTCTTCATTTCTAGCATTCAAACCCATTTTCAGTCGTCTGTGCTCGTTGCTCGGAAGTTCTCGATTTGGATACGCCGGGTCCGGTGACGGCCACCTATTGTGATGGATCGAATGGATGGTTCGTTTAGCAAAATGTTAAAAGACTCAGTAGAAACATCGAACAAAATTTGCATTTTATCAGCACACAGTTTGGTGTCCAAGCTTTCTAGCGACAGTACTCATTGCGGTTTCCAAGATTTTTAGTATCAAATTTTTGTTTCTGAAATAATTGTCAGCTTTCAGCTTGGCTCACATTCACATCGCTTGCATGACGGACGATGAGGCGACGGTGTGGGGATACGAGTCGACATGGCATTGCGATTATTGCACCGAGATCAGGCGACAGGATGCCGAAACGTCGCAGTATGAGACCGCTCAGCAAGCTTCACATCACATGCAAAGTTTGTGCACAGAATAAAATAAGCTTCCTAATGGGGAAGATTCAGAAAAACAAAGACGTTAGACTTAAGGTAGATAAGAGGCAATAACATAAGTAAAACAAAAACTAGCATAATTTGGCAGATACTGTCTATCGGGGTGAAGGGTTTGAATCCGGTATTAGCTTTTCAAAACTGTACGACCGTACCTAATATCGTAATTTGATCCATGAACTCTCCGGGTATCTACAAATTCCCAGTTTATAACGTGGAAAACCTTTTAACACTTTAGTTCCATTCGGTCCACTAACCGTGCGCTGCCTGAAATGCAATGAAATGATCGATGTGGCTGCTGAGGTGCCCATGACTGCTACTCATTGTGAAGAATTCGATGATTGGTTGGAAAGTCTTTTGAAACCAGATAAAATACTCAATTCAGCAAAACTTTCTGCCACATCAAGTGTATGTCGGAGTCGGAAAAAGACCGGTGGAGGGAGGAGTGCAAATGGGATTGCGAAGACTGCGCGAACAATGTTGACGAGGACCTTTCATGGGTTGAGCACGTGAATAGTAGTGGGGCTTTAAAGCTAGTATGAAATGTAAACTTTAAATCAGAAAAGCTTGCTTTGATATTTTCAGCGCTGATCACGAAATGCTACAGATGTCGGAATCGATTCGACAACGAGGGTGAAGATTTCACGACGGCGGTTCGCTGTGGACAATCTGATCTAAATGATTGGTGGGGGTTTTGAAAAAGCTAATACTGTTTATCGGTCTTAGTTAGAAAATGGATTACGGTAGCAAAGACAAAAAACAATAACAAATACGATATAAAAGAATTCGACCAAAGCTGCAACGGGAGACAAATTGAACATAAATACTTTCTAACAAAGCTTACATAGATGTTTGTTTCTCAGATTACTGTAGCTTAGTTGTTGGTTGTCTCAGAGGCATTGTGGGCATTCAAAGTACGATACTTTAGTTGCTATTTAGGAAATGAGAGCTCGGAAATACGGTGGCTTGATTGCACAAACTCATTTCCTAATACCAACCCAGCTACCGTACTTTCAAATGTTCAAAATACTCCTGCTCCAACTAACAATCAAGCTACAGTAATCTACAGTAACCCTTTCGAAAAAGCTCATTTCAGTGGCATCTACGTTCACGTGGCTTGCATGAGCGACCAAGAGAGAACTCGTTGGAATGAGGACAATCACTGGTTGTGCAATGATTGTCATGTGATGAATGAATTCGTGAATTTGTGAGTGCTGAGGAATTGTTGATCTTATTCTTATTTAATCTCTAAACCTTGAAAATCTATTTAAAGTTGAAATTTTTCCTGTTTACGCTAAATTTCAAAATTATTATCTTAAAATTAGCATATCATTTTGAAACGGGTAAATATGCAAATTTATGTGATCTTCTTCTGATTTCCATAGACATTTATTATTGTACTTACAATTCAAAAAGTTGTTGTGATATTTGATTTTCTAGAATAAACCAGTGATTTCATTATTTGAGATGTATCTATATCAATTTTTGGATAAATATCATCTAAACAAGTATCAGAACAGATTGCAAAAAGTTTATTCTTCACAAAAAACTAAGAATTTGTTTCCTAAGCATTCACCAAGCGATCGATTGTCACAAATTTCCTTTCATTGCTTTTCAAACTTTGAAAATATCGAAGCGCTTCAAAGGCTTTCGATTAAATGCAAATTCCATCTTAAATCAAAGCAAGGAATTGTCTCGGAGGTATGGTAGTTTATAGGAAGATTAAGTAATATTAACGGGTTTTCCTGATCCTTGTTAAAAGCTAAAATTGAAGTAGTTTTCAGCTTCTTTTGGCGGTACTTTTTTGATCACCAGCAAAACACAAGGCTTGGCACGCTTTGCGTTTCCTCGGACAGGCAAATGTTTGTGAAGTTGGCCTTCACATACAGACAGACATCCTTGCCAACTTGATGATATCCTGTTGAGACCACAAGGAATTCGCTGCCATGTCGTCCAACATCGGCACGGCCACGGCACAAACGAGAGGCTTTCTCTTTGTGAGTGGATGTTTGTCGTAAGATGTTTCCAGCCATTGGGTTACAAGTCTCGCATCTTTTATTGGCCCGATGTTTGATCTTCCTTTGATCTCCCGAAGGGTCCGACAATATTCGGATGTGTCATTTTCTCCAAAACTTTCAACTCGTTTTTGAAGATTTCTTCGAATCCCTCACCAGAGTGCATGTACTTCACGACGGCTGGGCTGAACACGGGGTTTTAGATCGAGAAAAACAAAGATTTAAAGAATAGCGAAACTTTCTGCAGGATTAGCCAAGCCAAGTTGAATCACATTCTTCTACATTAGTACCAAGCCTAGCTTAGAATCAGGACCACGTCAGAACCAGCCCTCGGCGGGCAGCCCAGATTAGTGGCACATTTTTGTTTTAGCTCACTAGCCAGGCAAGGCCAGAAGTCAAGCCAGGACCTGGCTTGTCTTGGCCTGTTAACTCTTTTCCAAATCAACAGCAACATTTTTTTATAAACAAGCCACGGCTTTTCCTAGCGTAACATTGCATTCACACTTTGCTTCCACAAATTAGTTGATTGCCTTCAATTCCATCGTTTTATTCTGTTTCTACTTAATAAGTTTTGAATTATTCAAAGTCCTATTCATCAAGATTTTCTGCTCTAAAAATTTCTTTTTGCAAAATTGCTAAATGAACTTCGGCAGTCGATTCTTTAAAATGATTAGTGGAACAACCACAACACTTGTGGAATTTGTTAAGACAACGACTCCGACTGGAATGAGGTGTGTGAAAAATGAAAGCAAGATGCAGCTCTAAAAGCCCTAAATCTTAACTTTTAATTGATACCCCAATAGCCCTAATATTAAATTGGCAACTTGAAAGTTGGTATACTTATTCATTAACTAGTGCAATAAAAATAACTAGAAATAACTAGTGCAATAAAAAGGTCTATTTATTCTCTAAAACAGGCCTTTAACAGATTTAGAAGGGTTTCGGTTTTGTAGGTTTCTAGGGGGATGAAGTTGGGAAACCAAAAATGATGAACACTCGATGAACAAAAAAAAAAAATTGGGTAAATGACCAAATTTTCAGCTAGATCTTATCAATAATTTTTGTTATACAGTGCGTTGCAAAATGATAGGACCACCCTCGATTTTTGCGATTTTTGATTTTAAATAACTAAAAATGCAAAACGATGCTTAAATTGTTCTACATATAGTAAGAGCCATTTAAAGGCAAAATTTTCAAGAATTTCTTTATTTTACACCTGTTGCAAAATGATAGGACCACTACGTTTCTTTTTGATTTTCTACCTTTAATAACCATGTTTTTTGTTTACTTTTTGCTTTTTTATTGGAAGATGGGGCGTGGAATATCGCTTTCGCCGATCGAACAGATGAAAATTTTGATTTTGAAAGGAAGAAAGTGGTCGAATCGGAAGAGCGCAAAAAATGAAGCGCTCGCACCAAGTTGTCTCAAATTTCTTGAAGGATCCTTTCAAGTATGGCAAGAAAAAGTCTCCGGGACGTCATCGAAAGCTCACGGTCAGCGCTGAACGGCATACGTCTGTTGTCGAATTCGGTGATGTCGCCACAGGGTCGTCAAGGTACAAATTGGAGCATCAAAAACACTCTTTCTCGAGCAGTCATGAAGAAAGCACCAAAACTGAAGCCGACACACAAAGAAAAAAAGGATGTCTTCGGCTCGGGATCACATTACCATCGATTGGAAAAAGTAAACTTTTTGCCTTGAGTTGTTAACTATTTTTTTCTTTGTAGGTCATCTTCAGCGATGAGAAAAAATTTAATTTGGATGATCCCGACGGCAACAAGTACTATTGGCACGATTTGAGAAAAGATTCAATGCTTTGTGGGCGTCGAAACTTTGGAGGAGGATCACTGATGATATGGGACGCTTTCAATGTGGATGACGTTCTTGATTTAGAATTTTGTGCCTTGTCGCATGAACTCGAGCGATTACCAGGATGTCCTTGCGGATCAACTACTTCCTTTCCTAGCACAAAATCGAGGGAAACACTATATTTTTCAACAGGATAATGCTTCAATTCATGTCAGCCAATCCACTAAAGCTTTTCCGGAACGTCACAACATCGATTTTCTCGAATGGCCTGCCTGCTCACCAGACTTAAACCCAATGGAAAACTTATGGGGCATCCTCGTGAGGAATATTTATGCTAATGGAAAGACTTACGACACGATTTCGCAACTCAAAAAAGCAATTTTGCAAGCTTGGATGTCAATTCCACCACAAACGCTTCAAAACTTAGTGAACTCGATGAAAAGTCGACTACTCGACGTCATCGAGAAAAAGGGAGCACCTATTGATTATTAATGAACTTTTCATTCATTTTTCTTTTGTTTATTCTCAAACTTATTGTTGTTTTTCATGTGGTCCTATCATTTTGCAACAGGTGTTAAATAAAGAAATTGTTATAATTTTGTTGCAATCTGTTCAGATAATGTTAAAAATGGTATAGATGCCTATATTTGTATATATTTCTAGGATTTAAAAGCTATTTCGGGTTATTAAATTTCATAGCCAAAAATGTGAAATTTAGGGGTGGTCCTATCATTTTGCAACGCACCTTAGTTCCATTTGAAGAATTTTCAGAAAAACTTGAATTTTTGCTCAAATTCCTTTCAAAAGCAACCCCAAATTTGCTTAAGTATGTCTGAAATTAAATAATGTATAACTTTTATGTAGAGAAGTCGAATTCAATTGGCATATTAAATTTTTTATGTAAAATACGAAAAAGTGTACCAGCTTTCAAGTTGCCAAGCTAATAGTAAGACTTATTATTAGCTTTAAAAAGTTTGACTAATGCTTTTACGCATTATATTTTAAGCTTAAAAAATGTACTCCTTGGGATAAACTGATGGCCATAAATCACAAAATAATGCCCTGTAACGTTTAGGTGGAAATCGCATCTCTGTTTTTTACTATGTTGAATGGCAAACCATGTTTAAATTAAATATTTGCAATAATGCAACCAAGTCTTGTATACTCTTTTCTGGATTTGGTTCTTTCCAGGGATTTTTGGATCAGCTAGGTTTTACTGATTCCCGGAAAACCATCAGGCATCGCCTCCTGGCTCAGTGGCAGCCCGTCTGTCTAGTAAACAGAGGGTCGCTGGTTCGATTCCAGCATGGGGCACTCGAAATCTTTTGTTCTTTACGAATTCTATTTTTTTGTTTGTTTATTTTTTGCATCTAAAGCAAATTCGAATTGAATTCATTTATTAGCTCAAATGCGGTCGCATCAATTTCACGGCAACGAGTTTCTTGGCACGATTGTAGAATTTGAAAGTGATCAGCTCGACGGCGAACGCGAATGGACAAGCCACCCAGCCAATCAGAAGGATCACGAAAATACCCATACAGTTTTTAAAGCCTAAATGGGAAAAGTTAGTAAAATATCGCAAAAAGTACCGAAAGAATGTTAAAAAGTCCAGTTATTAGTTGTTTTTGGTTGGCTTTTTGTCATTTCACTCACCCAATGGTTGATACTCGTTAACTCCGAGTTTCTCCTCGCAATTCGTCGGTTTATAGATCCGAAACCCGGAATCGAAATATTTCATGTAAGTGCGCAAAATAAAAGATTGTTGCATAATGATTTGTCTAAAAAATTTCAGCATTGCTTTTTCTGAATCTTCAAACTTATTAAAGCCGTTCACGAAAGAAGAATTTGGTTGGAAGAGGAAGTGCGCCGTTTTCTGTGGCAAACCTGAAAATGAGAAATAAAAGTATTAGGCTGTCCAGAAAGTCTTTTCGTTTCTTTTCGTACTTCCGTTTAAAACCAACAAATGCACCAATCGAACTACGAAAAATCATTAAAAGGGCAATTATTCTTCTGTAAAATCACCTTAAACGGGTTTAAAATTTCTTATGTCTGGATTTTTTTGGGAGCGTGAAGTCGGGTAGTCAAAAAGGGCGACGGCCCGGTGATGCGTTTTAGACACTTTAGCCAACAAAAGCCATCTTGGTGCCAATAGATAAAAGATAGAGCACAAAAAGTTAGGTATATAGCTAAATTTTCGGAGAAATTGATTCAGCCAATTTCTTCGTAGAGGTTTACTAAAAACACCTTGTCACTGTCGATTTACTTGAAAGTGAACCCAAATTGACTGAAAAAGATGGGAAATTAAACAATGAACATTTTTTATTTAAAGCAAACTATAGGTTAATTGATGAATTTGTTATTTTACAATGGAAGTATGAAAAGGAACGAAAAGACTTTCTGGACAACCTAATCCTAATATGTAGATATGTCTGAAATGTGTTTTACCTTCAGTGATCGTTATGATATTGCAATGAGTGCCCAATTCCAGCGTGGCATAGGAATCGATTTGGTTGAACATCACGTACTTGCCTCAAATGGAGCAAAGCTATTGTTGACCAGAGATTTCTTGAAAGACTAGTTAAATCAGAAGCTAGCTCTTCTGGCTTCCAACCTGCACCTAGGTCAGTTAGATTTTTCCTGGCTGACCAGAAAAGATGTTCCAAACAGAAATCAAGTCAAGGCCAGACTTCACTCCCTCATTTTAGCGTTAGACCAAGACCACATTTTTGTAGAATTAGGCTAACAAGTAGCTTGGAGTTGGCCCACGGGCCAGCCAGGTCAGCCCAGATTGAGCCAGAGCCAGATTCGGTTAATAAGTTTAATAAACCTATGATCTTTGCCAACTAACCCTACAACAGGCTTGACCGAGCCAGTATCTTAAATCCTTGCCTAAATTATATCTCCTTTTTATTCGATAGCTGAATCTGCTTGCTTGACTAGAGTGCCATAGCTTCACCAACCCCGATCCAATTTGTCCAAAGCTTTCATGCTGTCATTGACGATGAAATATGGGTGTTTTACCAGCGCCGAACGCAAATCTTTGAAGAGTGGCGATACCGAAATATCGTCATAGATCCTGGAATGGAAGTTTTAAAGTGACGGCTTCACAAAATACCAATTTCCATTCAAAATCTTGAGTAGCTCGTAGTTTCCGTCTTTTACCAAAGCCACCATTTCTTCAAGGTTCTGAAATTAGTGGTGTAAAATTTAAAGTTTCTGGCTGAATAACGAACCCAAATACAGTATACAACATTCCAAATTGTATCTAAAACTTACATTAAACGGTTTTGAAGCGGTGTCTTGCAGAAGCGCGGAGATCAAGTAACTCTGGTAAAGTCCAAGGAAAAGTACCAAGTGACAAATGCCGAACATTGTCAACATTAAACGACCTAAACATGAGACGTAATTGTGGTTTAAAAGTGAAAACGCACACTTTCTGGAGCACTGTATTTCTCAATGTACAGTACACTTAACAGTCTGCTTTATGAAGGACAAGTGGGCAAGAAAATTTCTAACTTCAAACCTGAATTTGTGTAAAAGTTGCACTTGTCCTGGAATTGATTCAGCTGAAAGGCGAGCACACTCCAAACCGTCTAAAAACTCATCAACATAGGATAAAATGAAGCTAAAAACTATTATCAGTTACGAAATTTCGGTACTGGACTGTTCATCCTCGAAATAAGCAAACTAATCGAGTCTTTCTAGGCTATAAATAAATATAATCTCTAAATGGTTTTCAAATTGCGCAGAGTTACATTGATTCAATACTTGTAGGTAAAACCAATCACAAACCAATCTCTCACCTCCCACAAGCCTTCCTTTTCATCGAAAAGTTGATTCTCCGCTTTTCGCACAATCACAAAGCATACAATTTGAATGACCATCGATGCCAGAAAAATACCCCAAACTGTGTTATCAAAACTGAATTTGAAATCTTATCTTGATCTAGTGTTTATTGATTCAATATTCTCCAATTAACGTACGGTTTCATTGCATCCCAAATTGAGGCCTCGGCTGCTTTGTCAGCCTCTTGCACGTTGATCACTTCTTGGACCTGAATTTTAAAGATTAACAAACCAAAGAGTTATAGTATAGAATATACAGCGCGTTTCATAACTCTTTGGACACCCCTAAAAACGAAGGTTTAGAGAGTTGGGGAACAACCACTCGGTTAATTTTTTTGCATTGAAAAGAGCATGTTTCAAAACCCTAAAAAATCCCTTTCTAGAAATTACTATAGTTAGACGAAAATTTTCTAAAGGGTTTGTCTAAAAAAGGGCCGTTTCAAATTTCTTTGGACAGATTAGTAAATCAATTTTCTTTTTATTTTTTCATTAATTTGTTAATGTTTTTACATTGTTTCTTTATTAAATATTATTTTACTTTTACTTTTAGTTAATGTGTCGTTGGAAACCACTTTCTGCATACGTGAAAGGCCAAATTGAAGCCCGACATGCAAACGGTGAATCCAATCAAGGAAATCGCCATTTTTTTCAAGCGTGCACCGATCTCTGCTCACAGCTGCTTGAAAAACAATGGCAATTCAATTCCTGGAAGTCGTCGAGGACCTTACGCTTACGCCTAAAGCTTACGCCACGAGCGAGCAACAATTTCTCAACAATATTCACGGGAAGTCGATCAATGAAATGAAAGCCGAGCTGAAAATCAATGCTTCAAAGACAACCATTTGGCGAGCTGTCAAAGCAAACTCGCATATCAACTGGGAGAAACTAAAAAACAACCTGCTTTGAAACCTGGGCACAAAAAGCCTGTTTGGACTTCGCAAAGAATCACATGAACTACCACTGGTACCAGGTTGAGCTGGGGTTTTTATAATTAAGTTTTCCTGTGTTTAGGTAGTCTGCAGCGACGAAAAAAGTTTTCGCCTTGATGGTGTAATGCATTATTGGAGAGATCTGCTCAAAGAGCCAAAGTATTTTGGCACTGCAACTATAGGGGAGGTAGCGTTATGGTTTGGGTCGATTTGTCTTCCCAGGGTGTAGTCAGTTTGAAGTTCTTGTCAAATCGGATGAACAGCCTAGGTTACATCAATGTTCTGGATGATTGTCTCGTGCCTTTTCTTGCTCAAAATCCAACCGTAACAAATTTTCAACAGGATAATGCGTCCATTCACAAGAGCCAACTCACGAAATCCGGGGTGTTGTCGCAAGGAATCAATGTCCTGGACTGACCGTCGCAATCGCCCGACCTCAGTCCGCTCGAAAACTTGTGGGGAATACTTGTTTGGAAAACATTACAAGGAATTTCGTCAATTTACCACGGTCCGGGAACTCAAAACAGCAATCCGAATAGCCTGAAACAACCTTGGCCCGGTGGTCCTGCAAAATCTAACTGGAAGTACGAATGCCAGAATTTTTCAAAAATTATTTAGAAAATTTTTGTCGAACTACAGTAGTTTCCCGAAAGGTGTTTTTAGGGTTTTGAAACGTGCTCTTTTCAATGAAAAAATAACCAAGGAGCTGTTCCCCATCTCTCTAAACATTCATTTTTGGGGTGGCCAAAGAATTATGAAACGCACTGTACTATCTAACTTTGGAAACTTAACAGAGCAGGACAATGTGTGGGTTGCCCCGCACGCCCTGGGGGCTGGGTGTGGCGTTGGTTATGCTGCACTTGTTTCTATTTCCCCAAACCAACCGATGTCACCGGATACGAGTACTCGAACCATTGCGCCCGAACGGCCGTTTGTTGATAGAGAAGACTGATCACGTCGACTTGATTGTTTTGTAGGTATGAGAGAGCTCCATACCAAGTCGTGTTGTTGACCTAAACTTTGACTCATAGAGCCTCCAAGGATTATGCTAGGCTTTTGATAAGCCCAACCAATGATGAATAACAAGTATAGTAAACTGATAAATTTTCGTTTTTTTGCATTCACTAACCAAGGTGCCCCAATTGACCTCGCCGGCACCGGCATCCATAAACACCGGCTCGATGATGAGTTGAAGGGCTTGGGTAATGGAGTGAATGATCTAAAATAGAAATAGCCTCAAAATTAAAAAGAGTTCACAATGCTAACTTTGGTTCTGTATCAATTTAGCTTGACAAGATTTCAGGCTTGAAACTAATAATAAACTGTTTGTATCATTCTTGTTATTTTCAATTATTCCATCTAACTATAAGCAATTTTAAGTTATAAAAGCTGTAAGTTTGAAGTTTTTCAAATCTTTCTCACTTCCAAAGTCCAGCCAGGGAAAAGACATTCGATGCTTGGGGTGAAGGTCGGAAAATCCTTGCAATTATCGAAATTATCCGGTGGATTTCGGGGGAAAAGTACGCGAATCTTTCTGGGCATTGGATCCATTTGTTGAGTTTTCTAGTGCTGTTCAAATTAATAATGCAGGTGTAATTGTTGGAGCAAAAGGGAATTCTTCAGAAAGGCCAAGAGAAACGTTTTTCTTCGCTGAATAAATCAGCCAGGAGAGCTCAAATTGAATGTAGCTACGGAAAAGTATTGCGAAGAAGAGAAAAAAGAGAGGGAATTTGTAATGTTTTTTTGAAAAATTTCCTATTGACTTTAAAACTTTTGTAGCCCGTTAATTCAGTGAGAAAAATCATTCCGTTTACATCGAAAATTTTCCCATTACCGCCGTTCGGCGTTTTTTTGGAAAAAAATTGTTACCAAAAATTGGATTTTCATATTTTCTCATACCAAAATTGCCTTTTCCTACTTTGTAATTATCGCGAGAAAATCGAGTTCAATCGGAGCTTTTTCATCAATTTTTTTGCGGAAAACCTTGTGACCTAACAAAGTATTATCAATCTTTTAAAACTTTTCACTTTTCAAAACTTGCTGGAAGAGTACTTTGAGCCCAATGTCAGATTGTTTGAGTCCCAGATTTAAATTCAAGTAAAGATTCAAAAATCTAAAAAAAAGCTTTATCAAAACATTTTTACTTGAGTCAAGAAAAACCTGCCGCTTATCAGAGCACCGTATTTTTGGAGGAATGTGAGAAAACAAAAAAAATTGAATCTATTGGAAATAGTTTGGTATTTCGATATGTTCCGGTTTCAAATTCGAGACAAATCGCACGATTTCCGGGCTTTTCATCCAGAAGAAAGCGACAAAAACGAGGAAAATAAAGAGAAAGGCGAAAAACCAAAATGTGTCCACAGCGAGCGCCGAGTAACGACAACAACGAGAGGTCCGTCTGAAAGGTGAATTGGATTTGTTTTGGATTGGACTTAAAAAGTTTACCACCTAGAGTCACTTTAGCTTTTTCAGAATTTTAGCATAAATCCTGAGTTTTTAGACTGATCGAGATTGAGGCGGTTCTTCATTAGTTTCGGGGTGTTAATAACTTTTTAAACATCGATTAGGGTTGCCGCTCTAAAGGGTGTGCCGGGTTACCGTAATCCGTAGAACTATATCTTTACACTGTAAGTTTTGTATCCCTATATGTGATGTAGTACGCACTACAACTATGTAACTGGGTTGCGCTAATATCTATTACGGGTTACGGTAACCGGACTACGCTTCAGATAAGATCTATTACGGGTTACGGTAACCGGACTACGCTTCAGAGTGGCCTTCGAACGTCGATGTTCGGAAAAAGTTCTCAAGTCATTATTGAATACACGAGGTCCGTCTGAAATCCATACCTCGTTTTTCTCTGCCGTAAATCATTCAGCTCTTCATAAAGTGGTTCCATCTCGTATTTTCCCTTTTTCGTTCGACTTCGACAACACGATTGAAGTCTTCTTGATCTGAGAAATAGGGATTGACTCGATTTATTGGTAAAAGCCACATCGCACTCATCAGTTTGCAATTTTCAGGCAGTTTTACCTTCCAATAGACGCCATACAGCTAACGGAGACCAACTCGATCAAAACGGCAAAGACAAAGATAAGGGAAAAGATCTTCCAAATATCTGAAAAAATGCATTCATTATAATTTATAACATTATAATTTATATTGCCTAAAGAAGTGATCCCGGGAGTAGCCGGCAATCCAGCCATGTTCATATAGTAATGAAGATTGAGTAGAGTCATCGACCCGACTACGAGAATCGCTCGAGTGATCACCATTGGGCCAAGTAAGAGCGATAGCCAACTAAAGATGATTTTAAATATGTTTTTCATGAGATTACCTCATCGCGATGAACATCACTGATGGGACGAAAAACAGAAGAATCGTCTTGTTGTTGATTCTCTGAAAATGCTTCGCTAACACTTATTTGTTCATTTCTAACCTAGCTAATGCAAAAGTCCAATAAAACCATTAAATTCCTTCTAGAGCTGTTCCAAAGGCAAAAAAGCCAAATTCTGAACTTTGGTGTCGATTTTGCCTTTCTTTTTTACTGCTCTTTTTGGCTTTTTGGGTGATTTCTCCAACGTCGGCACATTTTTTCAAGATCGAGTCATTCATCCATTAAACGTCATTTGAACATTACCGAATGTCTTCAGAAAATCAGATAAAGTTGTGATGTTACAGAAAATTATCAATCTTTTAAAAATTAGACACCCTCAAAGTACCCAGATTTTCAAAATTTCCGAATATCTAATAAGAACTTTTCAGTCTAGTGCACTTACTGCTCATTGATTTGAGCCGCAGAAAGCTTTACTTTTAGTAATCATAATTTTTGGCAAAACTCTATCATTTCTTTGACTTACTTATTCCCAAAAACAGGTTTTACCTTGAAAAAGAATGCCAAAACGAGTTCATCATGTGTTTTCTCTCCTTTTTCGTGATCTCTAACACTGAAGTCGACTTGAATCATTTCAAGGTCGCCCACCTGGGAATTGCTTTTGTTTAAAAATACAGAGAAAAAATTGTTTAATGGCATTTCAACTTTCAAAATAGCATTTAAAATCTGACAGCCTTACCGTTTGCGGTCCAATAGCGGCTTGTTGAAATGAAGAGGTGTCCCAGGTCAATCTCATCGAATCTTTGGCACTGAAATTTCGTTTGACACTGAATGACGATAAAGCAAAAAGGAAAGCTTGCATTTTATTTGATTTTAGATTTGAATATATCAGACAAGAGCTAGTCTTTTCTTTCCCTTGTTCTTTTCTGTTTTCCCATCACTCAGGATCCCGCCAGCAAGTGCAATAGCGGGCTGTACGGCGAGAAGTAACCTTCTACAAACCGTACCTGTTCCAAAAATTGATTAATCTCAATGAGTTCCATAGAACTCGTACCGGAGATTAAGCCGACAAGAACAGATTTAGTTTTATCAGCGAATGTTTGAATCACAACAGTGGAACATCAATGAGGAAATTGATGGTCTGGCTTGGCAATGAGTCCTCTCGAACACCGTCTTTGAGGGCCCTCTCGGTTTGCTTTGGTTCGCCCATTCCACAATTCCTCGTGAGTTGAAGTCAGCCGTCCGTCCATTTCCATTTGGCAGTCACTTTGGATTGAAGTGTGTTGCTTAGGTCCCCAGGTTCTTTGATGAAGTCACCGTCCATCTTCCCGTTGAGGTAGTCGGCCAAGTTGTCCCCATTTGCTGCTCATTTGATCTTCTTGGAAACGATCTTCAAATGGGCGTGGGCGTGGACGATTTGGGACACACCGGCGAGCGTGTTGGTCGGAAGGAAGCCGAGGCCACCCATTGGGTTTGATAGGTAGAGGAGTTCGGCACTGGCATTTGTTGAGATGTTGAGCCACTTCTTTCCAAAGGCTTTGAGCTTCTTGTCGAACAGCATCAACGGCTTCTTTGGCACATTTCCATTCTTCATGGGGAACGAGAGACACGGCATGGCGAAGACGTTGACTGCATCGGCCTTTTGCCATGGAGTGAGGAGCGACTTGTCGATTGCTTCCGCGGGGTTGGTCATCTGCTCCAGGGCCTTCTCTGCAGATGGAGCCGTGTTGTAGCCGGTTGGAACGCCAGGATGCCCGTCGGTGTCGTCATCTCTTTTCGTTGGATCTTCAGCTTGTAGTCGGGAGTCGTTCTTCTTGCACCATTGACGATGATGCAAGCACGCTTCGCACACATTGACCTTAGCCAGAGGCCAGAAGCGATAAGGCAAACTGGGAGGAGAGAATATCTATCGGGAGGTGTGCCAGATCGAGGGCGATTATGCGCGCGCACAAAGAGCGGCTGGTGTTTGTCTTTGAAAGTTCTTTCCAAACTTACACATTTTCATTCCTCCAAACGACGATGCAAGTCGTGTTGCCCCACGGGTACTCAAAGGCATCCGTTGTACAGGGAATGTTCTCCTCGATTCTAGAAATAAAGTATCAAAATGGCCTGTGGAAGTTATAAATGCTTCTTAAATTCAAGTAATTCAAACCTTTGCCCATAAAGAAGGGTTCCATTTTTGTGAGCTTCAAAAATGATCGAATGTCGATGAAGAATCAGACCATCTCCGTTAACAAAAGCTGAATATCGCAAACATAAAAATTTAAAGTTAAACAATAAAATCAATTTGCATTTAACTAAAATGACTGACCTACTTCAGGCACCCACAGTTTTTCCTTTTTCTTCATGATGGACACCGCCGAGCTGCACGGATTTTGGTGAGCGTAATAGAAATCTTGATTCTGAAAAGCATTATAGAATTATGTTTTGTTATTTTATACGTTTAAATTTATTTAGAGAACGTACTGTCCACTTTTTCGTGAAAAACCCATCCAAATGAATGGCATTCGAGTGTGGGATGAGATTCATTCGTTGAATGTTGAAACCGACTTCGATCGAGAGGATCTCTTCCGTTTCTGAAAGAAAAAACTTTGCAGAATTGCAAGATGTGAATGTAGTTCACGATTAAAAACTATGTGACATTCAAGCCTTGCCTAATTTACCTGATCTTTTGCAAATTCGAATTTTTGTAAAAATCTGGTTTACACTGACCTGGTTTACTATCGCCAGCTCCGCTTTTAGCAAATATAATATTGAAAATATCGGTGTCCTGGGTGCAATCGTTTTTCGCCGAAACGAGAGTAAGCAAAGCAAAGAAAACGAGGAAAGTCATCACATCTAAATTGGGCAGTATGGTGCCGAAATTTATTGTTATAAGCAGATAAAAAAAAGGTGGCAAAGGCTGAGATGGCTTAAAAGTTAAAAAAAGCGGGCCTTAGTCTAGATTCTGGCTGGTCGACTAAAAATGCTACAGCCAGAGCGCAATTTTGCATATAAAATTTACATACAAAAAGTTTTTAGAGTTCGACAAATACCGTAATAAGAAAAGACTGATAGTGAGATTCTACAGCGTTTTCAATTTTCAGGCCGAAAAATTAGTCTGCAGGATCTTATATTAGAACTTAAACCTTCAAAAATCCGCTAGTAACAGTGATTTGGACCTTACTCGGGTTTTCTCTCTTTTCTCGAAAAAAGAGAAGAAATCTATCATTGGATTCCCCTAATCGACACCACATGCCATCGCCCACTTTGTAAGAAAAAAACGGAAGAAAAACAGGGACGATGACCATGAACAGTCTAAATCTGCAACGATAAAGAAAAAGGGACACTATTAATGACTTCTCTACGATTTTTGAAAATTTAAGATTGCAATAATATAAATCTTATCTTCATATTGAAATGGGATCAACCTGTAGTAAGAGTTACTAAAAGTTGCATAATCTGGTTCACCAAAAACTTGCAACTCTAAAGAGTTTTATTCAAAACTAATTAGTTTGGAAGTAAATAAAGCCGAATCAAAGTTTGAACTGTCTAAAAATTTAGTGGAAAGTTATGAGATGACTTGGCTGTCCGGATAACTCATTTTAAACCCTAAAGCACAATGAAAATTGCGCTTCACTTCAGTGAACGCAAAATGAAGTTAGAAAATCAAAAATGGGTTCAAAAACTGAAGTTTAAAGGAGCTACAGTAAGATTAGAGGAGACAAAGTGAAATTCAACTGGTATTACTGGTTGATCTGCGCTTTGTGCCCAAAAATTGAAAACGCATAAAATTTACAAAACTCATATCAAAAAAGAGCTAAATCTTTCAGTGAAAACGCCATAATTTCCCCCAAAATGTCCAATAAATCATTTCGATGGTTTTAGCGGAGAATTTAGGAGCGAAAAAAGAGGAGGCGATCAACGCGCGGGAGAATTTTTATCAATTTCGAAAGCGAAAATGGCACAGCAGGAGTTCCTTTTTGGGGGAAATGGTAAAGATAAAGAGAAAGGGTTCTTTTTTAAAATGAGAAAGAAAAAATGCGGGGAAAATTTAGACAATACGCAAAGTCTTGTAGAACTTGTTAATGAAGAAAAAGTTGACTTCTAGCAAAGTTCATTCAGCATACAGAGAGGTCAACTATTCCAAAGTTAAGCTAATGCATCCCAAGGTTTAAAATTGGGCAATCGACGTATTGTTTTTATAGTTTACTCCAACTTTATTGTTTTCATTCAGTTTGTAGATTTTTGATCCCATTGTTTTCTTAACGATTTTTGACTGATAAACTCTCTTGCAGTTTCGGATTCAAAAATTCTTCTTTTGGAAGAAACGAGTGCTAGCTATTAAGAAAATAAAACTATTAGTTAGGTATTTAAACTGTTTTCACTATCAATTGCCCAAAACGTCGAATCTAACTGAAACAATCGGGATTAAGAATATTCCAAGATTTTTCCGGGCCAAGCCATGGCTTAAAATGACTTAATGATAAAATAGAAATGATATTCGTGAAGAAATGAGATTTTTGTTGTATATTTTTGCTCAAAATCCTCAACTATCTTACCAATCCTCGCTTGAGTGAATTTGTAGTTTGCCGGCGCTAATCCGGGGCGTAACGGCTCTCACTTTTTCTCGGGAAAGGTACAAAGAGAAATTTTGATGAAAAAAAGCTTTGATATAAAAACTAAACAAGTAGATTACGTAAAACAGTTCTCCGTGACAAAAACTACAACTACAATTTTTACAAACTTTACAAAATCAAGATTGAAGGCACATCCGCAATTTTGCGAAGGCAAAACTATTTCAAAGTGTGGTTACTGGATCTTTAAACTTGAAGGTTTTGAGAACGAATTCTCAATACTATAGCCTAAATATTATTTTGAAAGGTGAAAGTCTGGGGAATGGGATTTTGGAGTAAAAATGGAGAAATGACTGCAAAAAGGGGGATTTCACTTTTGTCTCTCGCATCCATTCACTCAGCCACATTCACTCAAGCACAAAACGTTTATTCACTCGTCCAAAAAGGGATTCCAGTCTAGTGTTTTATCTCGATCTCTCGTGCACAAAAATAAGTTATTATTGGAAAAACGTATAGTAATTTCTTTCCACAAAAGCAATTGGCCACTTGATCAATTTCTGGATTAAACTTTTCTAGCATAGACTAATTTTCTGGAATTTTTACAACAAAATCAGCTTCAACAGCAAACAAATAGAGTTGGGAACTTTGAAACAAAGCCCATAATAAAGAATCAGGTGATGATATTCTTGTCCAAAAAGTAATGTTTGGAAGCCATCAGAGCTAAGCGCTTCAGGCCAATACTCAAAAATTCTAAGCAAGTGATCGAATAAGTGCAAAATGCACCCTAGAGCTTTTTCGAGCCAATTTGAGACAACCATTCTTTCGGAATAATTGTCACATAGAGCTAAATAATACTGTTGAAAAATCCGTTCAGTTGAAAAAGATCTTGCCGATAAATCAATAACATTTCTGCTATGAATGTTGTTCGACGAATCTTCTACCGTATCCGACACTTTCAGATAAATCGTGTGAACTAGCCGCCAATATAAAAGGAATTTCTGAACCATTTTTGAATTACAGTCAACCCTTTTTAGTAAATAATTTAAAGGAAATCGAAAAATCCATTTACTATTGAGGTTTTTCAGGTTTTGACTCAATCTGTCTCTAAAATGCCCTAAACCCCTTAAATAAGCTTCAGTATAACTTTTGGCTGGTAACCAAACAACATAATTTTTAACTGCAACAACTTTATTCAAAAACAACAAATGAAGTGATTTAAACAAATTTTAGCTAAATCATTTTGTGAAAAAATAATTTTTTTTTGTTTGTCTGGCCTGTTGACCCGATCGCTCCTGGAAGAAATCTTCAATTTTCTCGCAAACTTCTATCAGTGAAGGAGTTTTAGCATTATCTCTCAAAAAAAATGCTGTGGAGTCGTAAATGCTGGATACGCATCTTTTGGTATCACCTCGTTAAACGTTGATAAACCATTTTCATCGTCTGAAGAATCGTCATTAAAGTTTATCGGAGGGACAATTGATAAAGCTATCTCGTCTATAGGCCGTAATCCAGTTTTTAAAGCGTCTGCATCAAGGTTCAAGAAATCGGTAAGAGAAGAATCCTCTGCTAAATCAAGTCGTTTCCATGACTCATCAAATCTTTGATCTTCAATTTCGTCATTCACGTCTCCCTCAGCGTCGACTTCATTTGTAATTCCGGTTTTTTCAAAAGCAGTTTGCAATGGTTTCTTGTTTAACGCTCATCCAAGCACGATTTGCAGTGTGTAGAGCATCAAGAAGATCAAATTTGAAGTCCACAGAGTGATCGATAGCCAAAATTCGTGGATGAAGTAGCATTGTACGGTAATGAACCTTAAAGTTCTGGATGATCACACGGTTGAATAATTGAAGTCGCATTGGGTGCGAAAAATAGCAACTTGACGTTATCCAAACAAACTCGAAGGCGGCAAAGACAATTGCCGAGTAGCAAAAAAATTTTCCTTTTGCCCAATTTACGATCCCATTCTCGAAGAAAGCTTTTAAAGCTTTCACTAGTCATCCATGCTGTCGAACGGGCAAAAAATAGCGCCTTTTTTGAAGCAACGCAGCATTTTTGCATGTAGCTGTTATGGAATGTTTTCCACACCAAGTTGAGGTAGTATTCTGTGGTTTCAATTTTTCTTTTGACATCTTCATGAGTTTGTATAATTTTGTCTTGATAATCCGGATCGCTCTGATCTGGGCAACTTTCAATTTCAAGGTTCAATTTTACGCCGGGTAACAGAAAATCTATTGGGCGAATCAATCTTTCTGACTGTTCTTCGTCTAAGTAAGTCAAGGGGCGGCTGTTGACAAAGCCTTCAATTTCTACTATGATAACCTCCAGTAGTTACTTGGATATTCCTCTTCCGTGTTTTATCTTTCCCAGTGCTATTTTGACACAACCGATTAATCTTTCATATATCCCTCCCTGCCACGGTGCATGTGGAACCGTAAATTTCCATTGTATACCATAATCGGCTAGGGTTTGGATATTCACGAAGTTTCCCTCGATTTCTTTTGCATTCTTTAAAAATTTATCCCCCTATTTGAATGTTTTAGCATTATCTGTCAGAATGAGTTTAGGTTTTCCACGACAAGCGCAAAATTTTCTCAGAATTTCTAGAAACATGCTGGTTCGTAATGAATCTACAATTTCTAGGTGAATATTCCTTGTACACACACATGTGAACAGAACGATCCATACGTCTATTTCGACGTCTAGTGCTGAGTCGTAGATCAATACTGGACCCATCTAATCTATTCCGGTATTCTCAAATGGCAAACTGCGATTTGTTCGAATCTTTGGGTAAGGTGCCCATGCCGGTTGCTTGTATGGGAGCCCATTAAAATATTTGCACAAGACGCATCTTTGTGTGACTTTTTGACTGCTTGCCGCCCTTTGTAAATCAGACCTCGCTGACACGTCAAATTTGGGCTAAAAGGCAAAAACTACGCAACTTAACGCTTTTCCGCAGTTTTTGCCTTTTAGCCCAAATTTGACGTGTCAGCGAGGTCTGATTTGTCGAAATCCTGAATCTACGCATACGATTCCCTTTTATGAAAATATATTTGAAGCTCTACGGCCTTGCCTAAGGCCTTTTCCAGCAAAAAAAGGTGCGCAAATGTCCAGGTGCGCAAAAAAAGGTCGCATTTGTCCCACCCCCGTAAATCCAAAATCTTTGACGAATGCTTGCTAATGTTGAGGCAGTGCCTGCATGTCCCATTTGTTTGTGGTGATGTCTTATGAGTAGTGTGCAAAAATGGCTATTCGGCAAAATTACAATTGGTTTTGAATT